GTTATCATTTTATGTTCAGTAAAAAATTGACAAAACGATACGTGAGTTTGTCGCTCTCGTATAGTATCCAAATCCAGACACTTGGCGATTTCCAAGACTCGCTTTTTAGAAGTCCTTTCATTTGAGATCTGAAGTCAATATCCAATTATTGACCCAAGCAAAATCCAGAGTTGAATCCCTAAAGAAAATGTGCATTGGAACTAATGACTGCTACCATTGGAGCCACATTACTTTCTGCTCTTTTAGAAAACTTGGATTTCCATAATGTTCCTATGTTTTGCTGGTCAGATTGCAGTACTGTGTTGTCTTGGATACGAAAAGAAGACCAACAGAAAGAGATTCCAGCATCAATAAAGAGATTTTATGTGTATATGTGCGGTGGGTGGGAATTTCTTTGGTAATGTCTCGTTCTGTATAAAGAACAAAATATGCAACTTCCAGATTATCATATTAATCGATTAGTGTAACACAAAAATTGATTACCGGATCAATAATTTTTAATTATTTAGTAAATTTGGCTACATTACGATTATCGCAGGGCATTACAGTCGATAGGTAATCATTCTTTGGTCTTGATCCACGTAAACAATTAATTTCAAAGTGGGACTCGCTTATAAACTTAATTAAAATGAAATTGACAAAAAAGTTACGTTATAATACCTTAGAAGAGAAAACGAATCGTCGGTTTATCCACAGCCACTCCTTCGTCGATGTTATCAATGGCTTAATTAACAAAATGACAATACGTGTCCACAAAGCTTCCTTATAAACATTTTTATTTTATAGAAGCTCGGCGTCCATCAATTTTAGTTAAAAATACTTCTTTAGATTACCAACGGCATACTTAACCTAATTGTAAATTGTAGCAAAGATTATTGTTACCATAAAGTAATTGGGTTAAACGAATAATTAAAAGAATGAATCATGGTGCAAGAACACACCTACTGCCCGACAACATGTTGGAATTTTGACTTTGTTAGAGAATGCTAATTGAATTTTTTCTCTGCCTCAATTGATTTTTCTTTTGGGGTGTGGGTATACTATATTATTGATTGTAATCGTTATCCTCTGGAAGCTTCCCCACGTTCTTAGCCCTTAGCTTCTTGATGCCTTCCAAGAAGTTCCGGAATGAGAATAGCATAGAGTTTTCCTAGGGGCGAATAATACCTGGACAAATTCTCTCCCTTGATATAAATGGGGGAAATGCCACTAATAACTTAATAAAGTTTGACCAATTTTTCTTTAGGATTTTTTTTTTGTGGAGGCGAAGCGAATTATATCTAAGTGGAAAGGCCGTGGTTCTGTTCTTCTGGTACGTTGATTTACAAGGGGACCAACTTGCAGCAATGAGTTATTCTCTTGCAAGCGAATATTCTGGGCGAAAATATATCGAGGGTGTATTTTCATAAGGCGAATGTTTTCTTGGGGTGAGTATTTATCCTCTCATACGAGGCAGTTACTCGTTAAAATTGTTATTGTTCCAGGTAATCACAAAATAATTGATTAAACCAGATAAACTTTCAGTTTACAACGAAAGTCGGATATTATAATGAAAACGTACATGAATGGTTTCGTGGTAAAACGAGTGGAACACATTATCGGAGCACGGTAGTCATAAAATCGATTGATAAAGCACACGTAATGCATTTTTCTTGTACAGATACAGAGAAATATATTCTAAATTATCGTTTTGTATAATGTAGGTCACAACTTATGCGTAATTGTTGTTATAAAATCAAAAACACTTTAAACGTTGCTCGAAAAACAAATTCTGCACACACGGATTACAGCGACAAAAACCTTGTCAATTGAATTCATTATTTATACATTTTCCCACTAATGTGGCTTTTAATTATTTATTAGTCTTTGTGAAAAACACACGGAAAATGTTATTTGCTCTGCATGAGTAATATTTCTGTACTTTTAATATCATAAACTGAAATGAACACAGAATTTGGTTAACAGAAGGTTTCGTAAGAAATATTTTTATTGATAATTTGAAGATTTATTTTGTTTAAGGCTTGCAATTCAGAATTTTGCAGCTCAGGTTGCAATCCGAATCCGATATTTAACGTTTCGCCCTCAAAGGTAGCTCTGACTCTCTCGTTGGTAATTGCAATATTGTTTTACCACAGAGGTAGTAAGGAATCAGTTTTTGCAATAAACAAATTTACATTGTTTGAAAACGGAACGAAAACCATGGTGAAATCGTTGGGTGTGTACTGTGTTGCATACGTAGAGAATTAATCCTGCGTTTCTTGCATTTAAACAATATCATATACTTCAGATTTTTTAAAATTGAAGATTGAATATCTTATAGTCAATTGGCGCATCTGTTGAAAGCATTTCTAGGTGAATCGACTACCATTGCCATGCCAATAATCTGGACTAAGGTCAAGCGCATCAATGGAAATTACACAGCTTTTCCATCCCCCCTCTTGCTAAATACAAACGGTACCGAAATCCCCAGTATCTTACAAATAGCAAACCCGGAACCCAAGTCACAGCCCCAAGTCTCAACCTAGACCCAATAAACACACCGATTTCTCAGTACTACGGCACAAGTAAGAGCAAAAATACAAGTGCAGGCCCTGATGACATCCGAACTATGCTGATTAAAAAATTACCAATAGTCCAGGCCATATATTTTCTGACAAAAAAAATTAGTTGCCGGGCGAAACCGGTGAAACAGGTGAAATGATTAGAAATTGGAAAAAAATAATTAAAACAGCTGAATTTTTTCGCGAGTGAAATCCCGGGGGTTGAAAGGGGTGGAAAGTGGTATTATGCTATTTGTGGCAAAACTATTCATTTTAGGCGACAATGTTCAATGTAGAAGTTATAGAGAATAAAAATATGAACAACTGTTGTATTTGCACTATTTTCACATAACCTACAATTTTCCGAAAAAACCGAAAAAACTGTTTATTTTTGTTATTATTTTTGCGAAAAAAAGTCGTGGGGGTTTGAAATTTGGAGGAAACATAGCTTGTTTTATCATAAAAAAGGGGACCGTATAAAGTTGAATCGTCTCCGAGATCTCACGATTTTTGAAAAAGCCACTTCTTTTTCAAGGGGATGAAAAATCTATTTTTTCGTCGTATAGCGATGCGCGGGGTAGCAAAATTTTTGGGAAGACTAATATTTTAATAAACAAAAATAAAAAAAAATTATTATATAGAAAAACTTCGTGAGATCTCGGAAACGGTTCAAATTTACGGACTCAAAAAATTATTTCCTTTTTTTCTCATAAAACCAGCGATGTTTCCTCCAAATTTCAAACGCCTACGACATTTTTTTTGCAAAAATAAAAACAAAAAACCAAACAAGCAGTTTTTCCGGTTTTTCTAGGAAAATTGGAGGTTATGCGAAAATAGTGCAGATACAAAAGTTGTTCATTCTCTATAAGTTTTACGTTGACCATTTTCGTCTAAAATTAATAGCTTTGCCACAATTTGCAAAACACCATTTCCCATCCCTTTCAACTCCCGGGACTTCAGCTATTTTAATTATTTTTCCCCAATTTCAAATCATGTCACCCGCCTGAAAACTCAGTTTCACCCGGTAACTAATTTTTTTTGAAAATAAATTATTTTAGAGCTATTTAGCATGGACGACAAGCGATTATGTTGAATACCTCTTAGCAATTCACGATTCCGGATATTAAAGATAAAGTAAATTAGGATTATTTTCATATGGAAATGGGGGTGCCACAAGGATCAGTTTTAGGTTCCTTACTTTTCTTATCATTTATAAATGATTTTCCTCAACACATAGTTTTATCACAATATTTAATTAATCAGTGAGATAGATTGTATGTTAAATGAAATAAACAATAGGTGTAATAATGAATACTGTATAATGAAAAAAACTGTGATAGTTCTTTCAGGCTAAACATTTCTGAAAATTGTTAATTAAATATTCGAAAATTGTTTGCAAATTTCGGTAACATCATAAAATTTCTTGGATTAGAAATGGATACATAATTGACATGGTCACACTATGCCAACAAAGAACTATCAAAATCAAATTATGCCATTTACCACTTAAAAGATAAAAAGTATACTATGGCATAGTACACTCCCATGCTGTCTATAATTTATCTACATTAGTATGCTTGTTTGGTTTGTGACAATTTTCTGTGTATTTGTGTGTCTCTCTTAAACGTTTCTAAAGATTAAAAGTTTTTACCCGTAGGTGTTCCCCATTCACCTTTGGATTTTATGCACAAATAAAATGACTTCACTTGACTTAAATTCCCTTACATTCAGATTTCAAAAAACAGAAAAAAATTAAAAGTTCCGGTTTGTCCTGAAATTACAATTCGGAATAACGAGTATTCAGGTGTTAAACATTTTTTAGATTTGCCCTGCAATTTGTACTTTTTCTCTGATCCCGATTAATTTTTTTTCTCAGCAACAGATTGTATGACAATGTTTCTACAATTCTGACCCCAAACCCAAAAGGAAAAATCCAATCTCAACTTTACCTCTGTAAAAATTGTCCAAGCTGGAATACAGATCAGATCCACATTTAGTGACATTTTAGTCCCGAAACCTTCGTTCACACACATCACACGGGGAATAGAGAGCTAGATAGATAGTCATTAAAAATGAGTTTCTTGGAAAGTTTATTTACATGGGAAATCGTACTTAACTTGAACTTTCAAAGGCCACTTGATGGCACGCCCGTAAGTGAGTTACAAAGAGTAGGAAAAATATTGATGCTGTACCCACGCAAAATACAATTGATAATTAATTAATTAAGAACAAGTCATCTCTTTTAGAATTTACCAACTAATCTGTTTGAATCATAAACACTAAAGAGTCAATAAGAGGGCTATAACCCTCATAATCTACACGCACTCCTCACTTTAAAGTAAACAGTAGATAAAATGTCGTGTAATAAAATTAGCCATTAGTCTTTGTTGTTGCATAAAATCATTGTACCTATACTTGAACATGAGGTGCATTCAGAAAATGTACAAACAGATCACGTACCTGTCGGTGCAGGCATTGGCGCTGTCGGATATTGCTGTTGCGGCACTTGATTGCCGGGAACTTGAGGATAAAGCCCTTCGTTCTTTTCCATTCTGAAAAATGAAAAAAAAAATTATTTCGCATCCGCTATTTTTGCAATCTAACCAAATTCATTCATTCATTTATGTTTAGTTTTTTATTTACCTATTGTTAATCTGGAACGGACTGTAAATATGCAATAAAATTTGTAATTGTAAATAGTTCGACACCAAAGTCAATTTTCAACGGTATAATGGGGATTTACTACTATCTTGAAACTTAAACGATGTAGACTAGACGGTTAAAAATCATGTTTATGTCATGTCATGTCAAGAAATTAAGAGGGAAATGTCCTTTATCTACCCTTAAATGTTTGGGACAAGTCAGGTAGGTTTCGTTCTAGTAAAATTAGAGTGATGGTGCCATTAGTGAAAGATTATGTCTTAAAATATGATGGATACTCTTGATAGGAGGTTATTTGCTACAAATTTGTACCTAGTCCATTGACATGATGCCATAAACAATCAATCTCAGAGGTCACAACAACCCTCTGATGCTGCTGTACGTTATTTGCAGAACAGATTTTTTCAAGTTCAATTGTAACCTGTGGGTCGATCGAGTACCTAATGCAAATAAATCAAAATTGTGTGTGCAATGAAATTTTAATGGATCTATTGAGACATCGCCCCCCTAGTGTATATTTATTTAATAAATCGGTCTTAATGATAATAAGCAAATCCAAAGTGGTTACGTAAGGTCACTGTATGTAACCAAATAAACTTTTTACGATAAGTTTGATGTAATGCATTCAATTTCCTAGAACCGTATAAATAAAATAAATAAACGTCCAACATGCTATACTCTATCAAATTCGGTATGCAAAGAACAATGAATTTATTGGCTATAATGTCACTTTCAGATTAATCAAAAATTCCACTTACGAATAATGGAACATATTGTATATTTCTTTATTTTTAAATGTGCAGCCAAAAACTTTGATAAAATATGCCAATAAACAACGTACTTAGTGAAGTTTTGGAAATGAAATTTACTTACAATTGTCTAGTTCTAGTATTCCTGAAACGTGGAACGTCCACCATATTACATTAGAAGACGGAGAAAGGACAAATAACCACACCGAGGGGTAGAATCACCCATTTGCTAATTAAACTGTGTGGGTTTTGATTATCAAGATGCGTCAAGAGGTAGCTGCCGATAAAACAAAATTGCACCAACAAAATTTAGGTCGATTAATTCCAAAAAGGAAGAAGCCAAAATATGTACTTCTATACAAGGTAGACTCAAAAATATCTGCTATACCGCGCCCGCCAAAGAGATTTGGTAAACTTCTTAGAGGCTATGAGTCACAATATTAAGTTTAATTAGCATTAATGGTAGTGTTATGGTAGTATAGGATATTATTGTGAAAATTTGATCTCAATCTTGTTCTTTTTGTTGTTGCAACTTTTGTTCTCTCGTAATATTTCGGTTTTTTCCCATGGGGTTCATCTTTCCATGGGTTTTTATTCCGGTTTTTTTTTCGGTACCGGTCGCGATTATACGTGCGTCGTTTAGATGCGTTCTGTCCGACCTGATTTCCGTGTAAAAAACGCATTTAAAATTTTTGAATATAACTGAGATATCACCGAAAAACTAAAAATGTAAAAAGTATAGTGTGACACGTCATTATTTATCTTTTTTTTTGTCTTCTATTTGATTCCGAAAAAATCTAACATGGCTCCCATAAGCAATAAGAAAGTAGTAGCCTGTAGTTTCTAGATCTAGGTTCTACAGTCTTATGGAAATTCTGATAACAGATACAGATTCTCCGAAAAACAGTGCCCATAGAAGATACAAGATCGGTTGGGTGCAAGAGCAGGAGCGGAACTCATGACGTTTAGATCTTTTTTTAATTATATGGAATATTTTTTTCGTTTTTTGTGAATATGGTCTAATAAAGTCATTATTATTATTAGTACTAACAGGAACCCTCCATTTCCGACCGTTTGAGCTAGGGAAAATGGAAACCAAAAATTTGACATTTTCAGTTTTTCGCTGACTTAGTTATTTTCAAAGCTTCTTTTTAGTGACAAAAAGGAGCCCCCAATTAACCTACACACAGAAATCAAATTCAGTTTTTCAGTCCACTCCTCTCAAATTCCTGAACTAAAATTATGATTAGTTGGAAGTTAGTGTTTATTGCCTATTGTTGCGTATCGGCGTCTATTATGTTTGTGTAGGTAATGAAGGCAGCAGAAAAATCACAATGGCGCGACCGCAATTGTGTAAATATTTCCTGAAGGATCATAATTAGATCCAGATAAGGTTGCAGATAAACTTAGTAAATTGAATAGTTTTATTGAATAAAGTTAAAACGAACAATGGTGCTGTGAACGTGATATTTCAAGCTAATTATAGGCCTTTGACGTCATACACTTTCGAATTAAACACAAATTTTTTAACGTGGACCTAAATTAAGAGCGCACGGTGAATTACGGAAGCAAGAGAAATATTTCAGCGTATACATCGTGAGCTGTATTTAAATTATATTGAGGCACCGATGGTAAATTCATTATAAATGGACTTCCTCTTTCACGTTGAAATATGAATGGGTAAATTTACCCTCCCCCATTTATTTTCTTAATTTCTTTTTTAGGGAGGTAAAATCGAATAAAGTACAGTTCTGTTTTAAGGTTAGGGCCTAAAATCACGAATTAGGTCCCCTGACATTATTTTTTTTTAGTAAAAGGTGTAAATTATTTTAATGTTGGAGAGCTAAACTCGTAAAGGTACTCCCCCAATTTTTTTTTTTTCAGAATCTTTTTTTAAAGCGCAACCAAAAAATCGAGGTGCGCCTACATGCGCAAGCAAATTGCAAACGAATGAAGCGTTCAATTTTACTAATTCTTTCCATTTTTATTTTATATTGGACCTATTCTTATCAGCATTCTTCTTTTTAGATAATTCAATCCTCATCTTCTTTATATATAAAATTCTTCGATACGTGTGTTTGTGCCCCCTAAACGGCTGTACGGCTTTTACTGAAAATTTTTTATGGGTCTCTCCATATCCTCGGATTGTTTAAATTCACAATTGGGCGAGATCGGATAAGGGATTTTTTTTAACTTCTTTTTTTATTGATATCGCTCTCCGCGATTTCGCATACCGATCGATACATACCCAAAGTTACTTGCATGTTAGTACTATGCCGATGAGTTTACACTTTTACATTTTGTACACTGGGATTCCGTTATCATATGCCCGTCAATATTGAGCGCACGAAGTTACGGGGGAAAATCTAGTATATTCACAAAATTTTATAATGGATGCACATTACTAAGATTTAAATTCGACAATTTTACATATGCATTTTGTTCTACAAATTAAATCAATTTTTTAAGAAAATGTTAAAAAAAAGTCTAAAATAAGCACTAACGTTCGAAAATAAGCACTAAAAAATTGCATTTTTTAATGAAATGTACAGATCCAAAAACGTTTCGTTCTGCTTATAAAACTGAATATAAAAGTTAAATGGTAGCACTTATCTACTTATCATATATCGCTTGCAAATAATGACACCTTTTACGAGGTAAAATATTCTCAAATTTAGACAAATAACCCTTTAGAGTAGTCACTAGCAGCTTTAAATACTGTTTCGAAAGTACATGGTTGGTAAAAAAATTCGTTTCTCTATCACTTATTTCCGGCAAATAAATTATAGATAAATTATTCTCACTTTTAGAACAATACTATTCTTTCAAAGGACCCGCTAGCAATTTTACATACTTTCATATCAACATTTTGCGAGAAACGCTCAAACACGTGGGTTTTACTTTCTTTGGGACAATCCAATTATAATTATGCAATTCAAGAAAATGATGTAAATGTTAGATCGTTTAAAAGCCTCGTTATTCTTCAGATCTCAAGAAACCATATATTTCAACATATTCAAACAGTTTAAGAAAAAAACTTTTTTTAACCCTGAGAAAATTCTAACACATTAGATGTAAAAATTTTAAATTTTGGAGTGCAAAAGTGGGAACGATATACATAATTACTTTTTATATTGGAGCGACAGCGAGCTATTCACGCGATGACATATTTTAACTTAAAAAAACTATAATTATAAAAGCTACTTCATATTTCCAGCGTGCCGTCATTTAGAATATTAGGTTTCGGGCTGGAGCTGCGATTCCACAAAGCATGCCAGGAGTGATAAAACTGTTGCTTAATTTTTTTTTAGTTTATTATTATGCGGATGGGATTTCTATTGAAAATTGGCCGCGACAACTGAACTAAATGAGTGACAGAGCTCCAGAGAAAGAACAGTTTACGTCAATAGGAGGCTATATAAACTGAGTCCTTAATTTTTAGGTTTTGAAGATTTTTTATGTAATTGGATAAGTATGGTATAGTATACAACTAATTTGGCGTGCTTTTATTATAGAAAAAAAGAGAACTTCACAGTTTGCCGCGTACTAACAATCGTTAAAATTAAAGAGATCAAGGCTATAGTTAGCTTGTCAGATTATAGACAGTGGTATGTAAGTTTCAACAAATGGTGGCATTGAAATCTCAACGTAAAAAAATTAAACACAGTAGTTAAAATCAAACAAATCTTCCTAGTGTTGAAGTGAGTTTAGAACTGCGCCGAAAACGTGATTTCTATTCATGCGTATATTATTATTCTTCATTGTTTGAATTTTCGCATTGGGCAGATAGGAAAATCTGAACGCGATCGCCCTGAAGAAAGGGATCAGATTGAGTTGGCGACGTTGACCAGCGTCAATTTAAATTAAACAACCTTCGATCCCAAAAATAGCTTACATTAACATAATGCAAATAAACATTTGGGTGATAGTTTTTAGTACTCCTCGTAAATGTAGGTTTTTATTGTATTCTGATTTCTGATGAAATTTGCTTCTAGCATAATGTTGAATGGTTTTTTCTTCTTGATTCAGAAAATTGGTACGTTGTTAAGGCGGGGTAAAAAATGGAACCTTATTTTAAAAAAACGCACCCATACACAAACAACTTTGGTTGATTACCCTGATATTTGTGTGATACTGATCACCCTTTGAAAGTTTTCAGGAAGCCATCCGCATGGGTATCAAAGTGATTATCTCGTCTCTTCTGAAGTACGAGCACTTTTATAGTTCCTTGCAAACTAACAAAACTGCGACGAACTCAAAATCGGAGCGTTTTATAAATCCTCAAAAAATACCTGCCAACCGAAACCGTTTTTTCAAAGTAATAGTTATTTACATAAAAGTAAGGAAAATGACACATTACTGGCGGGGAAATATTGGAGTACGAGGCCGAGTAGTTTAATTTCCGAGTCAGGTAATAAGTTTTATATTAAATTGTACCCGAAATCGTATTTTAATATAACTTTTCAATTTTATACAGAACTTTTGATTAATGTCGATCTGTCGGTGATGACAGGAGTCATTATAGACATTTAGCAATGTCACATATGCGGCCAGTAAAGTGACAAGTGGCAGGAAACGTAGTCTTCTCTGTCTTGTCATGGAAAATAAAATTTCCTGTCAGAAAGTAGGCATGAAAATGAAGGTTTCAGGACAATTTGGGAAAATAACACTAGTCTTGGCGGTCGTTACAACTAAATGAGACGGAAATACGGTTTTTTGAGCTATGATGAATTAATGCATTATTAAGGCGACAATTAATTATTCCTTATGTAAGAAATTGTGGGAGAATGAAAGTTTAATTCAAGTTTAAATCGACTTTTAAATTGTTTAATTTCTTACTGTTGTGTCATCGTTTGTTGAAATTAAAAAAAGAATATATAGATTCTTTACGGAAAAGTTCTTTTTTATTTTTATAAAAATTAGGTACTTTAAAAAAATGCTTGTGGGTACAAATTACTCCTAAATTAGAAACCCCAGTTTTTTCGGATCTCATATTGCAAAATGACTGAAAATCGATTTTCAACAGAAACAAATTTTTACGGAAGGATTCTTGTAGGTTTCGCAGATATTCCATTGAATTAGATCATATTTTTCAAATTTTTGAAATGACTTGTTTCTACTGTCAGCCATTTTTATTGATTGGTATCGTCTACTTCAGTTACCATGGATACAATAAACAAAATAATTTTATCAGTTGTTTACATAATCACGAAAGGCGGAAAGGTGTGGACTTAAAGGCAGCGTTTGACAGAGTAAATAAACAAAAAGCTAAAGGATAGAATCAAGGAGGGACAAGAATGAGGGTAATATAGTAGGGAAGGAGTCTGAAGTGTTTTGGACATGTAAAGGACTAAGTCAGAGATGCTCACTGAGCCCGATCATATTTAATTTTTACATAAGATACATAGAAAACGTATTAAGACAGGACCAAGGTGGAGGAAGCAGAAAAATATGGTTCTTGATATACGCAGACGACGCAGTTGATCATTGCAACATGGGTAGAACAGATGAAGGAAATGATGAATGGAAAGGTATTAGGAAAGGAATGGAGCAGAATCTAGAAAAATCGGAAATGATGACTGATGAGATTTGGAGAGGGCGAGAGGGGGGGGGGTGGAAGGAAAAGGGAGTTGGAATATAGAAATGGAAAGAAAATCGTTTCTTTCCATTTATGTTCTTTCCATTTCTATAATCCAAATGCGCAGATAAAAAAATTAAGAAATAAGGGGGTGGTGCCGATGAGACAGGTGTAGGGACGAGGGGAGAGGGGGTTCAAGAGTAATTTTAGAACATGAAATTACCTGCTCAATGCAATTGTGATAGGGGTGCTCGTGTACGGAACGGATATATGGGGGTGCGAGGATTGGGAAGAACTGAAAAAATGGCATTTTAGTTGTAATTTAAATTGAAAGTTCTGCCATTTTTGCGTCCGATAAATATTGATTGATTGACAGTAATTAATTACGAGGTAATTAAGTGCTAATTATTAGTACCCTGATTCTAAATTTATGGTAGAATTATAAACGAAGTAAATAAATGAAGCATCAAGATTTTTAGATAACGGATACTGACAGTGTTCTTAAATTTAATTATGAGCTTGATGATTGCGGTTATACTGTTTTTGATGCGCTATAGGACAAGCATATTTGTGCTGTTATACCTAATGAGACCTTATTGAAATTCACGTCCGATACAGATACTTGATACTCAGTTATTATTCATTCTTATTCTAATTTTTATTATTGTATGTTCTATTATATATAGACATTAAAATAGTAAAAAAATTAATTATTCATCAATGATTTATGCTCAGTTCCGTTTTCCAGAAGATTAAAGTGGAAATTAAAGTGTAAGAGTCAAAGTCAAAATCGTTATGTATGGACCATTTCATTAAGAAAAAAACTAAACCATATTTTTTATGGTATCCAAAATTATAAAAAGCTTGCTACCAATCTACATACTTGAAATTGGTGGTCAGTGGCGTACTTATGCGTGGTCAAAAGGGACATATTTTCATTACATATTCTTAAACGAGACCATATTTTTGGATATAGCAGAATAAAAAATTCATTATATTACATAATGAAATTTATGAAAAAAGTTCAAATTAAGGAAAATACTTTTTTGATTACTATTATAACTTTACTAGTGTGAAGATGTTTGTTATGTTATATTAAAAAAGTGCACTCTTTAATAATACCTCACAAAAGATAGTTCTATCCATTAAAAAAATAAAAAAAGTGACGTATTGTCTTTGATACAAAAAATTGCTTTCACATAACTATCGTTTTTTCTCAACGCAAACTAGTGAAATTATTGATTGATTGATTAATATTAGATTAATTAGCACAACCGTTTTCTTTAATTTGGATTTTTCTTTTGATTATGGAATACACGTTTTTTATGCTGCTATGTATATCCAAAAAAGTGTACTTTCACTGACTACAAATTGCAAGTAGGTAGGTACGTATATTAGTAGCAAACTTTTTATAATTTTGGATACCATAAAAAACTCCTTTAAAAAACGTTGTTTTCAAGATATATTCAGTGTTCCAGACAACATTTTCACCCTGCATATATAATGGTTTTCACAAAAAAAACTTAATTAAATTTTCATTCCCACATTCTCCATTCCTACCAATCTTATGCCTCTTTATTACTTTATTAATACCGAACTGGATTAAAATTTGAACAAAGTTTCATCAAACAATTCCACTAGGATTTCACGGATTTTATCAAGGTGATTACACAAAATTTCATTTTCACTAATTAAAATTACACCATATATTTCATCAATGGTTCGCTCCTCTCTTTCAGCAGTTGATTTTTTAAAACCAACATTAAATTTGCTGTCACTGGACTGAATGGTTTTAGAACAATTTAATTTTTTCTAAGATGTCCACTCCTTGATTGAATAAATTGACTTTTGAGAGACTTCAGATATTTTTAGTCAGGTTTGGCAATTTCTTTCCCTTATCTACCGCGTAAGCACTTTTCCAAAAGCGAGATGCTCAGAAATTGAAGTCGTAGCTCAAACGCGAAAACTTAATTTTGTTTTGTTAAAATGTTTATAGACGCAATAAGAGGAAACTGAAATTTGTGCACATCTTAATATCAAATCAAATCACCTCCAAAATTATCTGAAGGTTTCCAAAAGTTAAACCAACGAAATCAGAATCAGTGGTAGGCACTGATAAGCACACTGACATAATTGGTACTTACTTATAATAGTATGTACTATTATTTACTATTGTATAATACACACTGTTTAATTTTGTAGCATGATAATGCAAAAAAAAGTAGGAAATTTAGTTTTAGGACACAGTATCACTTTTGCCTCATTTCGACTAAACGATACCATGCGTGATAAAACCCCTCAAACTGTTCCAAGGCACCCATTCGTCCTAATATCGAGTTTAATTGCTTGAAATTTAACACCGCGCCAGACATCAATAAAATAGCCATATTATCATATAATTATAAACAAATTCCAGCTCATTTCCGGCTACCGAAGAACACGAAATCTGTGGATGGGTTAAACTTGATTGGAGGTTTTGCAACGCATGGAATGTGTCGTTTTGGGAACAAGTAGAAAAGTTTTGGGCAACTTTTGACCTGTCTAAATTTTAAATTAAATTCGTCGGTCAATTATAGGCAAGGCACAATGCAAACAGCAAAATTAAAATGTCTAGTTAATGTAAGCGCGTAAATCCTAAAATAATCACTAACCTTCCACCTATTAATTTTTTCGTGTCACTCCTACCACTTCAACTGTTGCACTTGGTAGCTGAATTTTGTATTACGAAAGCGTAAGTATGGAACATGCTAAACTCGTCTAACCGCGTATGTATAAACGAATATGCCGAGAGTTTCGTGTTTTTACTTGGCGTATGAGTAAGTCAATGAACATTGGAGAAATTCGATTTTATTTGTCGGTGATTTATTTTAGTTCTAAATATATACACCTCTTATAACAAACAGATAAACAATTATAGCGATACCTTAATCTTATGTTAATCTTGTTATAGGAACTGTGTAAAAATTAAACGTCAAGTTGTCGATTAAAAATGGCACGTGCTTTGCGTTAGGTATTAACGTAAAGGAGAAATTCTTCATTTGGCTACCTCTGCGAGATGATGGGAAGAAACTAAGAAGTTTCAATAGCGAAATTCTTCTCCATGTCCACATTTCAAAAGCTTCCAACCTTTCTTCATCTTCATTAGAACACTCCATACACAGATTTTACCTCTCTTTCTTAACTGAATTTCCATTTCCATGTTATATCATCCTGCCCTTCCACTTTTCTTTTGTTCTTATTAATTATTAGGCCTCTAACTATTCTCAATCGAGTTCTTTTTCACTCTCAGCAGCAACAATCATGCCGGCAATCACCAATCCTCTTCCCTCCAATGTTCATACCATATTTTCTTCTTTTCCACATATTTCAGCCATGTCTTTCTCCATATAAATTAAACAGTGTAGGTGCTCAGCATCCTCTTCCGATATGAAACCAATCCGTCTTTTTACAGCCAACCTTGATTTTTGTTTTGTTTCATATATAAATTTCGTATTAGCCGTCTTTCTCTCTAGTTGACACCTTTCCTCTTTAGTACCCAATCGAATGCATTTCGAATGTCAACAAAACTTACACAGAAGGTCTTTCCTTTTTTTCCAAATGTCTGCCGCTGATCGTTTTCATCACTCTTATTGCGTCCACCCGTGTCAATTCCTCTTCTGAAACCAAACAATATTTTCAATAAGATCTTTGCTGTGTGTGTTAGGCCGATTGTTCTATATTCTGAACATTTTTGTACAACAGAGAAGGTCATCTGGCCACTGGCCACTTTCGCAGATTTAATTGATTCCTTTTTCCTGCAGACATTTCAATAAATTTATGGGGACATTGTCGCCTTCTGCTGCGTTCTCATCATTCATTTCTTTTATGACTGCCATTACTTTCGTGTACAGAATGCCTTCCCTGATGTTGTCATTCCACTTCCTCTACACTTTCTACTGTCAGTTGGTTTGTTCTTTGCTTGACATAATTCCTCCTTTCCATCTTCCCAATACTTCGTGTTCTTCTGTCAAGAACTAATTGTCATCCTTATTTTATATTTCTATCCCTAATCATGGTTCCATCTTTTTTCTTCATATCTAGCATACTTTTCTTCACTCTATCAAATCGTGTCTACCTACTTTTTCCACTTTTTCGATTTCCCTACATTTCTTTTCAACCGGCCATTTCTTTTCTTATTTCAGTTTTCTGTACACTGTCTGTCACTCCTTCCATCCACCATTTTTTAGTACTAGAATTCCTAATATCAGCAGCATTTCTCACTCTTTCTACCAATATAAATTCTATCTGTTTCTTAAATAGATATTTTGGTGCTTTCCAGGTGTAGCGCCTTCTTTTGTGGTTTCTAAACATGTGTTTGTAACAACAACTTTCTGTGTAATTAATAATCAGTAATTAAATACCTTAATGTGGATACTACTCGAGATAATTACTTACTTCCCGTTCAACTGGCTTTCGTTGCTATTATTCGACAATTGGATCTTCTAGTAAAGCTAGAAAATTATATATTAGACTCGTTTTTGCGTAGAAAACACACAATTGCAATAGCGTTTGACTTGGAGAAGACTTACGATCTGACAGGGATGGTTGGTGATTCAGGGGAAGCTTATCTGCTTTTATTTTCTCTCCAATCGCACTTTCTGATATCTCTGAAAGTTACTCCTTAGAAAATGGAGTTCCCCAAGGATCGGTATTGATGTAATCGCTGAAGATATTGGTTTCAGACCAGAGCTGGGATGATTACTCAAAAAAAGTAATCGAGTATTGATTACAAATTACTTTATCATTAAAGTATTTATTGATTACTACTTAGTTACCACAGTATTCGTGATTCCTTAGTAACCATGATTACTTTTGTATTCATGATTACAAGCTGATGATTACTAATTCGATTACTACTGAGAAAAGTATTTAAATTACAATACTGATTACAGTACTTAAAAAAAACTGATTACACAAAAAGTAATTAAATACTGTAATCAATTACAATTGTAATCGATTACTTCCCAGCTCTGCTTCAGACTCTCAAACACAAAAACGACTGCCATTGATTTCTGTCGACCCAAGACCGACTATTAAGTCTAAATGGACATACCATAGAATTTAAACCGTTTGTCAACATCTTAAAGATCATTTTTGGTAGAAGATTATATTTTCGGCAACATTTGATATCAAAATTCAAGAAGAAGCTGAATATTGTTAAACTTATGGCATATATCTCATGGGGAGCTAGCAGGGATGCACTGCTTTTTTTTTACAAATCCTATGTAACGCCTTCAATTGATTACGGAAGCATAATTCATTCTACCGCAGAGGCCACACATTTAAGACGAATTGACAGCATCCACGCGTAAAGACTTCATTAAACTAAATATCAAATATTTACACGGCAAAATTCTACGGTATTTGGCAAGCATTGTTATTTATCGACTAATTGCCCTCCGGCATAGTGAAGCTAAAAAACTTTCTCCTTAACGGGACCAAATCATTACTTTATAACGTAGCCCCACATCAAAATATTATCATAATTTGGGGGATTTGGGAAAATTGACGATACAGCTCAGTGGATCAGGCAGATTATAAGAAACATGTAAAGAGGACCATCTTACATTACAGCAATGGGCGACCAAATGGAGTGCATCTGAAATAAAATTAAAAAGGATTCAACAGTCCATTACGCACCTAAAATTATAATAATTTAATTTATTGTTAAATTAGTTCTTTTGTTAGTCAAACTTTTCACTATACATGCCGACACGAGCTACATTGTGCGAACAAAAGTTTAAGAGGTTTTCAGAACATCTAAAAATTGTGATAATCTTCAAACGCAATGGTTTACTGGTAAACTTTTTACGGCACAAACGTAGCACTAATCAATCTACCTGGTCCCTAAATTTATGCTGACAAAAGTGTGCGAAGTAACAGAACATGTAAAAATGGCATCGCGAATTAAAGTAACTTTTTCGTGTTTTTTAATTCTTTCGTTATGCCTTTCAGCAAGATTCCATATACCTACGCCTTGAGGTGGGTTTTAGATGTATGGACGTTGTAAAATTATTTATTTTTCATTTGCCTATTATATGTCAATTATATCTGTCATATGTGATATATACATCAGCAGTCTATTACGCCCAAGGGCATAATGGATTGTCATCTCATTATGCCCTCAAACGGCCTGTCAAATTGATTGATGGAGTTATATTATGTAATAAAAAAGATGCAACTTGATTCGTATGAAGCACTTTAATGTTGGGCAAACAATAATCATGACATTTGTATATTGAAAATGCATTCTTTGGAACGATGAAAAATAAAATTTTGTATGCACCTCAGGCATTACTCAATATTTGACCCTCGGGCGACTTACAATCCCTCGGGCCGGAGGTCCTCGAGCTCTGTCGCCCTCGGCATCACTATTACCTTAATGCCCTTGATGCATAAATAATTTTGTCAAAAAACGCTTTTTATTCATTCAATGAATTTCTCTGCAGCAACTATTGTTATTGTTAATAAATCTGACGGATGTAAGTAGACTGTTCTACGATTAACATTAATAAACTTATTATTATTAGTAAGTAAAAACCTTTTATTCAAAATAAGAGGCCGTTGTCCTTGCTTTGTTATTACACAAATAAAAATATTAGGTCTTGAAGTACAATCAATAATGTACCTACTCGTATTACTTTATGCGTGTGCATAGGTATCGATTGTGGACATTTTCGGTAAGGTTGCTGGTAACGTAACTGTGGGTTCTTGACCTTTTCAGTAGTCTTCACATTTTAGGCAATGTTATTTGTATATGGACGATAAATAGACAACGTTGTCATCTGCTTTTATTGTTGAGATAAATTGCTTCTCTCCTTAAAATAGATGTATTGATTTATTATCTGTACTAAATGACATCTGTCATTGTTATGCTAATAGGAGTATAGAGGTTTCTTCAATTCGCATCTTCTGTGAAACAACAACACATTCCATAAGACTTAACACTCAGAGCTGGGCAGTATTCGATTTTGTAAATACTTTTTAGTATTCAAATCCTTTAAAGTAGGTATTCAAATACTTTGTAATAAAATACTTTTATGGAAGCAGTATTTGTATCTGTAACTCAAATACTTTCACAAATATTTAGTATTCGAATACTTCGCATAGTATTTGAATACTTAACCTTCCTTTTTTACCAAAAATCGACTACACCAAAATTTCTCGGGAAAACACTTTTTCTTATTAATTTTAGTGCGTAGAATCTAAAACAATTTACTTTTTCGATTAGACTTCGCAATCAAAAGTTATGGACTAGAAACCAATTTAGAAAGAAAATTCAAAGGGCTGTAACTTTTGAACTAGTAGCCCAATCTTGGAACTGTTTGAAATTATGGATTCTACAGGCCACATTCTATAAGAAATTTTATTTTTAAATTCTTAATATATTTGAGTGACGAGTATTTGAATACTTTTTACTGTATTCGAATACTTTTTATAGTATTCGAATACATTCTAAAGTATTTGAATACTTTTCAATGTATCTGTATTTAGTATTCGCTTGTGCTGGACGTAAACGATTTTACGTATTCGAATACTTTTTTGTATAAAGTATTTGACTATTTAGTATTCAAATACTTTTTTAAAGTATTCTGCCCAGCTCTGCTAACACCGCACTTTAACAATAATCAGGAATATACAAAATAGCTGTTTTAAAAAGCACATGGATCACTCCAAAAATAATCATTGGGATTAATATTCTTGAAATACAGTTGATGAGACGATATTTGCCTACAGTGCTTTCGCACCTCCAGATGCAGTATGGGATCTTATTGACTCAATGCCTCTCGTACTAATTCTTCGATAACGCTATCCTTGTTCCTCACCGCAATTATGTCAAACTGACATATGATTGAATTGAAGTACTAAAGCACAACATAATCTCCTTAGGCTGTCAGTGTCACGTTTGGCAAGTTTGGCAAAGCGACGATTCGAGAAGGGAAGTGATAACAGATGGCGCTACCACAAAACAAAATGGGCGGTGTAAACGGGGTTAAATTGTGTTTTGTATGTATCGTATCATATCCAGTGAAACACTGAGGCACACAACAATAATTCTTGCTCTTATTTTTTTTTAAAGAGGACGAATTTAACGTACATTCAGCCATAATGCTTATTATTTATCCCGTTTAGGTTAGTTACATATTTCTCCGCCACGTGTCGCGTCGATCTCTCCCCTTCTCGAATTGTTATGAAGGTTTAGAGATTAGTAAAAACAAACGTTTTCTAATGAATAATTATACAGGAGGTTCTTTAGGCGAATCAGATCTCGTAAACTTACACTTTCATTTCTTATTAGTATCAATAGGGAGAATTGTTTTTCGAATTAACAGAAAAGAGAGGAAGGAGAATATTAAACAGAAATATAGAAGAGGGAAATGGGAACGGATGCATACGCGGAAGAGAGAGGTCGGTAATTGAATTACATGTACAGGGTGTAAATCGAAAAGTGGAACATAGGCGTTTAACATGGGAAATTACTTTTTCTTTGCGCAAACGTTTCCTAATTATTTTACGCAAAAATTCTTCAAATAAAAGTTATAGAGATATAAATTCAGCATCTAAATCATGAAATGATTATTCTACCTCTTCTTGTACGTGAAAAAATTAATTATAAAGATTCTGTTTTCACGAGTTTTTAGTCTAAGTAGCCATGGACTATGTTTTTCTTTTATCTCTCTGTCTATCTCTCTATCTAATGAAAAAAATTCAATTGTTTTTCGTTAGTCATTTGTTTTCTGAAATAAAACAATAGAATGCTGCCTTACTATGAGAAATAAAAATTTTGTATACATTCGATATTTACCGAGATATGTACTATATTCCATACATAATGTGCACCCTGTATTTATACACCCACTGATTTAGTTTCTCGTACTATGCGATCAAAAATAAGTTGCTGTCGAGTCGCCTTTGAAATTTTTGTTTACATGGAAAGTCGTATTTAACTTGAACTTCCAAAGGCGACTCGACAGCAACTCATTTTTGATCGCCCGTTATATCTAGTAGTCTAGAACTAGAACTGTGTTAAAAAGTCGCTTCCACCACATCATTTTGTTGTATGACGGATTTCAGTTTCAGTAAGTGTATCAATTGCATAAAAAAATTAAAAAAATCTCTTATGCCATTTGTAATTGCATGTTACTGTAAACTGTTTTGCCCGCTTTGCAATCCGTTGTCATTGAAATACCCTAGCAATTTTTCTTTCTAGGGCAGCACTGTAATGAAATATGGTTCAATTGATAGGTGCGGAGTTAAAGGTCAGTAGAACTTTATTGACTTAACGCACCCACACGCAAATTAAAAAAGGAGATTAAACATGCGACTTTTTTAAGTAATTAGCTGCGGTAGGTTAATGCCAAACACAAAAGGGGTGGTTTTCACTTACTCGATGCGATCAATTTTACTGAAATTTTCCAAGTCTAATTATGATCCAGGTAAATTCCCTCGCGTAATAACAATTTGAGACCGACTCATTTACTACCCATTTCATTAACACGAGTAAATTATCCCTATACACAAAAATGGTTCAGTAAAATGAACAAGAAGCGTTTGTGACGTAAGTTGTTTATTATAAACTACTTTCCATAGCATTAATATTCTCATATTGTCACTCGTCACAGAATGTGGATAACTTAAATTTACCATTTATTTCAAAGGTCACAATGTGGATCAGTAATTGTCAAGGAAAAGAATTATTTCATGATCATGGAGAAGCCCGAGGGGGATTGATAGAGGCTTCCCATCGGTTTTCATTGCGTTTCATTCAAATTTCTCAGAAAAAAAGACGTTCGACGTTGAGTATAATTGGTGAACATTGTATTTAGCAAACCCTTAAAAAAATAGAAATACGAGTAAACATTTGAAGAGGTAACTAACTAACTGTATAGCATGTGCGTTTATTCGTTGTTCCTCCGCCAAAAAATGATTTCTAAACTTCTTTGCGTGGAACGAAGATTCGATTATGACTAAGTATCACTCTATAAATGGGGACATTTTCACCAGTAGCGGCGTTGTTGGTATACGGCTGCGTCGTTATAAACGCCCAAATACGCCGAACAATTTGAGCAGTAGTGATTTTGATTTTGACATGTGTCAAGGCAGTATGGCAGAAGACAACATGGTACACATCTGCAAAGTTTTCATTAGTCTTCTACGGGCAGAAATTGAAATACTCACCCTACAAAGCACAGTAGAAGTGCAAGTAGATGCGTTTTTGTGCTTGGTTCACTCAAAACCCTGGTGGTGGTCTGTTGATGACAGGAGGGACAGGTCATCGGTTGTGGATAAGGCCCGAAGGTTTGCATCATAACCGGCACATTTGTGACAACAACTGATGCGGCTGTTGGTACGCACAATTCATAAATTTGGTTTACAATAGGTTTACTCACCTGGCGGTCCTGGATAGACTTGTGGGTTAGGTGCGTGTCCTGGAAACCCAGGTGGTGGACCTGCAAACCCAGGCGGTGGGCCTGCAAACCCATGCGGTGGGCCTGGATTCGGCGGAACATTAAACCCGACATTCGCTGCTTCAGAATACGGCGGCGGCAAATCTTTCTGCATCTGCAATCAGGCACGGTATAGAAATCTTAGAGCCTAGATAAGATAGCAGCGGTGGCTTTAAAAAAAATATGCCGAAAACAAAACCAGTACTGACCTCAATTTTGAAGCGTAGTCGATGAAATGCGAAAGAATATTATAAAACCATTTAGCTAAACGGTCGAAATTACTGGATCTGCGTTAAGCACCAAGCGCTCGTTACTGTGCACGTTTGACTACTTGCTATTGCACAAGAATAGCTAACAAAATATTGTGTTGCCATCTGTACAACCTTCCCGGTATAGGGTCAGAACTCGTGCGTCATTAGCGCAACACGTCGGTCGTGAATAATCAATAGCATCTTTCTTAATCCCAGTAGCGCCATCTTTTGAGTAAGTTTCAACGACTCATACTCTTATCCAAAATCTTTCTTATTAAGCCGGAAGCGGCCCATTTTTCTATGATATGATACAATTCAGATAGTTTTAATTTATATAATCCACATTGAAGTTTCTAATTTCATTTTAATTAACACCTGCCTTCTATAGTTAAATACTTGAATTTTACACTATGATTCCATTGACCTGCGTACAGTGCGTGTGCGTGCGTGCGTATTTTATGTTACAGATCACTGTCACCTGTTAGTTTGAACTTTTTTTGAAGATGGACCACGCTTACTAAAAATACAGATACGCAAAGCTGCAGTAAATAACAGCATTTGCTTAATTTCGCTAATGTTTACAATTTAATTATACCCAATTTAGCACTAAAATATTAATTATGCTAATTTACGAGTTTCGAATTTAATCCTTAGTGCAGAAGATCATATTTATGAACGGAAAAGATTTGCAGAAAAGAAAATTCTCTGTTGTAAAATTCCAAAATCTTGACATCAAGAAATTCACCCTCGCTTTCTGAAAACGCACCCTTGTAAAATGTGCCACCAAGGACCGTTCTTCCCGGCAGTGTAGATAAATGTACGCGTTTTTGCATCAAAAATAAAAAGTGCTAATGAGTATTTGGTTCGGACTTACAGGAGGACTTTTCAGCGTAAATTGCATAATGGAAACACCTAACTATTATAACAACAGTTTCAGCATTGAGTAATTCACTCAACGGTTTCAGTTTATTTATTAATCCCCATGGTAATAAGATCTTGATACCACTACCAAAGATCATACTCTTTGCCACTACATGTATGTGTCATGTGGCGGGAGAATTTGTTAATAGTGGAGTAGATCCAATTGCTCAAATAAAAGTGTCTCAAATTAATAGTAGTGTATACTGTTCTTAACACCGGGTGAATCGTTAAGGTTATAAAAAAGCACTGATCCATCTATACCAAATCGGCATTTAATACGCATAAAATTTCACAATTAATTGCAATCATTGATTATCATATACTGCTATGCAAGGCATAGTCATAATTCTTAGAACATGATTGATAATCATGAAGGCATCCCAAGCGGGCTTATTCAAAAATGATTTTTTTCTGGCGATAAGAAAGTCATTTTTGCCAAAATATAAAGGGGGGTATTGAGGTGGGCGAGTCCTGACTAGTCAAGCACGGTTTTATTATGGTAAAACTAGCACAAATTAATGTGCATTACAGTAGGTCGGCACTAGGGTCGGCTTTTGCTACCCTGTGTGCATACATGAGCAACCATCATATTGATGTGGCTCTTTTAGAAGAACCTTGGATTTACAAAGGGTTAATACCAGGTCTTACTACCACTATGGGAATTTTGTTGCAGAGACCTGCTGGCAGTAATGTTAACAGCGAAAGGAGATGGCAGCGCGAGGAGGCTTGCGCTCGGATCAGCATACCTCCCTTACGATCAGGAACTCGAGCCCAAATGAAATATCGATTCCGGTTCTGTATATATTAAAGCGAAAATATTTACATCGGATTCGGCCCGGTTGCGGTTCTAAATTGAATTCGAATATCTCGTTAACTATTGCTCTGATGAAAAGAATGAATAGAAATGAACTTGTTTAGAATAAAATTTTCTATAAGATACAGTTGGTCAAGCACGTCCATTTTCAACTGTTATTGTTTTTTATAGCAAAATGTGAAAAATTAATCTCTAAAATTAACGGTTTGTTATTACCAAGTAAAATTCATGCGATCTTTTTGAAAATCCGTATTTAGTAACTTCTTTTGATAACAAAACAATATGACAAACCCGATCACCCTAGGTTGCATAGTAATTGATTAATTAAATGAACAAGTATAAAAAAAGGGATGTCTTTCAAACTGGGAGACTACAAGAGCGTTCCCAATTTTTTTATACATAGTTTAACCCTAAAACAATCTTTTCCAATAATTGTCCCGATAATTTTTGCAAATCAACGGACTGTGGAATTTTTTTTAGTTAACTAACAAATGGAATAACTTCCGAGATATAACAAGAAAGTTATCTCTATAATCGGCCATTGCCACTCGAATTAAAAAAAATCATTCATTTTGGTGAAATAGAAGCATAATAAAGTTCACGCTTTAAAGAATCGATCGGTGTGACCCGATTTGCAAAATCATTTTTGGTTGTTTCGAAAACTGGCTTCAAAGTCAAAAGCTGATTTCTCGTGAACTATTAATCGGATTTGGACGTATTTTTTTTTAATGTACGGCTTTCCGAGAGCTTTACATTCGCCTATTATAGAGTTATATTTTTTTTGTTATATTTCGGGAGTTATTCCATTTGTTAACTAAGAAAATTCTTCGGATTTTGAAAAAAAAATTGCACAGTCCGTCGATTTGCAGGAATCATCGGGAAAATTATTGGAAAAGATTGTTTTAGGGTTATAATATGTATAAAAAAATTGAGAACACTCTTGTACTCCCCCAGTTTGAAAGACAAAGCATCTCTTTTTCTACTTGTTTATCTAATTAATCAATGAGTATGAAACCTACGGTGATCTGGTTTGTCATATTGTTTTGTTATCAAAAGTAGTTACTAAATACGGATTTTCAAAAAGATCGAATGAATTTTACTTAGTAATAACAAAGTGTTAATTTTAGAGATTACTGTTTTTACATTTTTCCCTAAAAAACAATAACAGTTGAAAATGAGCGTTCCGGACCAACTGTATCTTATAGAAAATTTTATTCTAAACAAGTTCATTTTTATTCATTTTTTCCCTCAGAGCAATAGTTAACGAGATAATTGGTAGCTATCTTATAACGACTCAAAACGGGGTGATATTGACTAAGTGGATTGATAAAGACACTAAACCTTCCCCATACTTCTTTTAATTATATATATAATTAAAAGAAGTATGGGGAAGGTTTAGTGTCTTTATCAATCCACTTAGTTAACGAGATATTGGCAGTCAAATGTGAAAAAACACGAAAATTTCCCATCTTTTCTTTGTTTTTTGTTTATATGTCGGCGGGGGGGACTATGATTTTCGGATTCAGTGGATATTTTTACATAGAATACGTTTGGTTTCGTTCAGTGAAATGACAACATCCAGTTTATACTACTTTTAGAGCTAATTTGACTGGACTAAACATGTAGATTTATAAGAAACGAGCACGAAATCACTACTCATCAATTCGACGTCGATGTTCGAACACGATTCAATTACAGATATCGCAAACGGAATGTTTTTAGAAAAATTACGGACATTCTCGATAATTTCCGAATTCCTATTGTTAAATTACAATTCGCAATTGCCCGCTACTAATATCTGTAGCCGCCGGAGTGAAAATGAATAATGCTTTTCTTACATGCACACATAATAAGTTCATAGCTAAAATAATTTTACCTACTTTATAATTAATAAGACTACTAATAGTTCTGATGACAAAGGAAATACATAACGTCCTATAGTTCTTTAAGCGATCGGGATTAAAGGACCAACTTTGAACACCAAGTAATAAGGGGTGATGGGCTAATGATCTTGGTTGTCGATGCCTAAATAAAAAAAAAATAAAATAGTTCAAGCTTTAAGTTCACATTGTTAAATTCAAATTAATTATTATAGAAGGTAAATACAAAGGAATTAAATGTTTAATAAAATTGTAGGCCATTATAGCACAAAGAATCCATTATTTATGACCGTTTGGGAAGTACTGATCAATTCATGAAAAGTGCGCTAAAGTACTCGACTTAAGACGAAAACCATTTTTTTCATTTTTTGTATTTTTGTAGGCAAAAGCAACCCCGCAACTGCCCTTAAGACTGAAACCTTCCGTTACATTGAAGAAGTTACATCATTTTTAAGAAGCAAATCAATCATGTTGACCTTAAATTTGCTGCTAGGGTTGTAATTTTCTTGGTCTATTATGTCGTTGTAATAACAATTATGGCAGAGGAAATAGCACGATTTAGATTATTTAAAAAAAAGTCCCGCAGTGTGTCGATAGTCTAACCATTGGATATTTGTTTGTGTTTACTACTTTTGAGGAAATTTTGTTGTTGTTTTAAATTACCTTCATTCCTTATTTTGTGATTGTTTATGTCAATCAAAATGACATCAGTCCTGAGTTCCAGTACCATCACACAGAACAACAACGCTTAAAAGTAAACTATACGAGATAGACTGACGCCATACTTTCTTCCTACCCTCATTCGAGCGCCAATGTATTTTGAAATAGGGGTACAGCATAAATGACTTGACAATACTATTCTACCTTCTTTATTGGTCGACTATCCATCATTTTTCCAAAAATCTATTCAAACACACAGGTTCAACTCTACCATGTAACGAATTTGGTTATCTATTCCTCGAGGGTAGGTATGTATCTTGTTGAATGTATGTACCTAAGTATGCGTTGCAAACTGAGCAAAAATGATTAATATCCTTATAGTTTCCAAAGAGATACGGAAGCAGGCAGCAAGGTATGCATCTGCAATCAACCGAGCATTTTACTTGTACCTGTATACGTATTATTTACCCAACAAGACACAAAATTGCGGACATTATATGAACTCTTTCATTTGGAGCGACTTCAACGGTAGAAACCGATCTTCGAAAGCAGTGAGGGCAGTGCACGTTTTGTGGAGATTTGCCAAAAATTTCATCGTCACGAATGAAGGAACGATCTACAATGTAATTAGACGCAGGTGTAAATTTGTACTGATTCACCTGGAAATAAAAACTCTCTTTCAGCGTTATCGTGACGATTGGGGTTGACTTCGTTATAATTCGGTGGTGGCGCTTCGTATGGTGTTGAAGAGGTAACTACTGAATATGGTGGTGGCAAGTCCTGGTACATCATCGCGATGTTTAATATGCAACTGTCGGATAAATATTAATGAATACTCTTTCTGATAGTGGAAAGATAACATCACAATGAATCCACGTGTCAATTAAGGCGATTTAATCAATATCAATTGCGGTATCTGGTACTTGAATGATAACGAATCTTCTGGCGGAAATTGAAACACAAAAAAAATGCGCAATTCAAAATTTCTATAAATAAATATTTTATTTAAACGAAATATTTAAAATTGTGTAACAAAGAAGAAAACAATAATTAGCTATAACAAAAAAGTTTCGCCGAACTGTTTTTCAGTTGGTAGAGTGCCCAGGATACATGCGTTATTTCCACGTTGGATAGCCAATGATATCCTTTGAAATAAAAATTGCTTAGCGCGTTTGTCGCCGGATTCCGCAATTATGCTTCTGCCTATTTTATTCAGAAAATCTCGCGATTCCTTGCACCATGGTCCAAGTGTCTCGAAGGCAAGTCCCATAAATATATAATCTTTCTTTAGATCTCGATATTTGTTGTGTTTTTTTGAGCATGCCTCTTCTGCTCCAGATTATATGTCACATATTTTCCGCCTAATCAACCAGAACACCAAATAGCACAGGTAAAAACTCCCCTTGTTCATAGCAATATTATCCCCTCCTCCTCCCATTCATCTACAACATTTTCTATTTTATTTTTTAACTCTTTCATTCCTGCTGTATATATTTATCACTCTCATTCTCTTTCCTTCCACTTCCACTCGTCTCTCCTTCTCTTTCACTTCCTCGCCCCATTCCTTTGTCGCTTGTTTACTCCTCTTAATAAGTCTCCTCGCGAATTGTTTCTTTCATATGTATTCAATCGGTAACCTATTCTTTATTTTCTCCCAGTTATTTTGTTTATCCGTGATTCTACCACTCTACCACCATATCCTCACAGAATTGTACGTCTTTGCTTTATCGCCGCAACATTCCATTCATTCACATTCATGTTAATCGTCCCCATTTTTATTTCGTTTCGCTCCTTTCTCCTGTTGTTCGTTTAGGTCTCTGTCTCGTTCCCCAACCCTCCCCCTCTTTCCGTCTTCTCTTTTATTGTTGATTTATCTCTCCAAATCCCGCCTTTCCTCTTTCCTTCCCTTCCTCTCTGTTCTCACTAGTCCGTTTTTTTTGGTACTCCATCTGTATTCTTCGTCTTCCGCCACTTGCATACAATGTATATGTTGTTTTCAGAATTTCAATAAATAAATAAATAAATAAACTAATCTTCTATATCTCCAGCTTGCGTTCTTGTCCTTTCCTATTTCTTTCTCCGCCTCCTCTCTAATTTTGCTTTTCTTTCTTCATAAGTCAACTTGTCATCTATGCATACCCTGCTTCGTTTCAACTTTTTCCTCACCCCTCATAACTTCCCACAAAAAGTGTTTTCTCGAGAAATTTTGGTGTAGTCGATTTTTAGTAAAAAAAAGGAAGGTTGTACACTGCCTTTTTTTGAGGCCCGAAGAAAAAATTGTCTCAGATCGACCCGGAAAAAAAATTTCTTATAGGATGTGGCCTGTAGAATCCATAATTTCAAACAGTTCCAAGATTGGGCTACTAGTTCAAAAGTTACAGCCCTTTGAATTTTCTTTCGAAATTGGTTTCTAGTCCATAACTTTTTATTGAGAAATCTGATCGAAAAAGTACGAATTGTTTTGGATTCTACGCACCAAAGTTAATAAGAAAATGTTTCCCGAGACATTTCGGTGCAGTCGATTTTTGGTAAAAAGGGAAGGTTAAGTATTCAAATACTATGCAAAGTATTCGAATACTTTACGAAGTATGCAAATACTTTGCGAAGTATTCGAATATTAAATATTTGTGAAAGTATTTGTGTTACAAATACAAATACTGCTTCCATAAAAGTATTTAATTACAAACTATTTGAATACTTTAAAGGATTTGAATACTAAAAAGTATTTACAAAATCGAAAACTGCCCAGCTCTGGTGATGTTCAATACCGCATTGTATGTGATTGTCCATAAGGTTGGGCGGGTCTGAATTTGTAGGTTCCTCCCTTCGGTTTGAGTACTTCCGTCTTTTGATCTTGGAATGTTTATGTGAATTGGCATGGTATATTTCTTTTTATTGTCAGTGAGAGAGAGAGAGAGTTATGACCACCTCGCCAGATTTGAATACTAAAAAGTATTTACAAAATCGAATACTGCCCAGCTCTGCTGACAGATATTGGGAACGTTGAGAAAAACTCTATATTGTAAAATGTTTAATTATCCAACTGTAACGATCAACTCCTATTCAAGGCAACAACAAAATAATACAAAACTCGATTACGCATATATACGTTTTATATTCTCTAATTATTCAATATAGCTGTTATATGTATGATTAGGATGATATGGTTATTATCACAATGGAAATATATTCTCTACAAGGCTTATGCTGGCGTTCCTTAGTGAAGGTGTCATTTTCCTTGTGCGTTCATTAATATAAGCTAACGTTTCATCCCTGTAAGCGAGGTACCTCTCGAATAAATGCATCTGTCTGTAAACAGCAACAATCTTTTCTTCAAATTCATCACCAATTCGCCCATAATTGTTTTTAAATATCCGTCGCTGCTCCTCATTTCCATTTTGCAACACTTGAACCGCTAACCACGTGCATTTGCCTTCACTAATATCGTTGCCAATCTGTTTCCTAACGTTTCCATTTTCGAATATGTCCAAAACATCATTCTGTAATTAAACTTGTTAGCCAAATTTCGCAACACTTACATCTTTACATCAATCTGAAAAGCTTCACCTAATTTCATTACCACGTCACGAACTTCGCGTAGCGTACTCTCGCTTCCATTACCAGACAGTATTAAAGCAGCTCGAAACGGTCCTTCCACGAAGGGTATACTGCCCTTGTAACGAATCGTAGTCTTGTATTTGTCCATAGTGAACGGTGCAAAGATTGCGTCCCCGTTAATGTTGCTCTTCCAGTCCAGCGATTGCCCCACCGCTGCCATCATGTTTATGTACCGAAATAGGTCCGACAGTGGCAAATAAGCTTTGCGATTTGAAAAATATTTCTTCAAAAGTATAAATGCCCCCTCCAAAACCAAGGTTGCGTCGTTTACGGCGTTCAGTCCAACCTCTTTTTTTCTGTACCATGTTATCTCGTTAGCGCGCGTTTGTGAGCTGTCCATCAAGTCGTCGTTGATTATAATGGATGTGTGTAACTAAAAAACGTTCTACAATAAAAAACCAAAAAATGTGAGGACATTTAAACATAATCATTATGTCTGATGGTAAACCTTTCAAAATTTAAATTAAAAATCAAGAGGGGGGCCTCAAAATATCGAATTAACGTCTTACGAATAATTGCAATATAAAAACCGAAACAAACACATTTTGCGAATCTCGTTTTTGTTACTACCGCGATGGTTACAAGATTTTCTTAAATTATAAAGTGAACATGAACTCACCAGTTCTACGCACCATGCCAAAATCTTCGCCAAATGCAAGTTTTCTTCGGTTAAATTCTCAGACGCCTCCAGCGTCGTGTAGGTATCCAGTATGATGCTCGGTCTGAACCTTTTTTCCTTCAGCACGTTGAACTCCATCACTTCGGCAAAATGATTTGAAAATTTGGGTACATTCGAATACAAAGCGGAATTGGTTAGGGTATCGAGAACTTCAGGGAATACCGACACGAAGTTTTCTTTCTTCTCATCTCCATTAACGCGTCTTTGTAAAGTTGTAAAACACTTACTCAAAGCCAACCTGAAAATTGAGTTTGATTTCCGCTTCGGTACATTAATGTCAATTACTTGCGCTTGGCATTTGGAAAACACAACATTCTGGAATTTTCTTCTTACACGTGTGCGTGCTGAATGATCACTACTGTAGTGCTTCTTCACTGATCGGAAGTTGTTTACATTCAATTTTTTACTTTCCTGCATTTCAAGTAAATCAACTTTTAATTATTTAATTATCGTTAAAAATGCTAATTAATATTATCAATACTAATAACACTTCGCTGTCTATCTACTAATAACAATAACCAAATTGATGACCTTGTCTTGTCAGAACTTGATTATTCCCTTTGTCTTTTTCTTTCCGTTTAGTGGGCTTTGTGTTCCTCGAATAATGAAATAAGTATGAGTGCGATGTGTTTATTAAACTTTAATTGTAAAAATTAAATTAAAGCTCATCAACGGGTTCGACTGTGAATAAATAATTAAATACCATTTAACAACATGTATACAACTGAAACCGATTGGCCTTTCAAATGTTTAGTCAAGATCCTGGTCAAGATCATTGAATAATAAATTCAGATTTATTATTCAATGTCAAGATAGATTGGTTTTTAAGATATTTCTCCCGTCCAATCACAACATGAAACCGACACAACATCTGTAAAAGTATCTAAAAGTTGAAATCTGAATTATAATGAATTGCATCGAGGCGGAGAATCTGCCACTGAATACGAATGGAGAAAAATAAAGGTTGATAAAGTTAGCACAACCACTTTGCCTAAATGAAGTAAAAATATGCCTATAATTTAGGACCAATTAAAGACTAATTTGTACCCACAAAATTAGAATTTTTACCCGCTTAGTTAATAGTTCCGCTGGAAAACCGATTTTTAAAGCTATCATACAGCAACTGAAGACCTCATTGTTACCTACGTATCGAGATAAAAACCACTATCGCGACTACGTTGATTTGTTATTAACTGATCTAATAGCGATTTGATCACAAAGATTGCCAATCCAGTCTCTCTATGCCAAAAACGGCAAATAAAAAAAATAATTCGTGTAGTTCCAATTTTTTCGGGAATGCATGGTTGCAGGTCCCCAGGATTGTGTAAGAAAGTCCCGAGCGATTTCATCAAAATCGAAAGCTCATAAACTTTTCTACAACTTTGATTAAAAAAAAACACATTGCGGGAAAATTTGACATTTTCAGTTTGTTGGATTTTGAAAAGATTTTTCAAAGATTTCCAATGCGCTTTTTTAGTCACAAAAACGGGAAACTTTGCCCCCATTTAACCTACATTGTATCTCTCACCGTTACGGAGATCCCCCTGTGTTGGCAACAATATAGCTTCATTGCATATTCACATATTGTTATACAGGGTTACTGGTAATTGGATCCATTCCTTTGGAGAGGTGATAGAATAAGAGATACGGAGTAGATTTAACCCTAATATGCATTACAGAAAACTCAAGAGGTTTTGAGATATTTTGATTTTTAAAGTAGTAAATCGGAATGCTCCCTTTGACTGTAACTTTATGTACGGGTCGCCGAGGTCGGGTGCGGGAATATTAAATAAAATCACTGGCCGTAGTCCTAGCTTATTTATTGAGTCACAATTCGGGGTATGTCTATTCTGGGTGGTAGTCGTAATCGGGTAGTTTGTCTTAATCTAAATTCCAAAAAAGCCGAATTAGCAATGGTGGACAACGCCACGCCAGCATGTGTGGCGATAACAGCAAATACAGTAAATCCATTAACCTAAGTTCATACATAATTCCAAGAAGTAATATAAACTTACCTAAATTACAAAAAAGCCGAACTTCACAAGAATTCTTAAAGTGCGCTATGATGGCTAATGTTCGTCTTTTACTTGTACCATTGAATAATAAATCTTGTACATAGAAGTTCCTAAATTGCCAGGACACCAAGATAATGAGGAACTTTTTGCCCACATGCAGGGGCAGACTGGATACTTACGGGCCAGGTGGAATTGCATATGTTACGGGCCATTAAAAAGTATTAGTGTAATGAAGATGGTGGGGGGGGGGGGGTGTAGCTCTGCTTTTTTGCTTCATTTAAAGTATTCCTTTCTCGAAAATCAATTAGAATATAGTTTTTTTTATTGCAGCTGATAAGTAATACATAATCCAAACGAGGCGCGTCGCTTGTAATTGTGTTTCAGCACTTTCAAAATACGACAAAAAATGATAAATTCATTGTAAAACACTTAAATAAAAACAGAATTTTTTAATAAACAACCTAACATCAACCCCAATGAGAGAAACGTGTTAATAATTTATTAATAGTGCAAGAAACTAAATACAGCACAGACTTATAAATTTCCAACGGGCCAATAGGACCTACAGGCCAGGTGCCAATCGCCACCCGCCCCCCCGGGCCAGTCCGCCCCTGCCCACATATTTTAACATATTTGCGTTTGAATTATTACGCTAAATGATAGATATTATACTAGCAGCGTCATCTGATGAGAAAAGGACATTAAAATTTCCTTGTACAAGATTTCTGTTTTTATTTAGAACTAGGTACCTTATGCGTTTCACTATAGTAGAAAACTTAATTTTCAAAAAATGTTATTTAACTATTTGTAATTTTTTTGCTGGAATACTTGTCCAACACACAAATGGTATTTCGTTTGGAATAAAAAAATATCCGCAAACATTTTGGATAGTGTGAAAATTTCAAAGAGAAACTTGGAAAACATAATTTTAAAAATCTCATCTGGAAATCTCCTTAAATGTTTGTTGTAAGATTCGTACCCTGCTAGATAGCTATTACAATAATGAAGTTTTGAAAACAATTTGTACGTAAACTGCATTGCTAATTGATTAATTATTCGAAAATAACCTTCAAGAATTTTATTATCTCCAAGATTTTCTTTGAAATTTTCACACGATCGAAATGCTTTTGGACCTATTTTATTCCAAACGAAAGACCATATGATTGGGTAAATATTTCAGTAAAAAAGTTACAAAAAAAACTACATTTCTTGAAAATTTTTACGAAAAACAAAAAATTGAAATATCTCGAAACCTATTAGGTTTTGTATTATACATATTAGGGCACATTTACTCCTTATATCTTGCTCTATAACACCCCCAAACGAATGTATCTAATTACCAGTAACCTTGTATTATGTATATGCACAGATTCTTTTAAATAAGATCTCAACGCAAAAAAAAACTATTATGACGGAAAAATTGACGGTGGTAAGAAAGTGGAAGGTAAAATAAAAGACAAAGGCCAATGCATACTATAATTATCAACAAATGCTTCGTTCGGTATGGTGCCGATCAAGTCTGACTACGTGTACTCACTCCTTTGCTCTTAGCACTAGGACTATGCAGGATGACGTTCAACAAATTAGAGACAAGTTGAAATTTGGCAGGGTACTTTGTTTGAAGGTATTAAATATCTTCCGAAACCCCTGCGCCGATGCCCGTCACCCCAAAACTACCCCCTAAGCGGCATAAAATCTACCTTTTGAAATTTTTCTCAATAACTCTAAAACTAAACTTTAAAAAAAAATAATGCAACGAGAGAAAAATTGTAGGGAAGAAAATTTTGTTCAGTGACAATTCATTCAACTACTTAATCGAAATACTATGGAATTTTATAATATTACTTATTCACTATTATATTATTAATTCACTTAGGTTGTCCAAAAGATGATGATTTAATACTGCCTCCTGTAAGGGGGTCCGGCCGAAGTGAGATTAAAAGCTGCCGTTTAACAAATAAATTTGCAAAAATGCGATAAAAAAGAAGGAGAGTTTGGAAAATATTGACTCTTCACAGCAACACTAACTGCAAGTATGAACTAAACGGAGAATGAGTCCAGCTACGTTTGTTTCTGATATACAGGGTGAAAACCAACAGTTTGATTTTTGGGATGTTATCATATGGAACTACTCATGTAAGACAGAAAAAGGTAAAAACTGCCTATTTCAGTGACGTGGTAAAAAAAACTTTTTGATCTAAACTTGGTATTTTTCAATACAACACCCTGTATCAACTTTTTTGCATTCCTTTTCCTGATTTCATTGATGTATACCTATACTCCTTTTAACTATAGCCATGAAAATCTTAAAAACCTAATTTTTTGCTGTTTTTAAATAGTAGGCCATGGATTCATGGATATTTTGTTTTGTTTATTGTATCCATAGTAACTAAGGCAGCCGATACCAATCACTAACGGTAGAAACTTGTCATTTCAAAATTTTGAAAAAAGCATAACATATAATATTAAAATTATATACTATATAAAAACGAATATATGATGTGATACATCATTAATGTAATCAGGAAAAAGAAATACAAAAAAATGAAAGGTGGACTTCCGGTACAAGAAGTGGTATATCATTGAAAATTTTTTATTTGAAACGGGGTCATTGGATAACCCATGTACAAAGAGTTTTTTTTTAAACAATACATACGTAAAATGTCCCTGTGTGACCTTTTTAATGTACCACATCAAACCATTAGAAATTTTAGATCAGGATTTAGGGAACTTAAATAGCACCTATTGGCCAATCCCCTTAAAAATAGGAAAATTTTGTAATCGCTTAACTAAGAACGAACGCACACTATTAAAATTCATAAAATACATTTCAAAATCCTTAAAATACTGAACATATTTTTGGAAATTTATTTTTTGCACCAAAATTTCCTTTGAAATTCCAGCATTCTTTGGAAATTGTTCAATATTCAGTAGCGTGTAATGTAACCAAACAAAATTGTTCCCGTATTAAGTTAGCATACGAATACTGCGAGAAATACTGAATTAGAAAAACAAAAGTTCAATATTTGGGAGTGGAAAGATTCAAAGAAATTATTTTATCATTGATGCAATGTTTCAAAACGTGGAGATTGAAGGGCACACAAGGTCGCGGTTTGTAAATGCAATGCAGCTTATTAGGTTTCCACTTGAAACCCTGCACTTAAAAAATTCGAGCACGAAGATTAAAATAATTGAAAGCAAAAAAGCCAAAATGTCAAAATTCGAGTAAACAAAAATACACTATCAATTCTGAAATGAAATTTTAAACTACAGAAATTGTAAGCTGCCGCAGCTTTATATCTCTTGACTTGCCACAAACAAAATTATATTTATTGTAAAATGGTTCAAATAAATATTATTATGGTCGGTGTTTCTTGTGAGAACTCAGGTCTAGCCTGGTTAACTAATCGCACGGATTAAAATCAAGTTACGATTAGTGTCTGTGTCTGTGTCTGGTGAAGTTATGTAGGGTTCTAAAATAAAAAATAAAAAATAAAATAAAAATTCACACACTCACATTGGAAATCTAGGGATAGTACATATTATGTAATTCATACTTACCAACATAGCTATTGATGGCCACAATAGTCAACGCTATCAGGAAAGAGGAAAACAAAACAAAAAAATCATTATAACAATTTATAATAATAAATATAATAATAAAATTATAATAATAATAATAATAATTATTATTATTATTATATTTTCACTTAAAAAATATTTCCTAAATTTGTAATTTTAAAATTTGAAGAACAAAAACTGCACATAAAATGAACCGATACAACGGAATATCGAATGATCCTCAGTATTACCATGACTTTTTTAACGGTCATTTATTTTAAACATATAATGCATCAAACTAATGTCTTGGGCGTTAAGATAATGCTCTTTCCTGACGATCTCGGTGCAAGAATACCAACTTTGATATACAAAATCCATGTGGTCTCTTGGTCTATTTTCGAACGATCTTGGTGCATGAATATTTGGTATGCTTTGATTAAAATAAATGTGGCCTCAGAAAAAGAATTTAATAACATATTTAAAAATTCAGAAAGAGCAAAAACGTACGTAATTCACGTATTCACGATTGCGGTGGGGGTCGTTGCTTACAGTTACGGGGGATCACATCGAAGACCCCTTTCAGGCAGCATTGAATTCATCATGTTGTAGGCAACCTAAGTGAACAGTTTCCGGCGTTTTATAGTACCTAATATTAGGAATTACTATACTATTTCGATTAAGTAGTTGAATGAGTTGCTGAAATCTGCGCCACTGTACATCTAAAAAATTTGACGTACATATATGGTAGGAAATTTTCTTCTCTACAATTTTTATCCCTTGACATTTTTTCTTATTAAAATGCTTTGGAGTTATTAAGAAAAATGTGAAAAAAGGTAGATTTTACCCCACTTAGGGGGTGATTTTGCGGTGACGGGCTCAACGCCTCTACGCTAGGGTGTCAGAGGGTGTTTAGACCCTCACAACAAAGTACCTTGCAAAATTTCAGATGATGGATAGGCCCTGTGCTATCTCCAGTATGGTCATGGTAATTGTCGCCAGTTGACTCTAAAAAAGAAATTGAATAAAATGATTAAAAGAACTGTATTTCAAATTATTTAATCACCTTGTGCATTAGAAAAGTCAAAACCATTTCTGATACATACGTAAAAAAAGAGGAAAATTAGCGAGAAGGAATTTAAACTTGTTTTTAAATGTTGCTTTAGTGCCTTTGTATTTAATAAAAGAATATTAATACATTTATATTATGATTTATTGACTCTTTTAATTAATTTATTTATTGCAATACTATTTACAGTATTCTTTAAATGTTAATGTTATTGAACAGCAGACGTTTGTCACATCGATACTTACTGAATTATGGAATAACAAGTACATACATCGCATACCTGTTTGATCCTATAATAACTACATAAACCCAGATGTTAAACAAAGTTTTGTTATTAAATCAAATTTGTATTACAGAAAAGACTAACAGAACAGAACACGATCTAGCCAAATGCATTTCTCTTTTATTCAAAATGATATGTTGTGACGTACCTAATGTGAAAGAGAAAAAAGTCCCAATAAGTATAGTTGAATATCAAGAAACACACTTAGCCTAACATTTTTTTGTATTATCTCCACCTCGCAAATTAATATTAGGCCGCTAATTGAATTGGTCGAAATCAATCCAGCAAAAACGAATTTCACACTGCCTTCAAGAAATTATTTACATTTTCTAAGGCTAATAAAAAAGTCACGATTTTAAGTTGATTTAAAGCTATTAAATCACGGTGTTCGCAGAGCGAGATTCCAGCCACTTAATTTTCAGGGTGAGGTGTTAATACTTACAAATTAGTTAGTACGTTTACCTGCATTAGGACGTGGATCCTTCGGCAACGTGTCTATTAAGCGCAAAAAAAAGGTCGAAACCCTGTGAAATTCGTTACAAGAAAACAAAGAAATGCACTCTTGTTAGTGTATAGTGAGAAAATGTTAATTAATTAGTAGAAAAGATAGATCGATTCATCTACTGCGGTAGATTTATAATTAATCAGTTGAATACCTTATGTAAAATTATGAATCGCAATTCTATCTACCGATTTACATATTATATACTATGAGAATGGAGTGATAACATCAACAATAACAGCAACAACATTTTAGCAACAACAATACCGGAATCAAAATGTTACGTAGGTCTTTTTGGTAAAAATATCTATATTACTATTAAAGCTTTCAGTGTTCCACGTATATTAAAAAAGAAAGTATTACATCGGAGAGACGAATTAAAACCATACCCCGACGTGCATATAATTTTACCTATGTAACATTTTTCGTCATAACGATATAACCGAAAAGCCAACAGACTATCTACACAATGTCATGAGCCTGTCAATAGGGGGTGTATTTTAAATAAAAATGTACATGTAGTCCTTTAGAGTTTCTTTTTCGGTTGACACTAGATAACAATTGGCACACAATCATAAGAGTTTTACTTATGTTAGGGTAATAGGATAACACAGATGATTGGTGTTGCTCCTTTTCACGTTGAAAGTACATCACAGAACAGTTTCCATTTCTGCTATTTCAGTTGGAGAACTTAAACAGAGAGTGATGTTAGATAAAAAAAATGGTACAACGGTCAATTTGTCCTTAGAAGGAAATCTGTCTTCCAAAAACAGAAGGAAAATCACTACAACCCTTAAATCGTGCGACCTTTTTGTATTTTCATTCGTTTTTCTCAAGTATCTTAAAACATAGTAAAAAATGGATTTCTCTAAGAAAATCCCTTTACACATTTCACCTCTTTTCCATTCGTTCCTGAGAAGACGTGAAATTAGTTTTAGTATCAGGTTCTAATGTGATTTTGAGTTGATCGCACCGTAAAATTATGGCATTTCAATTCCCATTCAAAATGCGGCTTCGTATACAATTCAAATGGAAAAGAAAAATGGCACTTTAATCGTGTAAGAGTTACAGTTTCTGGTTTATTGTTCAAGTTCTAGACTAAGACAGGGAATTACAACCAGACGTGGAAAATAGTGCCTAATCAATAATTGCAGCAAAGTTACTAGTAACGTTTAAAAGTTATTAATCTGACAAAACACTCTCATAAAAATGGAAGATTTCAGTTGTAAATTGATTGACAACATTATTTATATTTCACAGTGGTTGGATACTCCCTGTAGGGTAAAAAAAAGAATTAATAATTTGCAGATTTATCGGATTTATGCATACATATAGAACCAGCAGCGCCAACTTGACGTTTACAAGCATTTTAAATTTTGATTCATTTGAGATTCATTAGAGAATTATTTCAGAGCGAATTTTCACTAGGGGTAGGACGTGTGTTTGGGTTAACTGGAATTCTGTTAATATTGTAATATTATTACGGCACATGGAAAAAGTAGGATTAAATTACGAATAAAGAATCTGCAACTGAAATAGCACTAGGGTCATTGAAAATAACATAAGGGAGCCATTTAATAATATTAATGATGAAGAACACGAATAAGATAAAAAAGGATGGGATAATACACCAACGGAATTGGATTTCCACACGTGAATCTTGCTATTGTTTTAAAATGTTTTCTTCCTTCCCAGAAATATTTTAGTAACCACTCCCTTATTAGATCGTTGTAATTACTACCTCCTCGTGCGTTCTCTATCTCTCTTTACCTTCTGTTGTTGGATTTGTATCCAAATCCCTTTTTGCCAGCTCATTTTCTATCTTTTATTCCACTGCTCTCCTTCTTTCGACCTCAGTCCGTCCGTATCCATTTCTGTCGTAATCTTTTCTTCTTAGTTCTCCCCACGTTCTTTCACCAATCCACCCCTTTCCTAGAATGTTACCGCCCTGCGCCTCGACGCTATTTTTTTTGCATTTTACTTATTTCCGCTGATATACAATTCGTCCTTCCGTTTAACCCTAATACCTATTCATAATATCTTTCTTGACCACTCAGGCTCCAATTCTCTATATCAATCTAATCGCCACCACCCCCTTCCCCTTAATTCTCTTGTCGGCGCATTTGCCCATTGTTTCTTTGGTAACCTAAATATTTAAACTCTTTTACCTCTTCTATTCTTTCCTCCCTCCATTTCTATTCCATCTCCTTTTTGCTTCCACCCCCTTTCCCAAATCTCATAATCTTTGACTTCTTTGACATCTTGTTCCTTAAATAGATTATAATATAAGTTTGGGTTGAGTAGGCATAAAACACCTCAGACTCTTTCCCTTCTTTTCTTACCCTCAATCTTGTTTCTCCATATAGTTCCTTGTGTTCCTTCTGTCCTTTAATTTCATGTTTATTTTGCCATTTTTCATACTTTTTCCACTCTGTCCAATGTTGCCTTTAAGTCCACGAAAAACACTTTTCCCGCTCGTATTTCCAATTCCTTTTTAGCAATCTGTGTAATACAAATATGCAGACGATCGTCCCCCTTCCTTTTCTGAAGCCCAATTGTGTTTCCTCCAACATCCTCTTCTCTTCCGTTTTCCTTTCTAGTCTTTCGTTCAATATCATATTCTATACGCCGTAATTATAGTAATTCCCATATAAATTCTCACACAATATTTGTTCCCTCTTTTTTGAAGTTTTGAAGATGCTTTGCCCCCCCCCCTTCCCCCATCATCCTTCCCTTGGGCCTATCTGTGACGAAAATCCAAGCCTCGTTTCCCATCTCGCCTCGCCTTGTCGCTTTTGCTTTCTTCAGTATTTTTAATTGCTGCTCGATTTCTCTAGTCACCCTCCTCTCTTGTGTAGTAACTTGACAAACTGTTGTCTCCATTCCTCTAATTTTATTTCCCTCGCACTTTTCTTTTTTCCTCTGTTATCACCTTCCAAAAATCCTTTTCTGTTTTTATTTCCTTTCTTTGCTCTTCCTATTCTTTTTGTTTTTCATCTTTTTTCATTTTCTTTTGTAATTATTTCTGTCCTCTCACCTTTTTGTCGTCTATTTCTCTTCTTTCCTTCTCCATTATTTCTCAATATCTATTTCTTCTTCTCTACACTCTGTCCCACCACTCCTTTCTTTTTTCCATCTCTTTCAACTATTTGTTTTCACCTTATTGTTGTTTCCTTTATATTATTCCACTACTCCCCTGTATTTCTTCTCCTTGTTTCTGTCTCCCTCTATTCTCCGTGTCTCTTGTCCATAATTGAATCTCTCTTAATCGTTTTCTCATAATTCTAGTAGCACTTCACCCTCTTTGTTGCACTCTTTTATCTCTTGATTTTCTTTGTTGTGTCCCTCTCACCCATCTCCACCATTTTCCTTTAATTCCTGTTCTGACATTAAAATCTTCCCCCAATATTACCTAGCCCGTTCTCCTCTCTCTCCATCTCATCTACCATATTCCTTCATTCCTTCTCTGTTTATAATTATCGTTATCACTCTTATTTCGTTTCATCCCACATTCCCTTATCCCTTTTTACCCCTTTTTGCTTTTCCCTTTATTGTCCCTCTTCGCAAATTGGTTCATTTGGAATTCTGTTCTTTATTTTCTCGCAGATCTTTTATTCAAAGTGAAAGAAGGGCCAGAAAATATTTTGTTCCTGCTGGAGGCAGCAGTTGAGATCACGGGAATCGAGAGAAGGGGTATCTAACTAGTAATCACGAATAAGGATTTCTGCATTTAGGGAAAAAAAATTAACAAAGTATTAATAAAAATGGAGGATAGATATTAGGTTCTTTCTGTGGGTAGTAGGTCCGACTTACGGAAGGAGTTAAAAAAAGAAAGGATGTGAAAATTTACAGGGATTCTCATAATCTGACTCAGATGAAACTTTTTTGAGGCATTTGTTTATTGTTTCAGACGTGAATTTAACCAGTTTTCAACAGTATTTTTCCTACAAAATACACATATAATAATATCATCACAATTTAGAGTGTGAAAATCGGCAGATTATGTTTCTTCTGTTATTCTTGAATTTCTTTCGGTTTAAAAAAAATTACAACGCGCTCGACAATGTCAAGGTAACGTTTTTGTTTGTTTGTGACCTTCCCACTCCCCTACGTCACGCTTAAACCGTCAGATTATAGAAATGCACACCTTTCAACACGTAGTTAACCCACCTTACTTTAATCTGACGATCATTTCTAACTATGCATTGTGTGGAGATACGGGGTGCAAAATATCCCTCTTTATGTTAATCTGCCGCGTTTGAGTACATATCAAAATTCCCTATTGGGCTCCTATACTATAAACTACAGAACAACAATTCGTTTTTATTTAAAATACTGAATCTCGCATCAAAAATAGTCTAAAAACAAGGTTACTCCCATTTCCATTGGTTTAATCCTGTTATATTCCGCCGAACAGCGAATTTCCCTTTGGAAAAAAGTAGCAAACGCTTATTTTTAATCGATTTCAAAAAGTCAAATGTAAAGAATTTAAAAATGAGAGGTATACACGGTCAAATAAAATAGATTTGATTTAAAAGACTAATTGTTAGGGCTCAAAATGTTCGTCACGTCACGTAACTCTAATTTTGGTGTTCAATTAGGTTGGGCCACCCTGAATGTAGCATAATTTGAATTTTTGAGTGCAAATATAGTGGGCTATTTACGAGTAAACACAAAGTTGGTTTATTTTATTTGAATTTGTATTTCCTTCAGAAATTTCCTTCGCTTTTGTAATTTATTTAATTTAGATAAGGTGTGAGAAGTGATTTTGAGTGACTTATAAAGTGTTACATCTGGACGTTGGCGATATCATGTTTTATTGTTGGGCGAAATTTAATTAACGCACGTGTTCTTTCGCTGATAGAGAGATGCAGATGTTACAAAGAATCGCATTGTGTAATTGTGATTGGAGATTTATTTAAAAATTTATGAAAGAGGAGTTTTTATGTCGGAAGCGGTGTTTCTAGTATTGAAGCCAGCGAGAAGACAAGGCTGTTGGTTTTGCGACGGTAGAGGAGCGATTACATCTTTTTACGATAAATATTCGGGCGTTCATCCCTATTCGTTTAATCATTTCGTGAGTTAAATGCGCTTAGTACAAGTATCGCAAATCGTTTGCAACAGATTATTAGAATTATTTAAAAAAAACTGTAAGTAATTTAAGATTTTTGAATTTCTTTAAATTGTCGACCGCCGGCGTGCGGAGTAATGTGCCCAAATAGGATTTGTAAACTTTTCTTTCTTTCAGGGATTTTTTAAATTCTTTCTTGTGTTTCGGAATCAATTTTTTTCATTGCCAATCAATAAATTGTGTGTTTACTCGAATCCAAAGTGCGACACAGATAGTTTTCATGGTAGATTTTTTTATTCGTGCCCATGATTTATTTCAGGCGTTAATCATAATTTGTGGAGTTTATAATTTTTACCTTGCAAGTCTAAAATGATAATGGAAAAATTAGACATGGTTAATAATACTTAGTTTTGGAGATAATTAAGAAAAACGAATTTCAGCTGACGGCGTCTTGGTTGTAAAAACAAGGTTTTATGGTGTTACTTTGACAGAATCATTCCAAGGGCAAAGATTTTATACGTGAGTGATTACTAAAATAATAATGCATGACAGAAAACTTTGACTTCCGTTGATTTCGAAATAAAAAATTATAACTAAAGTAAGTCATCTCATTTTGGGGATTTTCGTACAGACAGACGGAAACTTGAGCATCTTAGCTCAAACTGAAATAACAGATAACATTCATGTCATATTAAATGTCGATGCGCAATGAAAGTCAAAGGTTTTGTCGTGAACGTGAAAATAGAAAGAGACTATACCTAAATAAATCTGTATTGCTTCCCATCTGATCAATATTTAAACTCTTTAACCTCGCACGCGCCTTCTCTGCCGTTATAACCACTCTGTAAGTAATTATTTATTGTACCGTTAATACACACACGGGACACATTAAATGTACACTCTAAGGCAATTAACTAGATATCATTCTCTAACACACATGCAAAGGCAAATCCGTGTAGACTTACTCTGAGGAATCAGACGAAGAACTTAAGCAGGACTTAAGACAATTGGTGCTACGTTGAGGATGCCTACCATACATAATAATTAACATAAGTAGTAAGATATGTTGAGGTAAATTGTTGCAAAATCCCATAACAGAAAAGCACGGGTGACTTTTAAGAAAAAAGTGAGCCAATTGGTAATTGATTGAGAAAAAAAATCATGCTGCGTGCTACTTGTATCCAACTTCACTTTAAATTGAATACCAGTAAAAACGATTATGGACAAATTGATAGTGAGTACTCACTGTTTTTGTGGCGGCGGCTTAATTCCGTGCGACTCCAATTCCTTTTCGAGCTGCTTGCACCTCATCTGCGACAGATCAAGTTCTCGCTTCACCTTCCACAGATGAGTATCACATATTGGGTCGCGGCAACGATGGTTTCTAAGTATATCTTGAGCTTCGAAAACGGCACCGCGAAACGTTAGGCTTTTACCCATCGACAAGCTGATCAGGGCGCAACAACCTCCCCGATCAGTTTTGGCGAGATGCTTCCTCACGTACTTAAAGTAGAGGTGCTCGAGAAAAAGCAAAAGCGCTGCCAGTAATATTCCGGCCATCAGCAGGAGAAAGGCAGATAAGAACTGCTCTAGCGCCAATGGATCCGAGCTCTTATGCTCTTGCTTGCCAGGTTTACAGGTGCCCGTCATCCAGTACCTTCGCAAACGCTCGAGGTCGCCGTTTTCCCTAAAATCGAGCAGTCTTTTATTGAACATCTTAAGATATTTGGAATTGCGGGGGAATGCTAGACCGTATCCTGTCATCGCGTACCAGGATCCTACCGTCAGTAATCTACAGTCTTCGTCTTGAACGGTTAAATAATCTAATACCGTTCCGTCGTAAATAAAAGCATCTAGTTCGCTATTTAAAACCGCAGCTACACCTTCTAGTATTGTACTTTTATTGTATAATCTCATATACGAGTGCATATCTTTGAAATATTTTGCGATCGTCGAGTCCGAGTGTGACCAAGGGATCGTTCCGAATCGCAAGGTCGGTCGGTTTATTGGAGAACGGCCTGGATAGACGATGATCGTCCAATCCTAAAAGTGAAAATTAATGGTCGCCAAATAAATCAAGTGCAGACGTACCAGAAAATTCGAAATATTCCTCTCTCGTAATCATGAACGCCGCAAGATTGGCAGTGTATATGGCAAGGAAGACGACAGCGAACATGGCCCAAACGTTAGTCATAAATCTCGCCGTAAAGCCTCTCGGAGAGTCGACGTGTACGGCCGCTTGAAAAAGCACGGCCCACACTAGCCAATACGTTCGAAATAAAGAAAATCGATGCGATGCAGATGGCGAACTCTGGAAAATAAATAGCACCCGATAATTAATGGCGATTGTTTGCGTTTGAATGGTATTTATGTAGTTAATAAAGTACCTTTGCTACAAACTACAAATTATCTTATTCTATGAAAATTTGTGGCACCAATTTATTACTTCCACTTCCACCACCTTGAAATATCGCTCATCCAGTGTAGTCATCAAAAATCATTTGTGGACATGGAATTAGGGGAGAACCGAAAATAAAACACAGGTGACGAGGGATTTCGTAGCGGCTGACACATTTTTTTGCAACAGTACCCACATTCAATCTGACATTAAAAGAAATTGTGCGATATAACTTTAGGAATTGATGAAAAGCTAAATAATGAGGTTTTATAGTGAACGAAATATAAATCGAACGTCAAGTCGAAATGGTTTTTTTCTCAAATTCCTCGTTAATAAATTTTTATTGAACATGATTAGGTACGACGCGCTATAATTAAAATTATTAACTAAATCTTAGTGCTAAAAATGTGAATGGAAAGCGATTCTTACCTTTACCTGCTTCAGCGAAAGCTTCATGTTGAATCCACTCGGCGATAACCATTCGAAAAGAAATATTGTAAATGTAGCCGCCTGTATCGCCACAACCCCGACAAGCATCCACGATGCCGTATCGAAAGGTTCCAGAAAGGCGGTAGGCGAAATGATACCCGTTCGTTTCGCAACGACGATTGCAATCCCGGTCTCCATAAATGGAACGCTAAAATCCACCTATAATAAGAAACGATCTAGTGTATTTATTGTACGGAAACAGAACTTTTAAATACAAGCATCAGATGTTGCAGTTGCTATTGAATTATGTTAGAAAACGTACAGAACATCCTCTGGGGATATTGAATTGAATTTTTTATGTGGTGAGTGAAAATGTGCGAAAATAACGATCAAGATTTGTATTCGTCTTTTTATAAGTTTAAATATTTTATCCAAAGTTTTCGGTTGGTATCACCACAAACACAGTCACTTTCTAGATATGTAATACCGGCCACAACAGCTCAGCAAAGGTTGTGACCTGATACTTAAAAAGATGCCCTCACTCTGGGGCCACCCTATATCGGGGATGGAAATTTGTTATTACAATTTGACCGCAGGAATAGATATAAAAAATAATTCTAGGCAAAAACTGTTCTATAGGTAATTTTTTTGTAAAAGGAAGACTTTTTGAGATATTGGCAATCGAAAGTATCAGTTTTTCATAGAAAAGAACAATGTTTTTAATTGGTTACTGGTGAAAACTCGAAAAGTATGCATTTTATTAAAATAAATTGTGGAGAACAGCTTTTGTGACAAAGGAATGGTTTTTTTAATGATTGCTATGGCTCGAATAATGGAGAAACTTATAGAATCGGAAAAAAACAGCGGCCCCTACTGTAAGGACCCACTGTTGGGTGACATTTTGCAGCGGAAGCCTTTCTGCAAATAAATTTTGATACTTTTCTTTGTTTTTATTACTATGGAAATTGCAACAAGAAATCTTCATCATGAAAAAATTGCTTAAATGCTGTCGGCTAGCCATTATAATGCTTTGAGAAATGTTACCTCCCTTTTGCTACCCTTGCTCACATGAGAGATCTCCTTTTCTTTCATCTTTCTACTCTTCAGCCAAAGGGATATAATTATAAATGTATATTGAGGAAAATCAGAAGATGTTAAGTGTTATTGAAGAATGCATCCCCCTTTTTTCATTAATTTTTCAGTTACTAGTAGATCTACCTATCACAATTTGGGACAATTGAAATTTATTTTGTAATTTACATCTCATTTCTTACCTCCAAATAAATGAATTGTTTGAAATTGGGTTGCGGCTAATTTAAATAAGCACACCACACCTTAACCAAACCTTAATTTGTGATTACTGTGACCAATTATGTGACAACTAACTTTTGAACTAGATTTCATTCAATAAAAATGTAGTGGAATCCATGGACACCAAATTCCGGGGGTTCTTTTCTACGTTAAAAAAATTGAAAAAATTTAGTTTCGCAATAAAGGTAAAATTCACAAGAAAACCTTGGCCATGAGAATTTTGCTCCGGGTAATTAAACAAATGTTATAGTAAACTGGAAACACAACATTTGTTGCCTTTGTTGTCAGAGCTGGGCAGAATACTTTCAAAAAGTATTTGCATACTAAATACTTTTACGTCCAGCACAAGCGAATACTAGATACAGATAAATTGAAAGTATTCAAATACTTTAAAAAATAAGCATTCAAATACTTTAGAATGTATTCGAATACTTATGAAAGTATTCTAATACTATCATATATTCGAATACTATAAAAAGTATTCGAATACTTTGAAAAGTATTTCATTAACTTACTTTGAATAGTATTCGAATACAGTAAAAAGTATACTTGTCACTCAAATACATTAAAAATTTAAAATAGTGTACTAGATAAAAGTCTTAATACTACTCAAAAAATCAAGTTATACTTTGTATGGGGTTAGCTTTCTTTATATTTCTATTGTTATATACAAATTTAAGGGGAGTAAAAGCGTAATATTATTATTATATTATTATATAGGAGGAACCTACCTACCAGGACCTTTCTTATACCAGTTATATCTTTAAGAATACGTGTATCAGTTTTCAAAGCCTCGTGCACATGATACGTACGCCTTTCTGAAATTAATCCTAGCGATTTTGGAACAGATCTTTTATTGACCACCCGTTTGTCCGTGTGCATGATAGTTTGTTTAGAAACGTGTGATCGCTTTGAAAATTGGTACACATGGTCTTAAGGATATAAGAAAGGTCCCTATTGCTTTTAAGTTACGTAGACTATCGAGTCAAAAAGTTTCACTCCAGGATCATTCGGTATTCAGTTGTATCGGATTTTTATATTTCATTTTGTGACAATGGAAACTTTCCCTAAACATTTCTAAATTGTTCTCAAATAATTGAATAACTTAAAAGTACTGCCTTTTTTTGGGACCGGAAAAGAAATTGTCTGAGATCGACCGGGAAAACATTTTCTTATAGAATGGGGCCTGTAGAATCCATAATTTCAATCAGTTTGAAGATTGGGCTACTAGATCAAAAGTTACAGCCCTTTAAATTTTCTTTCGAAATTGGTTTCTAGTCCGTAACTTTTGATTGAGAAGTCCAGTCGAAAAAGTACGAATCGTTTTGGACTCTACGCACCAAATAAGAAAAAGTGTTTTCCCGAGAAATTTTGGAGTAGTCAATTTTTGGCAAAAAAGGAATACTTTGCGAAGTATTCGAATACTAAATATTTGTGAAAGTATTTGAGTTACAAATATAAATACTGCTTCCATAAAAGTATTTAATTACAAAGGATTTGAATACTAAAAAGTATTTACAAAATCGAATACTGCCCAGCTCTGGTGATGTTCAATATCGCATTGTATGTGATTGTCCATAAGGTTGGGGGGGGGGGGGTGAATTTGTAGGTTCCTCCCTTCGGTTTGAGTACCTCCGTCTTTCGATCTTCGGATGTTTATGTGAATTGACATGGTATACTTCTTTTTATTGTCAGTGAGAGAGATTTTTGGCCACCTCCCCAGCTTTTATTCCTTGGTCTTCAACATAATTTCAAATTAGCAAATACGGGAGGAAATAGATGAATTTAAAGTAGGAACAAGGATAGAATCAAATCACCAACCGATGGAATTGGGTATAAAAGGGAGTATAGGAAGCTCATGAAATAAAAAAAACGTGACCTAAAATGCGCACGGCCCTCTCTCAATCAAATTTTTGCTGCTTCCTTAATAAATATTGATTTTATTGCCAAAAAGGCATTTGCCGGATTTGAATCGCTTTCAAAATCTTTTAAGCTCTCGATGCCGTTTAAGGGAACATCTGTTTGAAATTTCAACCAAATCAGTCCCGTAGTTTCGGCTGAACCTTGTTTACAAGATTCATGCTGCACGCACACATACTTACATACAGACATTTTTTAAAAATCACGTTTTTGGGCTCGTACGACCTTAAAACGTAGCGTAAATCCGGTGAAATCTCAACATCGAATTTTGGAGTGATTTCAATAACCTCCCAATTGTTTATTGGTGAGGTTAAAAAACGCAAAGACGAAGGGGGACAAGAATTGTATAGATGGGAACTAAAGAAACAAGGAGCAGAAATGGGAGGAAGTAGAGGAGTGGAAAATATAAAGAAGAAAAAAAGCAATAACGTGGAAACAATAACTGAAGGCGAAGGGATTGAAAAAAAGAAAATCGTGGTGACACAGAGTGTACATAAGAAAGAAACAGATATAGAGAAATGATGCAGAAGGAAAGAAGAGGGGAAGTAGTGGATAAAGAGGCGAGAGAACAGAAAAAAGTACAACAGAAAATGTAAAGAAAAAAGATGGAGAAACAGGAAGAATACGAAGGGGAAATCAGGCAAATTTATTTATTTATTTTTATTTATTTAGTATCGCTCTCTTGTTCTGGGCCCTCAACAGGCTCGCGCTAATTACAGAGTGACCCGCATAACGCTTTTTATAAAAATAGAGAACGATTTTTGGAAGGTGATAAGCAGAGAGAAAAAGAAAAATAGAACAAGTGGAAGAGAAAAACAATTCGTGAAGATTTTGTGTGGGTAGGTATATAACCAAGGTACGCAAGAGCACGAATCGATATATACTTAAATGGGCAGTTGATGATAATAATATGCGTAATTGTAATTATTGTAAATAATAATTAGGTGCTAAACGGATAAATTCCATATAACATTGGTCGTTAAATCACTTGCAATGTTTTTAAAGGCACTCCACTTATAAGTCACAGTGTGAAAGGGTAAAATAATAATGTATACACTTACCACTGCTTCCCTTTCAGCGTTGATCATCAAGGAAGTCATCACCATATCGGTCTTTCTATTAACTAATTCGGCGATTAGACCGTTCCACTTGCTGTTCTCGTTCGTACCCCAGCGTCCATCCTCAACCCGCACCAATTCGTACGTAAATCCCAGTTCCTCGGAAAATTTCTCGAGGAGATCTATACAAAATCCCGCACAGCACTGATAATAGCTTCCATTCCTGTGCGCTAGGGTCATATCCACCCTGAAACAAAAAGCCATCACTGCCGCAAGTTTGAAAGACCTCTCCCGTATGGGAATTGCAATCTCGCTAAGTAAATTGCGAAAATTTCTACAGGCGCGTTCATGTCAAACCTACACGATGGCGTAAATCTTTTGATCCCTTCGTACTTAACTATACGAAGTTGTAAATTTGACATCTAATTTACATGATGTGGATTTAAAACAATCCTCGTACTCATGTAATGTTGAACGAGATATCAGTTTAAGCACGCTTCGCGTAATTTCTGAAGGGCGGCGAGTTTAGTATAAATTTCCCCGTTTATTTCGCCCTCTCTGATTTGGGCATACAGAATCAGAGGGCTGTAGGAAATATTTTGTAAATAGATTTGTACAGATGGGGGGTTTAACATAATATATTGTGGAGATACGCGTGGTTTTTATATGGACCGTACAGTAAAAGACCTTTGATATAATTACTCACGTTTAATAGTCTAAGAGGTGGCTGCAGAAAAATGTTAGTTATATGGCTGAGTGTCATGTGTGCCAGCGAGAAACCGTGGCTTAAGGTTGGGGGGAGGGGGCGGTCAAATATGCCTAATTGAGAGGTATTGAACAAATATGGCATCACCGGCTTTCTGTTCTCTCTAAGTCGTCTTTTCACGAAATAAAGGAATTTCCAGTATTGGTTGGAAGCTTTGAGGCCCCGAGGTGTACACCCTGTAGAAGCGCATTCAAAATTTAAACCATTATCTCGCAGCATCAACTGAATACTGTCGATTTTGCAATACTTTTTGAAAGTCAGGTCAAAGGAGCCTTAGGTGCCGCCGTTCCGGACGCTAAAAGAAAGCAGTAAAACTTCAAAAATTTTGAAAAATCTTGAATAACTTGAAAACCTTCGATGCTGGGTCGTAAGCGGACAATTCGCGCCCGGACAATTCGCACCCGGACATTTCGCTCCCGGATAATCCGCACCGGACCATTCGCACTCGAAAAATTCGGTCCCGAATAATTCACACCCGGATAATTCTGTAAATCTTTGGTTTATTAAAATTAAATATTTTTAAGAGGCTACTAGACCATTGCCTTTACAGATTGTATGTAATAGTGGACATCTTGGTAAACATCTACTTCATGGAAAAATGTTTCAAATACTAGTTATTTGGTCTTTCATTTTCAACACATCGCGATTCTTTAAGTATTTCCATTTCTTAAACATAATCACGCTGGTTTTTTTTGAAGTTGTATGAAGAGTCTGATATAGTTAAATCCTGTAATTTAAAAAGACATAATTTTTATCTACTGCGCTTTCGTTTTGAGAAAATAAGAATAGGTAACTGAAACGTCTTTTGTGGAGTAATTAACTACAAAATAGTTATACCTAGTTATAGTATATCTACAATATTATGTGTAATATTCGCTACTTTTGAGACGCTCTTAATATTAAAACAGAATCAACATACAATACCGTACACAAACAAAGTGATAAGTCTAAAGTTAAAAATATTTACATTATAAGATCAAGCTGAAAATAGAAAAAGGAAGTAATTTTAATGCTCCTTTACATAAAGATTTCTTAATGAAGACACATAAAGATTGTTCTTTATTTCTTTAGTTGAAAAGGGTGACAAAGGAAATGAATTAAATTTATTTTAGACAAAACGAGTATGTATAAATGACAATAGAACAATGCATTTCATAGATGGCACTAAATTTGGATAAGTAATTAAGATAATATTATAATTAAAGGTAAATTTGAAAAGACCCCGATAACACAAATTGCACTTCATAAAGAAACAATAAGAGAAATATCGTAATGACATCCTTTCTATTATTTCTGGAAGATGAATAGGGTTTATTACAAGGTAAAAGTAATTAGGTCCGAAAAATCAGGTTTAAGTACGTATGACCACAACTAATTAGAACTTTAACGCCTGTATAGTATCTTCATTCTTGAACGTTTGACAGAGTGGTATTTTAAAATTTATCTGAGCACGGGTTTTGATTTTGTGTATACTTTTTTTTAATTTTAAAAAATTTTATTTCTGGTGGTAGTGTTGTGGTGGTGTTCAGAAAAGGTAAGTTTCCAGTTTTCTTAGAACCAGTTTTACGTTTCTTTGACCACATATGGCTATATGTTGATTATTGGTGACTGAGTAAAATTACACTAACTGCTTATTTTTTTGCGTTATCTGTGCTACAACTATGGTAGTGAATGAACTTAAAAGTTTCTTTTTGATTTTCTTACTGTTATTTATTTTAGAGTTTGAAGAGATACATGGAAAAATTCTGGCATTTTTTTAAGAGATTGTTAATAATCAAAACAGTAAGGGTTTTGAAAATCTTGAAACGTTTTAGGAACAGGTCGATATTGATGATTTTTTCTTTTAAATGTTTGTAAATATTAAGTACCTATATACTTCCTTTTTAATTTTTGTATGGCATATACCTAGTACTGAAGCAAAACCCTTAGCATTGGCAATTGCGCAACAAGGAAGATAGGACATCATTGGAAAGGCTTTCCTTCTCTGAATTTGGTGAGACTATAATTTTTTAGATTTGATATTTTCGAAATATTTTAAAAGTAAGTTGAGGGCGCGCTGTTGTTTATGTCATTGGAAGGATGTCGGGCCGATCACTATGTAATAGAAGCTAATGCGATCGTGCGTCAAAATTATGCAGTTGCAAGTGGTATAAAAAAGAGAAAACTTGTACCTGCAACGTCGAATGCGCTGGAAATGAAACAACTAAACCAAAAAAATTACATATCCGAATTCAGAGATGGGCGACCTTACCAACGATGCATCATTTAAGATTTTAAGGGTTGCACTGTCAGCGATGCGAGACAAAGACATTAGTGAGCAAGTTTTATTTTAGACACTGTTTCCTTCCATGACCAATTTGACGTGCAAAACCGTTTTTTGAAAATTATTTTAATTTACAGAAATAGCTATGTATGGTTTCTAATGCACCACCGTATATTATTTAGCTTCGGAGAATTAACACCAAAATCTCCCCATAAAAATTGTTATAATAATAAATGGGTAGATTTTGGTGTTATTTCTCCGAAGCTTCTTAAGCACCCCATTGAGAGTCATGGATCTTCACAATTTCAGTATATTATTCAAATAATAGCCATATAATTTATAGCAAGATCAATTTTTTTCACGATATTTATCAACAATTTTTGCTTTTTTCGTTACTTTACAGTTCTTATCTCTTTAATTTTACGGAAACTCTCAAGAATCTATTTGTTTTACGTTCAAATATGATTATAATTTACTTGAGATTCTTTTAAGACAATACATACGTATTTCGTTATGTGTCCTTTAATAGGACGACATCGAAGGTTAGAGAACTAGGAAACGTAACTTGCAGCTATTAACAAATAATAATTGTTAAAATTTTATTTAGACTTATATTCCTATTGCAATATTATTTTTACGTGCTAAAAGGTTTCCAAATGAAAAAAACCTTCATTGTGAATTGGTACAATAAAACTGGGTAAATAGGTTTAAGAAATGTCAGGTGACAGTTTTGCTGATAGACCGATACCTGCGTTTAGCAGCATCCGTCTACTTGTGAACATGAGTGCATGGACAATTTACTTCACGGATGCGTGTCTTTTTACCTTTTTTTTGTTTTTTTTTAAATAAATTTTTATTCATGGTACCTTTAGCAAGTGTTCTCATGTTTAATACGGAGATTACAATAAAATAAGTACTAAATTCCAGATTTTGAGTGATATGGATGCTATTAAAGTGACCTAATATCTCTACTGCTTTGATACGGTCCATTCCATTTAAAAAGGTACATAGGATTGTACGTATGAATTCTTGCCTCATAAATACTATTAAAAAAATTATTCCTCTACAAATTGTATGGCTATTGTTTAACAAACATAAATATTTAAGTGCTACATTAAAATGCCAAAATCAAGGAAAATATCGTCTTTTGACCTTTTGACTTTTTTATACATAAGTTTCATCGTTGCTTATACCGTCGTCTAATGGGTTTTTAGGTTCGGCCCTCCCTTGCAAAAATTTAGTTTATCAACCTCTTCAAATTTCAATTTTACTGTGGAACCAACCACGGATATGGTCGTTGGCCTTTCCAGTTTTACTGCCCTTTTGGGTTTTTAATTGTTTTCCATCTATTGTAAGTTTTATAGCTATAGTCTCTCCCCAATTATCTTTACCATCTTGTAGATCACCTGAAGATGACCGTTGGTCGAAACATGTAGTGTATCACGTTTTATTAAATTATATGGGAACGGTTTAGAGAACTTTTATTCAATATTAATAAATTATCCCATTTAGAGTTTGAACACAAAATGGACGTCACGATTCCAAAATATCCCTTAATATTGAAAGTATCCAAATTTTAAATGTAGGTATACGTCTATTACATGCACAAATTAGTAAAACGTGATATTGGTGAGTAATATTGGAGATTTCAAGCTTTGAGTTAATTTAATACCTCACAGCCGACTTTCTATGTTAAAAGTCAACCATACACAAAATACCCTCTCAGGGGAGCGAAATTCTGGTGCGAATTTTTCCGGTGCGAATTATCCGGGGGCAAAATGTCCGGCTTAGTTGACTGACTACTCGTACTTTTTATTGAGAATTAAACTCAAGGTTAAACTGATGACTGATGCTCCCCTGGCCCATTTGGGCCCCTGACTCTGATTAGGAAAACTTAGATAAGACACTTGCGCCCCTATTGGCATAATGAGGTGCAAGACTCGTGTGAAGTGAACCACATGTAGGAGTACGTAGAGTAATGGCAGACACCGTTTTACTTTGTAATTCTGATCATGAGATTTACAATTGGTAATTTGGTATTGTGAAACAAATACACATTTAACATGCTAATTATGCGGAAATTATGTCATTTTAGCGTTTGTGCACTTTTTATATTCAAAGTCCAATGGACGCCTTTAACAGAGAATAATTAGGTTAAACGTAATGAGTATTAATTAGTAGTACTAAGTAGTAATAACGTTATAATCAGATATAACCAAGTTTAATGTAATATGACGACAGCATGAAGAGAGTTTCTTAATTTGAGTACTTTTATTAGAGTGCTTTCGATCCTTGCTATTGCCCTAGAAGATTTTTCACCGAAACTTGCGCAAGCTTTCTTGAAGACACCGGATGATCAGAAAGTTATACCTAGGTAAAGTGTGTTCTTCTACAATCTCCAAAGTAGAATTGTTGAACACAAATACTCCCAGACTTTTTTTCCTACCTCACCTTGGTTTTATTAGTATTCTCCTCGCAGGATCACATCGTTTGCGAAGATTACCGCGTCGTCTACATAATTAATATCTTACTGTCGACTTAAGGCTTAGTGTGCACCATTGTATGAAGATTTATGATCACATTTTTTAAGTGCTCGTAAAATTTTTTAGTAGAGGACGTTTCCTTGGAACAATGCAATGAACAAATTCCAGTGTATACTAATTATTGTTAGGGAAACTTGAAAATTGTGGTTACCCGCGGCAATGAATCGCATACTGTTAAGACTGAAGCAAACACCCAGAATGTAAGTGTGCAAATTTCAATTTTGTGTAATTGATGTCCAGTTCGTTTTGTGGTCGAATATCTAAGCTCTCCAATTCTTATTACGTAAAAAGCGATGAGCGTGCATTTATGGAAACATTTCCCGAAGTAATACAAGTTTTAATGAATTCTCCTTGGTGTCTCCAAGTACCGAGCTTTGCAGATCATTACAAGGAGCTAATAAAGTATACGGTTTTAAAAGAGAGAAGATTCCGGCCGTCCATCGTAATGGAAGCGTATCGAGCAATGGAGTCACCTGAAAACTTTAGTAAAGAAAAGTTACATCTGGTAACTATCTTCGCTTGGAGCATAGAATTGGTAAACTATTTCGTCCGTTACTTACAAATTAGTAAAATGTTTTCAGATGCAATCTGCTTTGATCACCCTTGATGACATTTGGGATCAAAGCCCAATGCGTGGGAACGACATTCCTTGGTATAAAAAGCCAAACATTGGCCTTACGGGTATAAACGATGGAGTTATTTTGTATGAGAGCGCCTTTTCGCTAATAAAAACATACTTCTCTTCCCAAAATGTTTATACGGCACTTATGGAAACACTCCACCAATTGAGCGTAGGAACAGCAATAGGTCAGTATTTGGACTGGAAATGTAAAAGAGACTCCAAACCTACGTTCGAGAATTTTAACATGCAAACCTATCGTGGTATTGCCCGTTTCAAAACAGCGTCCGCTCTTGTCGAGACACCCTTCAAAGGTATCCGAATCCTAACAAACAATTTACCAATACCCAACAGTAGCGAAGATGTTTTTATGGAACTTGGGGTTGCTTGCCAGATTGACGTAAGTGAAATAGGGCTGCTCCGTGGCTTATTAATTCATAAAGCAATTTAAGAACGACATCTTGGACACATACAATGAAAAGGGTGAGGTAAGACATCAAGTTGGTAGTGACATTCGCGAAGGTGCGTGCACTTGGCCTGCCATTCAGGTATTAGAGAGCGGCAATAAGGAAATGATTCGAAAGTTTAAGCAAAATTATGGACGACCCCAACTCGAGTGTGAGAATGAAATTATTAAAATATTCGAAGAGTTTCGCATTTTTGGAAAATATCGTACGTATTGTCAAACGACGAGGGGGAGGTTGGAGAAACGCGCGAGGGAGATGGAACCGTCCTTGCAACGGGCAATCCTGGCTGTAACGGAAAATGTTTTACCCATTTCAGCGTACATTTAAAGCAACACTAACCATTATACGAGTATAGTTAGGTGATTGTGCAGTTTTCGGAACATTGTTCTGTTGATTACTATTTATTTAGTTGTAATTTGAAATGTGCAATAAACGTTTAAAGACAAAGATGAAAAGGTCTCAGGTAAGTATGGAACGCCGTTGTATCTTTTAATAACTGAACACCCGGACTAAAAAAATTAACTATAATTGACGCAATGGTACTAAAATTTATAGAAATTTACTTTGTGTTAACAACAATTGCCTAGTTGAAATTAATAATTGCATATCTTCCAATAACAACTCACAATAATTTCCTCTTTTACAATTTCAAATAACGGTTTTTGTGCGAAATTTCAAAAACCGTTATTGAAATGGCATATTTAACAATTTCAAATCGGCAGTCTTATTCATTATATCACGATTTAGGAATAACGTGTTGAAAATTTTAATGTTAAAAAATTATCGATTTGATATTATTAAATAATCTTTGATATCACCTTCACGCTTTGTAATAATTTTCAATTTCAAGTTGAAATAAAAAATTCAATTCTCTATTTCAAACTCGTAACTTTGGAACGCACAATTTAATTTTTAATATCAACTCTGTGATATTGGTAATTCGATTTACTTATGTCATGACATATAAAAAATTGTGGCGCCATCTATCGAGTGATGTCAACAGTGAGGGGCGAACCTCAACCCAACTAATCACGTTTGATGTAATTACCGCGAAAATCTACTTTCAAGTGCTTATTTTATTACCCACATCGTTCATAAATACATTGTGCGAATAATATTGTCAAAAAAAATGTACAATTACGCGAAATGGAGATTTTAAATTCTGTTCCGATTATTAAACTTACTGTCGCTAGAGGGCAGATCAATTTGCTATATGTGATTATATCGCCTTGATATTTTTAATTCATTTACCAATATGTGCGACTTGATATTTTTAATTCTATTGCACAAATTACTAATTTCTACTTGGAATTTTTAAATACTTTGCGAAGTTCGCTATTTGAAATTTATAATTGTAATTCTTCAATTATGGTGTTAAGAGTCTTCTTTACCTAAGCGCAACTTTTTTGCATTTTAGTGTATAGATGATTATAGCTGCAAGAGATAAGATGAATTTCTTGCTTTGTCAACTCCTGTCTTGGTCCTTAGTTAGTTCCCACCGACAATGTGCAGCGGCGCTACTTGTTACACTCAAATTGTTGATTTACCGCCCGCCAAGATACAGACTTTATTTACAAAAATTATGATTTCATTTTTTGGGGTTATGTTTAGAAGTAACTTATCTAAAAAACTGTCGGTTTACTTTTTCCATAAATCGTCTTGATCGAGAGTAAAAAAATAAAACAGATCAGCGCAATAATCGGTGCGAAACATCTAATCTTTAAACAATCGGTATTCAGTTGCTATAAACTTAAAAAAAAATATAGTCCGAACATTTTGTAGATAAAGGTCTAAATTTATAAAATAGTTCTTAAAAAAAATTGTTTTTTGAAAAACAACTAGAGTTTTTATGGCGGGCGCTCTTATGGAAATTTACATTGGATGCAGTGGGTACAGAAGACTCTTAAGTTTGTTAATTCAAACGTATTTCATGATATCGACTTTGTATTTTAAAACAATTTTTTATTTCAAAACTATTATTATTTAGAGTTGAAATATTAATAAATTTCATTGATTCCTTTGGTTGGATGTTCAATCCACAACATAACGATAATTTTCAATTTCTTGTTTCAAGTAATATCCATCCCTATTAATTTATTCCTCCACAATGAAGAATTCATTGCTGAATGTTTACAAACTGTTTTTGATATCAAAAATTTTTATCTGATATTTAAAAATAAAAGCTATTTTCAACCATAGAATAATTTTCTATTTCATTTCTTAATTTTCAATAACGAAAATATGTTTTTAAAACTCGTCAACCGATTTTTCAGTAACAGAAGTTATAATTTTGCATTTTGAACATTTTAAAACGTACCTGAAATTTTCATTAAAATCAATTAATAGGTATGCAGTTTCAAATAAAACGTTAGATGGGATTGAAATTTTTGCGACAATGGAAGAAGTAGTTTCCATATTGACAATTGTAATTAACACAAAGGTTGTTATAGTTAAACAAATTTTAATATCCTATTGAAATATACAATTCACGAATTATATTTCTAAGTTTCATATCGTGTACAATGCAAAGTATTTAAAAATTTCAAGTAGAAATTAGTAATTTGTGCAATAGAATTAAAAATATCAAGTCGCACATATTGGTAAATGAATTAAAAATATCAAGGCGATATTTTTAAATCACATATAGCAAATTGACCTGCCCTCTAGCGACAGTAAGTTTAATAATCGGAACAGAATTTAAAATATCCATTTCGCGTAATTGTACATTTTTTTTGACAATATTATTCGCACAATGTATTTATGAACGATATGGGTAATAAAATAAGCACTTGAAAGTAGATTTTCGCGGTAATTACATCAAACGTGATTAGTTGGGTTGAGGTTCGCTCCTCACTTTTGACATCACTCGATAGATGGCGCCACAATTTTTTATATGTCGTGACATTGTTTAAATACTTTATAGTTGAACAGATCCAATGTAAAAATACTTGCCGTTATTTTTCTTTTGATACAGCTGTACCTTCCGCATTTTGCATCCGGCAAGTGGTGTACTCTATTAATAACAAACAAAAGTACGTTAAAAAAGTTGAGGATCACAACTTGACTACGCATTCCTTTATAAACAAGGATAAAGACAGTATAAAAACATTAGAGGAATGTCGGTGTTGATAAGCAGATATATAAGGTGTCATTGTTTAGAATGATGGTATATCAAGTTACAGCTATCTTACATTATATGCCACGAGACGATTATCCCTTTAATAAAAGACTGCATACGTTTGCCGTTTCAGTAATAAAGTTCCATTTTGCCAAGTTAACTTAGCTAATTCTTTTTTTTTCAAAATATCTTTGAATTTAAACCATCATTTTGGTAGAAATTTTAGTGATTATGTACCTCTACTTGCATTCTTTTGTATTAGTTGCCGTTGCATGCAAAAATGAAATTACAGTTACTTACTTATTAACCGTGCATGATGAGAGCATAACTATTTGTTTGTACAAGTTACAAAAAAGATTATCACTTAAGAAAAACAGCCCTCACCATTTTCCTACAGCTACTGCAAAGTGTTGCCAGGTGCGACGGGATTCATTGGTGCCGAAGCTATTTTACGCGGACAAAGTGCGGACTGCAGTGACGATGGACATTGGAAATGTCTCTAAATTACTATTTGTACAGAAGAAGGAACCTATGTGCAATTTTTCTGTATACCTAAATGCAACAAATTTGTAAGACAAAACAAGCATTGTTTCTTTGATAATCTCGTATTCACAGAAAAACGATGCAATTTTTTTCATTTCTGATAAATGATTTCACTACCAGTAAATTTATTTTTTGCGCGATCGGTCATTTCTGACTATTTACCATGTGTGTTTCCATGACAGTAAGTGGAATTTACCAGTTGCTATGATTACGACGACGCCAAAATTACTTACCGATCTGAAAACAGAACAGCAAAAATACTTACCGACGCCTTTTTAAAAACAATCAGTTCAATGTTAACAGTCTTACATTACATTTAATCTTTAATTTAATCTTCGACATACCATTCGGCCACCGGCAAATACCTGGCTCATAAAGTCATAAAGGAAGTGCAAAGCTAGCAAACTACATCAGACACATGCACAATTTTATGAAATTATTAATTTCAATTTTGACAAATTAAACTGGTTACCTAGTGATGTACACCATACCACTTCGATCATTTCGATTTATTCTGCTCGTTAATTTCTTAGTGCATATTTATATTGGTTGAATAATTTTAATTTCGATCGCGCAAAAAATGTTATAAGCACGTCGAACGTTAAGGGTTACCGTTCTCAGACAATAATTGGAGTCGTCGCTCCGCTCCTCCTCCAAACAATTGTCTTCGAACGGTAAAAATCCCTTACCGTTCTCCATACTTAATATACTATTTTTCACTACTAGCGTCTGATGACATGTTATGAATCTTTTTTCCACTTGTAAAGTAGGCTTTCTCGACAGTTGTTCAAAGTGGTTAATAATGTGGACATTATTACCTAACTAGTAGTCAATAATGAGAACTGTCACTTTTAGAAAACACAACCCGAAATTTTGCTCAGTAAACGTTTAGACAAGTTCTCTAAAATGAATAATTGCCACCATCAGCCATTTCCAGAGAAATTACATATCTAAAATTGTCACATTTTGAAAAAATTCGAACGAAATTACTCTTTGAAAATATCTCAATGACAAAAAATAGGGCCTGGTTGACCTCTACTTCCACGTACTTGATGGTTTTTGCATGTTGTTTACTCCAATAGCCATGTCACAAGTGTTTTTCTAACCACTGGTAATTATATTCCAGAAAATGATGGCAAAACGTACAAGTGGACCTAACGCATATATACGGTTTCCTTTTAAAGGCATTTTTCAAAAGAAATTGCCCTTATGCGATGGTTTTGTCCGCCCGTCTGTTCGTTCGTATATCCATCTGTTCCTCGTCTAAACTTGAAAACGAAAAGAAACTGCGACGTTAATCCTTCACCAATCGATTTCAAGGATTAGTGCTAAATATTGAAGGATCCTTAACTCGGTCCACCACGTTTTTAACGTCCATTTATTTCAACCTTGCAAAATACTAATAAATAAATTTGAATCTAGGGCATCATAATAATGCTCTTGGTCTATTTCCCAACGATCTTGGTGCATGAATAACGATTTTGACATGATTTGATCAGAATACATATGGTCAATAAAAATACATCAAATTCATGTTTCCGGCATTGAAACCTTTTACAACTCTAAATTCATGTGTGAAGACTAATTTTGGGTACATTTTGCTCTAAAACTTTTGACCTAGACCACAGAGAAGAATATTGAACTCGATACATGACCTAGGCAATGAAAATATGTTGATTTCTATTATACTGAGCCCACAGTGTTTCCTGTTCCCGTTTCACTCGAAGTCCTATAACTTTTGTTCCTGTTGAGCCAGCTTCCTGAAAATCAATAGCGTCCGACCCTCGATACGACCTTAATGTCCAAAGTATCTACTCGTACGCCATTTCAACATGATCGGTCACTTTTAAAAAGAGGTATAGTGCACACGGACGGACGGACAATACAAAACTATAAAGGCTCTGAAGATCCTTAATAAATTAGTGTAATTTAGAGTTTTGAACAAATAATAATAGGTATAAAGGTAACGAAATACATTTCAATTGAATTCAGCTTTTTTTCGACTTCTAATAATAGCATTGTTTAAAGACTTTATAATAAAATCCATACATTCTGGGTAAACTCCCATACAAATGAATACCGAACGATCTTCGAAATTGTTTTTGGCTCAATAGTCTACCTCTACGTAGCTGAAAAACAATAACGACCTTTCTGATTTGTGTTAAAATTTTCAAAGGGATATGGGACGTTTTTAAACAAAGTTATCGTGCCCACTGAACTGACAGACAGACAGACAGCAATACAAAATTATAAACGATCTCGAGGATCGTTAAATGTGAATAATCCACATTACGTCAAAAAAATTGGGCAAATGTTACGATTTACCTTTTACAGGGATTGTATTGTAGGGACTTGAAATCAGAGTGTATTTGCTGCACCGTCGCATGCTTTTTTTTAAATACAAACTTAAAGCAAAATTTACTACCAGATTTTAATTATCGTAATTTATCTTGTTTGAACGCAACCTACTCACCCCGGAACAAAAATTATTATAAATGCGAATTCGCTTAAACACACAATAGGTAAAAACAAGTAATACGCATAGGTACCTACGTAATTTAATTATTATAAGCGCAGTGAAAAAAAACGGTCTTTACTTTAGAGCTTCAAATAAAGATTAAATAAAATATGTGACTCTTTCTCTTAACAGTAAAGTAAAAGGAATTTGCTGTCGAACTAAACATCAGCGTTTTGTTTATATAGTATAATCGTAGCCGTATAGAGTTACAACTTGCATTCTTACTCAAGGTCGCCTCAGTTACGCTGTGTAGCCGATCGGGTTACTAAAGTCACTAGATATAGAAAGTACCGCAATCATCCGCCATTTTTGGGCAAATTTGCTGCCAACTTAAAAAAATTGACAAATAAAATCTGAATAGCTGTCATTTTTTATAACCTAACTTCATAGTACTGTCACGTTTTATAAAAATATATACAGATATCTCCAAACAGGTGGAAAAATCCCTAACATTAAAGTTACTAGAATCTGGTAACTTCCGCCATTTTTGGGCAAAAATCATGCGTTCTCTCTCTAACACACGAGCCCAATGGATTGCGGTACTTTCTATATTTAGTGACTTTACGGGTTACATTGAAGGAGAGCCATCTGTTGACGATTTTTGCAGGCCTTACTAAAAAGTCTGTAATGATAAAGCGCAACCTGTCGTCGTAAACTGTCACTACTTATTTAGACCACGATAGTAGCGCCAACTGGATTTTCTAGACCAGAACTACTTATTTCGTTCAAGTAATATTTCCATATGGTTGTTTAACTATAAAGTATTTAAACAATGGTCGTGACATAAGTAAATCGAATTACCAATATCACAGAGTTGATATTAAAAATTAAATTGTGCGTTCCAAAGTTACGAGTTTGAAATAGAGAATTGAATTTTTTATTTCAACTTGAAATTGAAAATTATTACAAAGCGTGAAGGTGATCTTAAAGATTATTTAATAATATCAAATCGATAATTTTTGAACATTAAAATTTTCAACACGTTATTTCTAAATCGTGATATATGAATAAGACTGCCGATTTGAAATTGTTAAATATGCCATTTCAATAACGGTTTTTGAAATTTCGCACAAAAACCGTTATTTGAAATTGTAAAAGAGGAAATTATTGCGAGTTGTTATTGGAAGATATGCAATTATTAATTTCAACTAGGCAATTGTTGTTAACACAAAGTAAATTTCTATAAATTTTAGTACCATTGCGTCAATTATAGTTAATTTTTTTAGTCCGGGTGTTCAGTTATTAAAAGATACAACGGCGTTCCATAGGTAAGGGTGAATTTATTATCGATTCCTTCAAATTCTTCTTGTTGATAAAAATAATTCCTATTTGATAAAATAAAATAATTATTTTTATCATAATGATAATTTTAAATCATTTTTTTATTTTGTTAATAATTGTAAATAGCAAAATTTAAATTAATAACAATATAAATTTAATTCTTCCGCCATTTACAATTATCTTAGATAATTTTAAATGGCCACCTTTGCAATTCATAGCGAGATGGAAATACCCTGTTTTATAGGGAAAAAAAGAGAAAGGCAGCGCACGGCGCCATTTAATTTTATCTCAGATAATATTAAATGGCTGAAATAGCCATTTACAATTATCTCAGATAATTTTAAATGGCGGAATGGAATTAAAATTACTAACAAGATAAAAAAAATGATTTGGATTATCATTAAGATAAAATTAATTATTTAATTTTATAGATAAAATTAGATAAAATTAATTATTTAATTTTATCATTAAGATAATAGAAATTCGGGCAAAACTTTACATTAAGATTATAGTATTTGTTGCATATTAAATGTTAAAACGGCGTTCCATAGTAGTGGACATTTTAAACAATCATTTTGATGAGGTGCTTAATTGTAATTGCGCGTAAAAATTTATGTTCGTTAATTAATGATTATGGTTCTTAAATTGTTCTGCCACTGCTTTTAAATTTTTTGTTTTGCGGGAAATTGAAACTGTCCGCACTACTTTTGGATCACCCGATATAACAATAACTTAATATTAATACAACAAGGAAAAAAGATATCTGAACTCATTCGCATTACTAATTAAAGGACTGAGACAAGGATGTAGCCTCATAACAATTTTATTCAATATACAGCCTGTTTTAAATTAAATAGCTTTCTTAGTTGTGGATTAAATTACTAAAATTGGGAATTTTTTCTACTGAATCCAAAACTGTAATTAAAAAACAAAATAACATCGCATTTTTCAAATAATAACAAAAATATAACTTGTTTATATGGATCCTGTATATTATTATACCATATGGTAGCTTATTAAATTTATCGCCAAAGTCTTCGAGAGCGAGAGATTTGTGATTAACATAATGCCCGACTAAAAATTCCATTATCAATAATTTATTTGTTTATAATTCACAAAATGGGGTAGGAACCTTTTTAAAGAAAGTTTATTTATCAATGGCTTTAATAATTTGTTTAGCACCTTTAGGGATTATTGAAATTTTCAGCCCAAAGCTTCGATATAATTGCACCAAAATTAAACAACAATGTATATTTCTGAAATCCCTTTTAAACAAGATGCCGCGCGATTCTTTTTTATCTAAAATTTTGGGAAGGTGTTAGAAGTTAATATTTTCGTACTGAATAACAACCGACCTATCTCAGGTTCTTTCTCAACAGTACATAACGGTAAAAATGAATTTATTTTATACATATGACCCACTGTGTATACAAAAATAGTGTAAATAGACACCGCCGAAAACAAACATGATCAATTTTGCGTAAAAATTCATTCGGCTAAAGTGGGAAGTACGTTTTCAACTGTAGATAATACAGCTTTCCGTAACGATGGCATCATGTTAATTGTACGTTTTTCCATCATCTTTTTGGATTTGGAGTGATGGTCGAGATATTTTTCATAAATATTCAGCTCGTTCGCTATTCTCACCACCTGCTCTTCACAATCGCGCCCAGCACGACCGTAATTAGCTTTAAAAGATTCAATTTTTCCCTCACTGTTGCTTTCTAGTATTTTTACGGCAACCCATGTACGTTTTCCCTCGCGAATATCACTCCCCACGCAGGGTCTCAAACGGCCATGCTTATCGTAAATATCTAAGATATCATTCTGAAAAATACTTATGCAGTACGAAAATCACGATCTGAATACCTACATCAACTTGAAAATGTAACCCAAGATCTGCTATAACATCTTTGGTGCCGTACCAAAGGGACATATTCCCAGTCATACTTAAAGCTCCGGCAAATGGGAACGCAAAGATTGGCATACCAGCTTTGTAACGTGCAGTAACACGATATGTATCCATGTTAAAGGTTTCGTACGCCAATTTACCATTGCGTTTGTAGGACCAATCCATTACTTGTCCTTTCGCGAGCGCTATCTTCATTTCATTAAACAACTCCTTTAATTCACCATATTGTTTTAAGGAGGCGAAATACTTCCTGAGCAACACCAATGCTCCCTCGTACAATAACTTTCCGTCAGTGATCGCGTTGTGCCCGACGTTCGGTTTCTTATACCAAGAGATGTCATTCGCGCGAATTTCCGTCTGATCCCAAAGATCATCCTGCACAACCATTGCGGCGAGTGTCTAAAACTCGTTTAGAACTTGCACAAATTCAACAAGACGCAAGTTACCAGCTCAAAGCACCAAGCAAGCATAATAACCAAACGATATTTGTCTTCGCTGAAACCTTCAGGCGTTTCCAGTGCCTTATAAGCTTCCAAAACTACCGTGTGTCTAAATCGTTTCAATTTTAACACCGTAAACTCAACCATTTCTTCCAGATGTGGCGCCAGGTGCGGCAAATTCTGAGAGGCACAATACTCACTTAGGGTGTTAATTACTTCTGGAAAAGCCTCTACAAATTGCCTGTTTTTCTCATCGCGTTTAACGTGCTTTAAATATGAGCTGCATTTGGAATTGAGTCTGAAAAATGTTTATAACTCACACGTTGATGTGTTGGTGTTACCTTTTGCAGGGTAGAAAACGATTAGTTTTCATTATTAAATTGAAAGGCAGAAAAAGTTTGATCCTCTGCATTTGTGTAGTGTCGAGAACGCTAATTGTGTTGTATTTTACAAAAACGACTTGATATTAGTTATCAATGGTACTTATTCGTGTATTTGCTTGTTTCAATTTATCCAGTTATAGGCATTATAATCTAAATTGCTGCATGCGCGTATAGTTTTGAGGAGGAGAAATCTTTTGAAAATTATTACTATTACTATTGTATATGATCTTGCTTTGTTTGATTTATGTTGTAATTAGTGGAGAGTAATATGCCTTTGCTTTATTACCGTAATAATTAGGGACGGATAGGTCATGACTCTACGTGTTTAAGTTTCCCTTAGCATCTTCCTGGCCCCGGGTGATTTTTAATACTCCTGATACCGCGTGGGGTGAATACTCATCTCAACTATTTTTGAAATTTTTTCGGTTCTAAATTTTATTGAGAGGGAAACTGTAAACGGATTTTTGTTAGTTGGTAATATTTGATCCAGTATTATAGATCATTTGGGCAGTTTAATAAAATACAAAGCGTGCAGTCATAGATGTAAAAGTGCGACGAGGTGCAGAAATATGTAGCCAACTATAAAGACGAACATAACTATTCAAATAGAACAGGAAAGAAAGAGCTGAAAATAGAATTTGAACTCATAAAGTCATTCAGCGAAGAAGTATTGCGACTATGTAAAAACAGAAGTAGAGAAGAAAATGCAGATTAATAGCGAATGCCTAGAAGAGCTATGGAAGAACTTCAGTAACATTTTATTAAATGCAGCAAAGATAAACTCTGTGTTTCGTGATGGAAACCGTATAACGAGCTCCAGAATTTCTGGCCAGCGGTTGACTTATGTCGATCTCGCCTTCAGTTTCGTTCGGCATTGGTTTGAACTCTCTGTTTTGTGTCCGGAACCGTATAACACGCTCCAGAATTTCGGACAAACATTTTCGGGGCGGCAGAAGACGTCCAACTCGTGCGCATCGAAATTTTAGAAAGTTTAAGACACTTGACGGGCGTTTCCGTGCCCTATTTAACTCAAAATCGTCAAAAACCGCTTCACTCATGACGTCATCCTCGCATTCGTGCATATTTTAAGGGTTTTTAAAATATAAAGTTGATTTAACGATGAAGAGTCATTCAAATTTTGAGCATATGAATGTTACCTCAACTTTTCACGAAATACTCGATTCCGATTCGATAATTGCTATATTGACCAAATTTAAAAGTAAAAAATGATCATTAAGTATCACTAATCCTCTAATGAACTCGGTATAAGGTTTTTTATAGTAGACAAAATCGCATTTTGCGGCCCTGAAGGCAATTGACTTATTCGTTTCTTTAGATCTTTTTTAGTTTGCACCCAATTATCAAGATATCGATCGAATATCTTCAGATCATCGTAAATTTTAAGAATTGTCTGAACGCATTCAGGTTCCGGGCGACCGTAATTTTCCCTAAAGACTCTATTCATATTTTCATCTGCGGTTTCGATAACCCTAATAGCCATCCATGTGGGTTTCCCTTCACAAAGGTCAGTTCCTATGGGATTCTTAGGTTTGCCATTTTTATCGTAAAGGTCCACTACGTCATTCTAAAATTTGCCTTTGTAATAACTATCGTTTAGTTAATACGTACATCAATCTGAAATGCTACACCAAGTTCGACCAGAATGTCCCTCACACATTCCAGCATTGGTAAATTGTGGGTAAATGCCAGAGCACCCACAAAAGGTACCCCAACTATTGCAGTACCTCCTTTAATATATGCAATTTTACGATATAAATCCATGTTAAAATACTCATAGACCGGTTTGCCATTTTGCCTACACTCCCAATCCATTGATTGGCCGATTGATGTTACGAAATGAATGTAGTGTAGTAGCTCTACCAGAGACGTATACTCTGGTAAACCGGAAAAGTACTTCTTCACAATGGCAAATGCTGATTCGTACAAAAGATTTGAATCATTTATAGCAATTAGTCCGACATTTGGCATTTTGTGCCAACAGACTTCGTTCCAACGATTTTGCTGCTGCTCCCAAGTGTCATCCTGGATGATCAGCGCGGTTTGAGTCTAAACTGAACATTTACTTCAAGCAATTGGAAAGATAAATTCAAGATAGTACACCATACAATTTTTTGGTAAAAAATGGCAACATTTTACAATTTCTCTACCATTGAGCACGTCTAATAAGTTTTTGGGTCATAAATTAAAGGGCTGGGTTCAGAAATTCCGATGCTGTGATCATTGGTATTCCCAAGCAAGCGTAAACTAAAAGGTCCTTCAATAGTTACAAAGATCTTACAAAAACACGTAAGGCTGTTTTTGAATGTGCAGTGGAACGTTCTGGTTATAAAAACGTTGGAGAACTTTGGACTGGGGGGCGACTAAAATTCTCTTATTTAACTATCGCCCTATCGATTGGGGTATCTTCTATCCTTCAGCAGATGTCAATTTTAAGAATCGGATTTTAAACAAGGTTAATGCGTTTAGGGATCACTCACCAACAAATGAATGGTCCAAAAAAAGAAGAAACGTCCAGAATAGTGGAATTATTATAAAAGTTTAAGGAATCCGGTTACTGCGCCGATTGGGAACTACAAAAGACCTACTTGGAATATATCCCTACATACGACATTAGCAAAAAGCATTGGTATGATCTTCAAAATTTTAACATTGTAAATATTACACAACGGGAACACTTACTACTTCATCCCAAAAGCCCAACTATACTGTGTGTCTCCAATGCGTGGGATTGCATGGGTAACTTTCTTATTATTAAAGATAGAGAATTGGTTAAATGGTCAATGTATTTCAGTTTTGGATGCTTATTTAAAATTTGGTTGTGGAAGTTCAAAATGTCGAATAGGTAGGATGAAAATTCAAAAATCTAAAATTGGTCATTTCCTTGAATGTCTTATATCATAAAATACTGGCCATTATTAGTGAAAATCTACCTTTTTTTAAAATTTGCTCAATAACTCTAAAACTAAGCATTTTAAGAAAAAATGTCAAGAGAGAGAAGAAAATTTGCAAACACTATTTTTAGATGTTGAGTGGCGCAAATTCCAGCAACGCATTCCACTAGGTAGGTAGGTATTTTATTTTCTAATATAACTATTAAACGACGAAAACTGTTCACTTAGATTGCCTAAAACATGATGAATTCAATAGTGCCTCCTGTAAGGGGGTCTTAAATGTGACCCCCCCCCCCCATAACTATAAGCAACCACCTCCACTCCAATCGTAGGTTCAGTTGGTACATATTTGCAGGGGCGGTAACCTGCCCCCCCCCCCTTCGCCACTTAAAGATTCGATTTATTGTAATCCGAAAACACCCTTGGGGGGGGCCCCGTAACCCCCCCCCCCCCACTACGTATTTTGTCGCTGGTATCTATTCCATCTGATACATCTAGATATGCGCTCAATTGCGCCACTTCAATTAAAGCTAACGCCATCGCGGCTAAGCCACGACAAATTTTCAAAAAAGGGGGGGGGGCAAATCAACGTTTTTGAAAGTTAGTTCTTTCTATCAAGTTTCTATACTAAATTGTAAATATATTTGGAAGGGCCCAAGTGAACGTAGTCCTCCATAACGCATTTTGTTATCGGTATCTGTGCCCCTAGATACATCTGCTTATGCGCTACGTATACTCTATTCCTCCCAAATGTATTTTCGGATTGCTAAAGAACGACAATGGCGCAAGAGTTATTACCGGTGGCGCATGTGAGCGCATAACGAGCGCATTACTTTGTAATAGTATAACAGTCAAATCTCTAGGTGGGGGAGGGGGCAAGTTAACGGACCCCTGGCAGTCAGTGTTATTATATAGTGATAATTTTCTTTTTTAAATATTTTCTCGAATTATAAGATATCTTGTTAGATAATCTTATAATTAGTGAAAAAAGAAACACTGCCCTACTCATTGGCAGTAGGTACCTATCATTTGCCTGTAAAAAAATCAGCATCATTCACCCAATCGTTACCTAAATATATCTGTCGAAAGTTCGCGAAAAACCGACTAAAATTTATTTTTTACAGAGTTATCAAATGTTCGCGATTTTTTAAAATATTTATTTAAGAGCCATTATCAAAGTTTTCATTTGGTGTATAACTTAATTTCTCAAAAAAACAACCATTTAGAATTGGTACCGCAAGAAGTACCATGACCTAAGGCGGCAGACGAAAGTAGAACTCCATCCGTTAAAATTTTGATCATTCTCATTTAGTGGATTTCGAGCTAGCCCCCCTACTATTAGGCATACTGAAACGAAAAAGAACGAGCCGGATTTTTGAAAAACAATTTTGGAGCGCCGCAACGGCATCGACTTTTTTTTCAAATAGTTATTCAAAAGGTATTTTTCTGTGTACAACCTACAAAAATTGTGCCAGGTTTCATTACAAAAAAATTAAAAAATGTTTTTCGCCAAAACGGTTACTATGATTTCGTTAAAATTTTGCGAATGTACATTAGTTATTATAGAGGATGTAAAACTATCAAAAACTGTTTTTAATATCTAAGTGATTAGCGTTAGCGCAGTAACGTTATATAACTTTTTTTCAAATAAAGCAATCAGTCCTGTGATGTATCAGAAACGTCAAACATAACGTGCAGGTTATCTGCCAAAAAAAACGTTATTTTGCATTCTGTAATATAGGAAAAATGACTTTTTTGATAGATAACCTGAACGTTAAGATTAACGTTAGTGATACATCACAGGGCTGATCATTTGTATTCAATTATTCGAAAGACTTTCTTTTTTGTGTATAACACTATGCTATACGTTTTATTCTCGGTTTTAATATAAAAAAGCGTAGTAAAACATGTCAAAACCATCTAGCAGGTTCGTGCGCGGTTAATGTTTAGGATGAGCGATTGCAGAAGTTCGGCCGTTGCATTCTTTTTGGTTTTAATGCAAAGAACTTCAGATAAAATATCAATAATATCAGTGTACATGTATACGTACTGCAGTTTTTATAATGATTAATTAATAATATATTTAACACATATTTAAAGACTTAAATCTGTGTTAGGTTCTACTTTTCTCCTGCACCAGGCCGCCGACGGAAAAGAAGGTCATTGACAACTTAATGAGGACGTCGTACCCTCTTAAGGGATAAGCTCTAAAATGTAATTCTTATTCTTACGTGCCGATTGAAATAAATAGCTTTACTGACTTTAGATAATAAATGAATGATTGGTAATAAGTATTAGTAATAAATGATCTAGCAACCTTTTCTGTCAAGAATTTGGCACCTTTTTTTATGCATTTAGTCTCTTTAAACCCTTCACACCATTGGGTGTTCAGAATGTTTAATTTCTTACTTTCATCACATTCTTTGAACGCTTCGCATTATTCAGTTCATTCGGGTGTTTTTGATCCGTTTCTCTGATACATCAGACTCATCTTATTCTTTTCATCCGTCTTATTTTTAAGATCCTTTTTGCCGTTATTTTAAATTTTTCAGATTCGTTAAATACTTCAGACACTTGAGGTTGTTCAAATTCCTCAAATCTATTCGACTCTTGAAAGTCACCAGAATCTATAGTTACTCCTCCAAAACATTAGATGCTACCAATTCTTCGGTCCTTGGAACGCTGGGTTTACTTCGTTCAAATAAGACATCCGTTTAGTTTCAGTTCTTTACAATGAGCATCAATCAAAACACGGATAATCGAATAACCGTTGATAATTTTAGTCAAATAAGTTAGTCGATTCGATGAGTCGCATTTACAAAGATTGATGTTTCGCAAACCTTTGTATTTGTAATTCGGAAACAACAACTTAGGACCCCTATATGTGATACATCACCATATACATAGTTCGTGAAGTTAATGAGATTATTGAATGATAAACACACCAATTCTATAATTAATCGTCTAACAATCTCGGTATTACGTTATTTACCGTAGACAAAATCGCATTTCCCAACCCGGAAGGCATTCGGCTTACTCGTTTCTTTATATCTTTTTGAGTTTGAACACGATAATCGAGATATCGATCGAATATCTTCAAGTCATCGTAAATCTTAAGAATTGTCTGCGCGCATTCCGGTTCCGGTCGACCGTAATTTTCCCTAAAGAATCTATTCATATTTTCGTCTGCGGTTTCGATAACCTTAATAGCCATCCATGTGGGTTTCCCTTCACAAAGGTCAGTTCCTATGGGATTCTTAGGTTTGCCATTTTTATCGTAGAGGTCCACTACGTCATTCTAAAATTTACCTTTGTAATAACGATCGTTTAGTTAATACGTACATCAATCTGAAATGCTACACCAAGTTCGGACAGAATGTCCCTCACGTATTCCAGCAGTGGTAAATTGTAAGTAAGCGCCAAAGCACCCATGAAAGGCCCCTCAACTATTGCGGTACCTCCTTTACGACGTGCAATTTCACGATATAGATCCATGTTAAATGACTCATAGATCGGTTTGCCATTTTGCCTACACTCCCAATCCATTGATTGGCCGATTGATGTTACCAAATTCATGTAGTGAAGTAGCTCTACCAGAGACGTATACTCTGGCAAACCGGAAAAGTACTTCTTCACAATGGCAAATGCCGATTCGTACAAAAGATTTGAATCATTTATAGCAATTAGTCCGACATTTGGCATTTTGTGCCAACAGACTTCGTTCCAACGACTTTCCTGCTGCTCCCAAGTGTCATCCTGGACGACCATCGCGGTTTGTGTCTAACTTGAAAATTTATGAGGAAGATGTTCATCAACGAATTAACTTACAAGTTCTAAACTCCAAGCAAACATAACCACCAACTCCCACTTTTCCTTACTAAAATTTTGCGGTAACTCCAGAGCTTTATAAGCGTCAAGTAATATGGGCGGTCTAAATCTGTGCTCCTTCAATACCGTGAATTCTATTAACTCCTTATAGCGTTTTGTAAATTGTGGTGAACCGTAACAGCTTGCGTTTGTAGTTAGCGCATCAACAACTTTTGGGAAAGCTGCTAGAAACATTTTGACTTCTTCGCTAAGTTGGCCAGTTGGAATGCTAGTGTTTTGCCATCTGCTGCAAGTAATGCTTTAAAGTCAGGATTGTTTTGTTTATTTACCTTTTCCATGAATAGTTGCGCTTGAGAATTGCTTGAAACATGTCCAATTTTGCTGTTTGCTGATAGTCAAAATGTTCAATTATCTTGCAATGTTATTAACGCTTTTGTTAGTCGAACGGCAGCATGCAAGTTTGTGCTAATTAAAATTATCAGAGGACGGTAAATGTTTTGTAGGTATTCATACCAATTTTGTACCTCTCTTCGAACAGTGCCTATGATTTGGAGTTTTTTCTTTAATTTAAACACAATTACGTATAATTCAGGTACTTTGTAAATAGGTAGTTGAATTTTGTGGTGAGATTTTCGCTCTTTAATTAACCTTGGATAACTGCATCGGCATAATACTTTTGTTTTGTTTAATTTATCGAGTAGATTTACTAATCAACCAGATTAAAATAATCAATGCACCTGTCGCATATATAAATGTATACTTAGTTTCCATGCGTCGCGCTGATTGTAGAATAGAACTGTTGTTATTTTCAAGCAATTGGAAAGATAAAAATTCAAGATAGTACACCATACAATTTGTTGGCAAAAAATTGCAACATTTTACAATTTCTCTAACACTGAGCACGTCTCATAAGTTTTTGGGTCATAAATTAAAGGGCTGGGTTCAGAAATTCCGATGCTGTGATCATAATTTGGTATTCCCAAGCAAGCGTAAACTAAAAAGTCCTTCGATAGTTATAAAGATCTTACGAAAACACGTTAGGCTGTTTGTGAATGTGCAGTCGAACGTTCTGGTTATAAAAACTTTGGAGAACCTTGGACTGGGGGCGACTAAAATTCTTTTATTTAACTATCGCCTTATATTCTATCCTTCAGCAGATCTCAATTTTAAGAATCGGCTTTTAAAGAAAGTTAATCCGTTTAGTGATCCCGTGGAACACTCACCAACAAATGAATCGTCCAAAAAATAACGCCTTAAAAAGACGAAACGTCCAGAATAGTGGAATTATTATAAAATTTTAAGGAATTCGGTTACTGCGCCAATTGGGAACCACAAAAGACCTACTTGGAATATATCCCTACAAACGACAATTGCAAAAAGCGTTGGTATGGTCTTCAAAATTTTAACATTGTAAATATTACACAACGGGAACATTTACCACTTCGTCCCAAAAACTATACAGTGTGTCCCAAATCGCGTGGGATTGCTTACTTTCTTATTATTAAAGTCATTAAAGATAGAGAATTGGTTAAATGGCCAATGGTTTGCAGTTTTAGATACTTGTATAAAATTTGGTTGTGGAATTTCAAAATGTGGAATAGGTAGGATGTAAATTCAAAAAAACTAAAATTAGTCATTCCCTTGAATGTCTTATATCATAAAATACTGGCCATTATTAGTGAAAATCTACCATTTTTGAAGTTTTGTTCAATAACTCTAAAACTAAGAATTTTAAGAAAAAATGTCAAGAGAGAAAAATTGTAGGGAAGAAAATTTGCTACATCACATTTTTTAGATGTTCAGCAACGCATTCAACTCCTTAATTGAAATACTATGGTAGGTATGTTATTTTGTAATATTACTATTAAATGCCGGAAACTATTCACTTAGGTTGCCTAAAACATGATTAATTCAATACTGCCTCCTGTAAGGACGTCTTAGAAGTGACCCCTCACTTAGAGATGCGATGGTCGTTTTATTATAAAGTAGTGAGCTCGTTATGCGCTCGCATGCGCCACCGATAATAACTCTTGTGCCATTATCGTTTCTTAGCAATCCGAAAACACATTTGGGAGGGACCAAGTATACTTAGCCCCTCCACCACGTCTTTTGTCGCTAGGTGGGGGGGGGGGCAAGTTAACGGACCCCTTGCAGTTAGTGTTATCTAGTGATAATTTTCTTTTCTAAATATTTTCTCGAATTATAAGATATCTTGTCAGATAATCTTATAATTAGAGAAAAAATTTAAAAAAGAAACACTGCCCTACTCATTGGCAGTAGGTACCTATCATTAGTCTGTAAAAAAATCAGCATAATTCATCCAATCGTTACCTAGTTATATCTGTAGAAAGTTCGTGAAAAACCGACTAAGATTTATTTTTTACAGAGTTATCAAATGTTCGCGATTTTTTAAATATTTTTTTAAGATTATTATCAACGTTTTCATTTTGTGTATAACTTATTTTCTCAAAAAAACAACCATTTAGAATTGGTACCGTAAGATGTACCATGACCTAAGGCGGCAGACGAAAGTAGAACTCCATCCGTTAAAATTTTGATCATTCGCGTTTAGTGGATTTCGAGCTAGCCCCCCTACTATTAGGCATACTGAAACGAAAAAGAACGAGCCGGATTTTTGAAAAACAATTTTGGAGCGCCGCAACGGCATCGACTTTTTTTTAAAATGGTTATTCGAAAGGTCTTATTTTTCTGTGTACAACCTACAAAAATTGTGCCAGGTTTCATTATAAAAAAATTTTCGCCAAAACGGTTACTATGATTTCGTTACAATTTTGTAAATGCACATTAGTTATTATAGAGGATGTAAAACTATCAAAAACTGTTTTTAATATCTAAGTGATTAGCGTTAGCACAGTAACGTTATATAATTTTTTTTCAAATGAGGCAACCAGTCCTGTGATCTATCATACCAAACTTAACGTGCAGGTTATCTGCCAAAAAACGTTATTTTGCATTCTGTAATATAGGAAAAATGACTTTTTTGATAGATAACCTGAACGTTAAGATTAACGTTAGTGATACATCACAGGGCTGATCATTTGTATTCAATTATTCGAAAGACTTTCTTTTTTGTGTATAACACTATGCTATACGTTTTATTCTCGGTTTTAATATAAAAATGCGGAGGAAAAAAATGTCAAACTTAAAAAACTATCTAGCAGCTTAGTGCGCGGTTAATATTTAGGTTGAGCGATTGCAGAAGTTTGGCCGTTGCATTCTTTTTGGTTTTAATGCAAAGAACTTCAGATAAAATATCAATACCTATGTTAAAATATCAGTGTACATGACATGCAGTTATTAATATGACAGATTTAAACACAAAATCTGTGTTAATATGAATAGGTAGGTACTTTAAAGATAAGTAGAATCCACCACCACCACCACCACTATGTCGCCGACAGAAAAGAAGGTCATTGACAACTTAATGAGGGCGTCGTATCCTCTTAAGGGACAAGTTGTAAAATGTGATTCTTACGTGACGATTGAAATAAATAAAGAGCTTTACTGCCTTTAGATAATAAATGAATTATTGGTAATATGTATTAGTAATAAACACAAACAACAGTAACAAAAAGCGCGCGAAGACGTCAAACGGCGCAGAGCGCTTTTGGGTTTGAGCTATGAAGCTTTTCTGTCAAGAATTTTGCACCTTTTTTAGTCTCTTTAAACCCTTCACACCATTGAGTGCTCAGAATTTTTAGTTTCTTTACATTCTTGAACGCCTCGCATTATTCAGCTCATTTGGGTGTTTTTGATCCGTTTCTCTGATGCTTCACATTCTTCTTATTCTTTAGATCCATCTTATTTTTAATATCCTTTTTGCCGTTATTTTTAATTTTTCGGATTGATGGAATTCATTGACACTTGAGGACCTCCGTCTAGTCCCGACCTGTACGGACATTTCAGTACTTTACAATGAGCATCAATCAAAACACGGATAATCGAATAATCGTTGATAAGTGGGTCGTTCACCAAATTTCAATTTTAGTCAACTAAGTTAGTCGATTCGATTAGTCGCATTTACAAAGATTGATGTTTCGCAAACCTTTGTATTTGTAATTCGGAAACAACAACTTAGGACCCCTATATATGATACATCACCATAGTTGGTGAAGTTACTGAGATTATTGAATGATAAACACACCAATTATATAATTAATCGTCTAACAACCTCGGAATTACGTTATTCGCCGTAGACAAAATCGCATTTCCCAACCCGGAAGGCATTCGGCTTACTCGTTTCTTTATATCTTTTTGAGTTTGAACACGATAATCGAGATATCGATCGAATATCTTCAAGTCATCGTAAATCTTAAGAATTGTCTGCGCGCATTCCGGTTCCGGTCGACCGTAATTTTCCCTAAAGACTTTATTCATATTTTCGTCTGCGGTTTCGATAACCTTAATAGCCATCCATGTGGGTTTCCCTTCACAAAGGTCAGTTCCTATGGGATTCTTAGGTTTGCCATTTTTATCGTAGAGGTCCACTACGTCATTCTAAAATTTACCTTTGTAATAACGATCGTTTAGTTAATACGTACATCAATCTGAAATGCTACACCAAGTTCGGACAGAATGTCCCTCACGTATTCCAGCAGTGGTAAATTGTAAGTAAGCGCCAAAGCACCCATGAAAGGCCCCTCAACTATTGCGGTACCTCCTTTACGACGTGCAATTTCACGATATAGATCCATGTTAAATGACTCATAGATCGGTTTGCCATTTTGCCTACACTCCCAATCCATTGATTGGCCGATTGATGTTACCAAATTCATGTAGTGAAGTAGCTCTACCAGAGACGTATACTCTGGCAAACCGGAAAAGTACTTCTTCACAATGGCAAATGCCGATTCGTACAAAAGATTTGAATCATTTATAGCAATTAGTCCGACATTTGGCATTTTGTGCCAACAGACTTCGTTCCAACGACTTTCCTGCTGCTCCCAAGTGTCATCCTGGACGACCATCGCGGTTTGTGTCTAACTTGAAAATTTATGAGGAAGATGTTCATCAACGAATTAACTTACAAGTTCTAAACTCCAAGCAAACATAACCACCAACTCCCACTTTTCCTTACTAAAATTTTGCGGTAACTCCAGAGCTTTATAAGCGTCAAGTAATATGGGCGGTCTAAATCTGTGCTCCTTCAATACCGTGAATTCTATTAATTCCTTATAGCGTTTTGTAAACTGTGGTGAACCGTAACAGCTTGCGCTTGTAGTTAGCGCATCAACAACTTTTGGGAGAGCTGCCAGAAACGTTTTGACTTCTTCGCTAACTTGGCCGGTAGGAATGTTCTTGTTCTGCCATCTACTGCAAGTAACGCTTTAAAGTCGGGATTATTCTGTATATTTACCTTTTCCATGAACAATTGCGCTTAAAAGTTGCTTGAAACATGTCCAATTTTGCTGTTTGCTGATAGGCAAAATGTTTAATTATCTTGTGATTGTTGTTGGTAGAACAGAGGCATGCAAGTTTGTGCTAAGTAAAATACCAATGTCACGCGAAGATCACGCGTCATACGTTTTGTACCTCTGTTCGAACAGTGCCTCTGATTTGGAGTTTTCTCTTCAATTTATCTATAATAATTATTTTTCAGTTTCTCTGTAAATAATTATTTTAGTCATTTAGGCAGTTGGATTTCTAATGCCAAACGCACTTGTGGTCATGAACGGGAGATTTCCGCTCGCTAATTAATCGTTAATCGTTCGAGTGGACTTAATCAACAAGATAAAAACATTCAATGCACCTATCACATATACCAATGTATATCCTAACTTGGTTGCTATGCGCCGCGCTGATTGCAGAATAGAACTGTTATTCTGGCTCAAAAAATTGAAAATTTTAAAAATCCAAGACACATTATGCGAGATATTGGCAAAATTTTACAATTTCTCTACCACTGAGCGCGTCTAATAAGTTTTTGACACATAAATTAAACCGGAATTCATTAAAGCCATAGTGTTGGGTCCAAAAATTCTTCTGAGAAGAAACGGCGTATGCTGTAGTAGTTAAGTTTATTAATTATCGAGATCATAACTTGGTATTCCCAAGCAAATGCAAACTAAAAGGTTCCTCAATAGGACTTACGTTTTCCTTTTTTTTGAATTTGCAGTGCGCGTCAAAACCACCAGACACGTATCTCTTAAGCGTGAAGCGGGCCGGACCGGGTGGAAAAAATTTCGATTGAATGTTCATAATGGCTTTTTTATTATACCTGAATCACAATCTCCGTTTTAAACACTCAAATGCGTGCGAAAAAGGGCCTTTAAAACACACGTGCTTTAAAGTTGCTAAGTAACGATACTTCAAGTATGACTTTTGAAACTGTCATCTGGATGAAATAAAAAATCCTCTTAGGTCGCTTTCTGTAAATGCAGAACATTTCTTTGGCTTTTGTACCTATCCTTTGGTTGAAGCTTTCACAAACGCGCGTAATTTAGGGTATGCTTCCAAATCTGTTCCACTTTCTAATCGCAACATTGTTTTAAAGTTTTGAATGAATGCACTAAAATATAGAAGATTTAAATACCTTTGACATTTCCTTCATATATGCCAGCATTATGAATGCATTTAAGACTGTATTCATAAGTAACTTCCTATTCGTCCATGAAAACAACTTTTCATATTCTTTATAATAGGCTTTACTGGATTTGGATTTTACACCTACCAACGTTTGTTTAGATTTTACAAGCGATTTAATGGACGATGTATTATCTTTTTCAACGGAAATCGTTTTATTTACAAAGATGATGATAATTATAAGCAAACGTCAAGTGACATTTCCATGGCAATCGTGAAACTTCGAACACCCAGCCCACTTAATTAAACATGTATTGAGTATAACGTCAATATGACTTCATTGTATTTCCTATTTTTAAATTATACTGCAGGTATAATAAAAAATACTATAAGATACACGTGTATAATTGGTCTTTAGAGCACTTGCAACGTTAAAGGCACTCCGCTTTGCGTCGTGCCCTTAAACTCGTTGCGCGTGCTTTAAAGACTTGATTATACACTTGTATCTTAATATACTATATACGGAACCGTCATCACGCTAAAATTGTTTAAACTAATTACCTAAGCGTCTTCACACGAATGCGCGGGGCTGTAATCAGAGCTGGGCAGTATTCGATTTTGTAAATACTTTTTAGTATTCAAATCCTTTAAAGTATTCAAATACTTTGTAATTAAATACTTTTATGGAAGCAGTATTTGTATTTGTAATCAAATACTTTCACAAATATTTAGTATTCAAATACTTCGCAAAGTATTTGGATACTTCGTAAAGTATTCGAATACTTCGCAAGGTATTTGAATACTTTGAGACCTACCTTCCTTTTTTGCCAAAAATTGACTACTCCAAAATTTCTCGGAAAAACACTTTTTTCTTATTAATTTTGGTGCGTAGAATCCAAAACGATTCGTACTTTTTCGATTAGACTTCTCAATCAAAAGTTACGGACTAGAAACCATAATTTCGAAAAAAAATTCTAAGGGCTGTAACTTTTGAACTAGTAGCCCAATCTTGGAATTGTTTGAAATTACAGATTCTACAGGCCCCATTCTATAAGAAAATTTTTTTTTCGGGTCGATCTGAAACAATTTTTTTTCGGGCCTCAAAAAAAGGCAGTGTATAACCTTCCTTTTTTACCAAAAATCGACTACACCAAAATTTCTCGGGAAAACACTTTTTCTTATTAATTTTGGAGCGTAGAATCCAAAACAATTCGTACTTTTTCGATTAGACTTCTCAATCAAAAGTTATGGACTAGAAATCAATTTCGAAAGAAAATTCAAAGGGCTGTAACTTTTGATCTAGTAGCCCAATCTTGGAACTGTTTGAAATTATGGATTCTACGGGCCAAATTCTATAAGAAAATGTTTTTTCTCGGTCGATCTCAGACAATTGTTTTTTCCGGCCTCAAAAAAGGCAGTAAGTACTTTTAAGTTATTCAAATATTTGAGAACAATTTAGAAATGTTTAGGGAAAGTTTCCATTGTCCCCAAAATCAAAGATAAAAATCCGATACAATTGAATACCGAACGATCCTGGAGTGAAACTTTTTGACTCGATAGTCTACGTAACTTAAAAACAATAGAGACCTTTCTTATATCCTTAAGACCATGTGTACCAATTTTCAAAGCGATCGCACGTTTCTAAAAAAACTATCATGCACACGGACAAACGGATGGTCAAAAATGTATCTGTTCCAAAATCGCTAGGATTAATTTCAGAAAGGCGTACGTATCATGTGCACGACGCTTTGAAAACTGGTACACGTATTCTTAAGGATATAAATGGTATAAGAAAGGTCCTGGTAGGTACCTTCTATATAATAATATAATAATAATATTACGCTTTTACTCCCCTTAAATTTGTATATAACAATAGAAATACAAAAAAAGCTAACCCCATACAAAGTATAACTTGATTTTTTAAGTAGTATTAAGTCTTTTATCTAGTATACTATTTTAAATTTTTAATGTATTTGAGTGTATATGTATATGTATATTTTGTCATAATATCACATTCAATGCTTGCGACACGTCAAATTACAGCATAAATAAGTAGTATATAATAAAAAGTACAAACAGACAAAGAAATTCATACAAAACTAACAATATTAAAAATAAAAATTCAGGTTAAAATCACAAATTAGAAACAATAGGTGTACTGAGGTATTCCTCTATGGAGTAGAAACAATAAGCTAAAAAATGATATTTTATAAAATTCTTAAACTTAACGAAATGGAACTGCTTCACAGCCAGTGGTAGTACATTATACAAATCTATGCGGGGGCTAGTATTTTTGGATTTAGGAAGTCTATAGTATGGAATCCTCAGATTTTTTGCGTGACAAGTATTTGAATACTTTTTACTGTATTCGAATAATTTTCAAAGTAAGTTAATGAGATACTTTTCAAAGTATTCGAATACTTTCATAAGTATTCGAATACTTATTTTTTAAAGTATTTGAATACTTTTCAATGTATCTGTATCTAGTATTCGCTTGTGCTGGACGTAAAAGTGTTTAGTATTCAAATACCTTTGATTTGTGTAAAGTATTTACTATTTAGTTTTCAAATACCTTTTGAAAGAATTCTGCCCAATTCTGGCTGTAATCCTCTTTAGGTAATTTTATTTTCATAGAATTCGTCTTTGTTAACAGTTTTCGTTTTAGGTTAGCCATATGTGTTAATTTAATTACGTATCTTTGTTTTATCTATCTCGTAATTTGAAACCCATTTACTTAAGTCCGAATGAATACGATTGGTAGTTTTTGAATATATTTTTCTTTGTACGTTACGAGTATTGGGGTTATCGCAATAAAAAAGTACTGTGTTCTGGATCAAATACCTACTCGCTTTCGAATTGAAGAATGGTAACTATCGATTAGCTGGTTCAAAATGTACGTCTGATAACCTTAGAGTACCAGCTAAATTAGCTCCCAGCCCACGGGAAAACACGCCTGAAGGTGCCGCCAACGCGAAGGAGACATAACCCTAAATATGAATTTATTCTATGCATATGGACCTCTCTGTATACAAGTATAGTATAGAAGCTCTTAAATCGTAGATCTTAATAATATACACTGCCGAAAACAAAAAAGATCGATTATGTCTAAAAATTCATTCACCTACAGGGGGAAATACGTTTTCAACTGTAGATAATACCGCCTTCCGTAACGACGGCATCATGTTACGTGTAAGGTTTTCCACCATCTTTTTGGATTTGGTGTGATGGTCAAGATATTTTTCATAGATATTAAACTCGTCCAATATTCTCACCACGTGCCCTTCACAATCGCGCTCAGGACGACCGTAATTGGCTTTAAAAGCTTCAATTATTCTTTCATTGTCGCTTTCTAGTATTTTAACAGCAACCCATGTACGTTTTCCCTCGCGAATATCACTCCCCACGCAGGGTCTTAAACGGCCATGCTTATCGTAAATATCTAAGATATCATTCTGAAACATTCTACTGCAGTAGGAAAATTACGATCTGAATACCTACATCAACTTGAAAATGTAACCCAAGATCTGCTATAACATCTTTGGTGCCGTACCAAAGGGACATATTCCCAGTCATACTTAAAGCTCCCGCAAATGGGAACGCAAATATTGGCATACCAGCTTTGTAACGTGCAGTAACACGATATGTATCCATGTTAAAGGTTTCGTACGCCAATTTACCATTGCTTTTGTAAGACCAATCCATTGCTTGTCCTTTCGCGAGCGCTATCCTCATTTCATTAAACAACTCTTTTAATTCACCATATTGTTTCAAGGAGGCGAAATACTTCCTGAGCAACACCAATGCTGCCCCGTACAACAACTTGCCGTCAGTGATCGCGTTGAGCCCGACGTCCGGTTTCTTATACCATGAGATGTCATTCGCGCGAATTTCCGTCTGATCCCAAAGATCATCCTGCACAACCATTGCGGCGAGTGTCTAAAACTCGTTTAGAACTTGGACAAATTCAACAAAACTAAAGTTACCAGCTCAAAACACCAAGCAAGCATAATAACCAAACGATATTTGTCTTCGCTGAAACCTTCAGGCGTTTCCAGTGGCTTATACGCTTCCAAAACTACCGTGTGTCTAAATCGTTTCAATTTTAACACCGTAAAATCCACCATTTCTTCCAGATGTTGCGTCAGGTGCGGCAAATTCTGAGAGGCACAATACTCAGTTAGGGTGTTGATTACTTCTGGAAACGCCTCAACGAATTGCCTATTTTTCTCATCGCGTTTAACGTGCTTTAAATATGAGTCATTTGGGCCGTACTTGGAAATTAATCTGAAAAATGTTAATAACTTACAAGTGGATGTGTTGCTGTTACCTTTTGCAGAGTAGAAAACGATTAGTCTTCATTAATAAATTGAGAGGTAGAATAATTTTGATCCGCTGCATGTAGATTTCAATTGTAAGGTCGAGATTTACGCCAATTGTGTTTTACAATATGGTACTTACACGCGTGAATAGCGATATGACTAAAATCAGTCAAATTAAATATAGAAAACTTATTTAAATAAAATCTTTGTTTATTCATTTAGTTGTTCCAAGGATAAGTGCTACCACATCCTGTAGAATGTGGTACTATCTGATTATGCAATTGGTTCGTGTATACTCTAATTTAAACAATATCTGCCGTGAGCCCGTGACTTGGTAAACATTCCTTTACATATTAGCATACACGAAATTACCTCAAAAGGGGAATATTACGCAGGAATGGTCAAACCTAATTTGCAATTAAACAAATTGTATGATTTTTTTTCACTTATAATTGCACAAGAGGTTTGTATTTTACCGAGTAAATTTGGGTTGTTTAGGTAATGAAAATCTGTTGCCTAGCAATTAGACGAGAAAAACTGTCAACTAATAAAAATGCGACACCGCAGGTCTTCAGTCTCAATGCGCGAAATTGAACTTCGCGCTCTTGTTATATAAATAACTATTTTATTATACCTGAATCACAATCTCCGTTTTAAACACTCAAATGCGTGCGAAAAAGGGCCTTTAAAACACACGTGCTTTAAAGTTGCTAAGTAACGATACTTCAAGTATGACTTTTGAAACTGTCATCTGGATGAAATAAAAAATCCTCTTAGGTCGCTTTCTGTAAATGCAGAACATTTCTTTGGCTTTTGTACCTATCCTTTCGTTGAAGCTTTCACAAACGCGCGTAATTTAAGGTATGTTTCCAAATCTGTTCCACTTTTTAATCGCAGCATTGCTTTAAAGTTTTGAATGAATGCACCAAAATATAGATTTAAATACCTTTGACATTTCCTTCATATATGCCAGCATTATGGATGCATTTAAGACTGTATTCGTAAGTAACTTCCTATTCATCCATGGAAACAACTTTTCATATTCTTTATAATAGGCTTTACTGGAGTTGGATTTTACACCTACCAACGTTTGTTTAGATTTTACAACAATCGATTTAATGGGCGGTGTATTATCTTTTTCAACGGAAATCGTTTAATTCACAAAGACGATGATAAGCAAACGTCAAGTGACATTTCCATGGCAATCGTGAAATTACGAACACCCAGCCCACTTAATTAGACATGTATTCGAGTATAACGTCAATATGACTTCATTGTATTTCCTATTTTTAGATTATACTGCAGGTATAATAAAAAATACTATAAGATACACGTGTATAATTGGTCTTTAAAGCACTTGCAACGTTAAAGGCACTCCGCTTTGCGTCGTGCCCTTAAACTCGTTGCGCGTGCTTTAAAGACTTGATTATACACTTGTATCTTAATATACTATTTATACAGAGTTTCATGTAGCCCACTCGTTATAAAGTTTTTTACTTGCAAATTGAAATTTAAAATTTGCCTCCCAGCTACACAATCGCCAATTGAGGATTTAAATAAAATATCTTCACGACTTCCGTAAATGTCGGAAGTTGGCGCCATCTTGAGTCTTTTAAATAGAAAAATTTTCTATTTTTTTTTAAATGCGCCATTTTATTCTGAATTCAACGCATTTAAGATTTGTGTACCTACCTGTTATAGTTTAAATTAAAGCTGAGATGACGAGCAAGGAAGTTATTTCTTAGCATCTTCACTGAATACGGATGAATGCTTTTCTGCATTTGCACTAAATGCAATGGCATTTGGGATTATCTTCTTCTACACACTTTATTTCGAAACCGACGAACTGCGAATTGATTAATAGGGCCAACTGCCCATAACTTAGCGTAAACAAAATTTACGCGCCCTTTGTACCGTCGCGAAACTAACAACGCCACTTTCACAAACAAATAATTTCTTTCTCCCCGTATTTACACAGAAAGTGTCAATCACAATTAAATTAGATAACGCCGGCTTCGAAAGAACGCGTCGCGCTTCCCCACTTACGTCGAAAATAATTTTGTTTCAGGCTTTTTTGTGGGATCTAAGTTCCAGTAATAAACTATGAGAGATAACAATGACACTAATTTCTCACCCCGGCTTGCCAAAGACAAGGTAGCACAGAGTCCAGAGGAAAACGGAATTTCAATTTATAAACTGTGATTACTGTGACTCCAAGTTAAATGTTCAGGTTAATTTTATGGACAAGGTCAACTAACAAGTTAAACACCTCCTGGGGGTTACTTCCTAAAAAGGTGATTATAATGGGAACTCAATTGCCTTATTTTCCAGTCTTTCATATAATTTTTGTTTTTATTCAGGGGACAGTTTAACAATTCTTTGCAACCGGTTTACCGCAAGTACATTGAGGACTATCCAACACTTGGATCTTGTGTAGGTGCGCTGGAAATCTCCCGTGACCAAACTTCAATCTGGCTATATGATATGTTTGAATTACTCCACGGACGAAGTGTTACTTCCGGGTGAAGTAAGGCATACTGTGGTGGTTTTATGCTATACAGGGTGGTGTTTTTAAGTGAACCATTAGAAGTATTTCAGGAACGCTTTGGAATTTTGATTCGAAAACTTTTTCTAAAGTGAACAGTTTTTTTATTTTTGTTTTAGAAAAATTTTGCAAGTACAATTTTTTATCCGTTTTTTATGCTCTTTCTATTGATGTATAAGTAAAGATATGGTTTCCACTTCAAAACTTCGAGTTTTTAACCAAAAACCGATTGTCGACTTTGAACGCTTATTCGTATTATTTTCGAATCACATTTGAAAATCAGACTAATAGAATTTGATAGCCTGGACTTTTAGCTGTCCATTCGTGAAATAAACATTTTGCTAAGTTGTCAGACAATAGTGATATGGCTAATTTACTGAACCTCTGAAACTATGAAAAAATGTCAAAAATGTCAACTAACTTCGAAACAATGTCAGTTAGACATAGCATCATATTAACAAAGTCATACTGATTTTTTATGAGTAATTCGAAAATGCGATCAGAAAAGATAGTGCCATTTGAAATAAGAAAGTGCCGTTACCGTTCCGATACAACCGGAAAAGCGGCCATCTTGAAAATATTTTTAAATTTGATCGATTATTCAAAAAAGGTAATGGGTTCCGATTCGAAATTCCAAACCGTTCCTGAAATATTTCTAGTGGTCCACTTAAAAACACCACCCTGTATTGCTATTGTCATTTTTCATATGTAAAGTCCGTTGAATTTTTAAAATATTTGGCACACTTATCAAGTCAGATTTAGCAATTTTGGTTTCGCACATCGTTGACCACTTGGATTTCTTATTATCGGCACCAGAACACGTGCGTTAATTAAATCTCTCCTGATAAAGACTCCTAATCGCAAATACTTAAGTACCAGTTTAATTCAAAGCAGAATTTTCTCAAAAAAATGCTTGTGGGTACGAATTGGTCTTAAATACGAGGCAGAAGCACATCGAATTTGGCGGAAAATCAATTTGAATTGGCAAATTGGCGAAATTGATGAAAAATTGCGATTTATCAGTAAATGTTTGTCGGTGCAAATTAGCCCCTAATGCAAAACACAAGTTTGTCGAGTTCCGCGAAGCTTCTATATACTCGTACGTGATTTCGCTTTTATTAATGGAAAGTCTGAAAAAGGAAGTCTAGACAGATGGAAAAAAATTTATGAAAGAAGACAATCTTCCAGTTAAAAAGAGATTAGTATTTCTACTTTTTCTTTTTTATTAATAAACGCTTTTGAGTGCAAACACAAGTTTCTCAAGTTTCGCGGGACCGCTTACTTGGAGTTTCTTTTTTTCTTAAAAAGCTCAAAAATCGCGTATTGCGAAATGAATGAAAATTCGAATTTTAATAGAAATTCTCTCTTACCCCTGCAATTTTGAAGGCGGCTGCTATCTTGAATTTCCTTAAATGACAACAAATGTTTGGGTCTGAAACATGCATAACAATATCTCATTGAAGTCCTTCGCAATGCAAATCAATACCTTGAAACGTTCCATTACTGTATAGCAAGCCTTACTTTAAAAACGAAACGAATAACTTTTCGTTCTCTTAACAATCAACGCTATTGAAATGAAATGACTGATCCGTAATGAATACACTAATCCAATCTGAAATCCCAGCTTAAAATGTTCTTATCCAATGACAAATCTCCAAACTTGAGTACATAGCATGAACTTTAAGAAAAATTTCCGACCGAATACGAGCAAACTTGGGAAATCTACACAATAACTTTACGCATTCATTGTGAAACTTTACCGTAACGAATATTTATAGCCAATTTTTGGGGGCGTAATATTTAACTAGTCAGGGGATTTACTCCTGGCGCGATATAAGCTTCTACGTACTACCGCGCGTCGTTATCCCGGATCGCATTGCAAATCAGGTACCTATTCAATTTATAGTATTATCCTGCCGATATATAATGTGTTCATTAGGGCCGTGAAACGGGTGCGCAATTTTAAGCGATTCAACATCATGTTCGTGGTAACTGAAACTTCAGAGGGGAATTTAGCTGTAAGCACCGTTGTGCGGCCTTAGTGCTTGATGAACATGAAACCCCGGTGTAACGAGGCGCCGAAAAGTCATCATTCACTCGTGATTTTCATAATAAAGTTCTCGTATTAATTAATTAATTAATCGATTAAGAGGGAAATGTAGAGAAAACTTGGAGAATATCGGTTTTGCTTTAAAATAGCACGAAAACGGAAGTGAGGTAGTATTTCTAGTTCCTAGGCACTATAAATAACTTTGAAAATCTCAAATCACGAAACTGAAGTTAAACGAAGTGTTCTATTCATAAACAGTTACTTATTTTTTTTATTGATAAATTAAAACCTGAAAATTTGCAGACCAACATAGTTTTTCTTGATCTATCGAAAGAAAACATTATCATATGCGTTTCACTTCCGGTTCTACCGAGTACCGGACGTCGATAGCAACTTTCTTATTTTAAATAGAACACCATGTATTATTATTACAATTTTTAAATCCACATGAAAATCAACGTCGTTTGATATCACATTTCTCTATACCCAGCGTCAAAGGTTTTCAAGTTATTCAAGATTTTTCAAAATTTTTGACGTCTGACTGCTATTCTTGTGAGCCCCGTACCTATGACTCCGTTAACTTTAATGTCAAAATGTCTTCCAAAATCGATAGTACTGACTTGCTGATACGTGGCAATTTTTTTAAATTTTGATCGCTTTTCTACAGTGATTTAAAACTAATGGTCAACTTTAATAACTTCCAAGTTAATTTTTTCAAATGAAACTTGTTTTTGCACTTTCAAATATCGAAAAAAATTCCAGCTTTCATAATTTCGGGACTCATCACTGCCGAGCATATATTCCTTCAGATCCATTTTTTTTTAGACCAGCCGAAGAGAGGAACGTTACAAATTTTGGCGCCTAACGTGGGGCTATAAGATTCTCTATAACTTTTACATTGAACATTTTCGCCTAAATTTAATAGTTTTGCCACAAATTGCAAAACACCACTTTCCACCGCTTTCAACCCCCGAGACTTCACTCGCGGAAAAATTCAGCTGTTTTAATCATTTTTCCCCAATTTCAAATCATTTCACCTGGCTGGAAAACCCGGTTTCGCCCGGTAGCTAATTTTTTTTGAAAATAAATTATTTTAAAGCTATTTAGCCTGGACTATAGTTATTTCACCCTGTACGTAAATACACACTATATACTTGTATAAAAAAATTAAATAAAATGAAAATAAAACAAATTATAAATAAAAACCCCTGTATTAAATTCGTCCTTTAAAACTAAACTATATATACTGGCAGCAATTATAAGTATTAATAATATAATATAATATAATATAATGTTAATTAAATATATTCTGACCTTTTCCTCAATAGGCAGCGAACCAAACTCTTCTCGTGAGATGTCGGAATTAGACGAACAATGGAGTTAGCCCCAGAGAATTAACAGAAGAAAAATCCCTAGAAAGTGCATCCCATGTAGTAAAGAATTACCAGGCCTCTACATAAAGCCAAAATTGTCAATTGGTATAGTGCCGGAAACAGTTTAAGGAGCGTAAAAGATTTATTTTCTGTTAAACAAAGCAACAATATTCAAACTTATTAATCTGACAGTCAAGTGCTAGGTCAAGTGTTTATTTGATTCAAAAATTATTTTGGATGCATAAAATTAGGCGGTCTTCAGAAGAGATTTTGTCTTTTAAAAGTACACAGGGAATAACAATACACATAAATATACTTCTCTACCTGAAATACGTAGACAACTAATTACTAAGTTCAATAATTTTTTATATTTTTTTTCATTACTCCTATTACTTAGATCTCTGTGTTGTTCATTTGTACGTTTTATATAATTTATTTATAATTTGGTTTACGTTGCGCAATTTAATTTAATTTAATTATCTTTCAATTGCATTTTTACATATACCTTGTATGTTTATAATATTACTCTAGAAAGTATACGATTTTTACGAAGTAGACAAGCAAGCAAGAGAGGACACTTCCAGGAACGATTTTTATTTATTGTCCCTCTCTTGTTCTGAGCCCTCAACCGCTTGTGCCCAATTACAGAGCATAATGCTTTTTCTAGTTGTTCTATACTACTCCGGTATTTACCTTACGAATTAGGAAAACTGCAGGAAAACCTAATTTGGAGTAGCCGGCAGAATGCTCGAAACTGATCTAAGGAAATTCCCATCTCTGGCACAGATGAAAAATTCTTACCTCGGCCCAGGTTCGAACACCCGACCTGCCCGCTATGTATCCCAACGCTCTACCACTGAGACACATAGTCGGGTCCAAGAACAACAACATAAAAAGCCATATCACTAACAAATGGAACTTGTAATGCGAAAATTACTACAAACCGAAACACAAATCCCCGGAATCCCAAAATAATATCACTAGAGGAGAAGAGGCAATTCTAATAGGACTGAAGACCGGACATACACGACTTACCCATGACTTCGTGCTTAAAAAGGAAGAAGAATCAATTTGCCAACAAATGCAATACAAAACTAGCTGTGAGCCATATCCTCTGTGACTGCCCTGGGACCGCGGAGTAGCGTAACGACTTTGGCATTTAGAAACAGTATTTTGAAAACCAAAAAACGTGATAAAACTTCCTAAAAGACATTCAACTAAGTGGTGCCATGTAACATTAAATAAATTATCACTATATAAGCAAAAATGCCACAAGATCTTTGTAGGCGTTATCCCTTCAATCAAAAAAAGACGGTTGTTGTAAACTGGCTAATTATTACCAACTCTTGATTGAAGACAAAAGGTGTTCAAGTGACGGAATGGACTCAAATTCAGGTAGATTTGTGACAGTCATACAAAAACAGGGGCAAAGCTTTACTGTGCGCAGGCAGACAGACAGACAGAGACAGAGATTCTAGAAACAAAGCAAAAAGCACCTATAACTCGAAATTGTTTAAAGACTGTCATTTAAAAGTAGGAATGCAAAGTACGGCATCTACAAGGTGTACGTTGGGAACCAAAGAAAGTTACTAAAGGAATTATATTTTGTGAAGTACTACGTGCACATATTATACCCGATTTGAATAATTTTGTGGTTACCATCATCGCGGGTGTAACATCGTTGACTACTAAATTTGTCTAATGTGCAATATAGCATCATAGCGTCTTGTAGTATCCCAGTAATGATTATGTTATTACGTAAACAAGTTGAGCCGTAAAGAGCTTTATTTACCAAAATGTACCCCTCAATATTTTCTACACAAAGCATAATAAAACGGTTTCTTTGCAATATGATTGAAATTTGTGGATGGCAGTGACAATCCAAACAAAAACTCAATACTTAAGTTAATTTATATACGTAATGTATCTCGTTTTTACGGTTTTAATTACATATTTTAGTATAATTTGAAACATGGATGCAATAAAACAAAAGCGCATCGTTAAAGCGAACCTTTTTACGAGTGTAGCAGGTGTGCTTAAAAGGAATGCTGTGGTTATTTGAATTCCCTTAATGGCTTTCCTGTCTCTCAATAGAAGAAGCACTTAGGAAAATGTTTAATGTAAGCTTCGGAAAATAATAAAGTAAAAACTATGGAATTTTCCCCATAAATTACTAACGTGAATTAATATTCAGTACGTGCAGGTCGACTATTTTTCCTCAAGACTTAAATGTTAAAATGGTATCGAGTAAACTGAACATATAGCTTCTGAACGTAGGGAACGAACGAATAAGACAAGGTAATGTATTCAAAACTGAAGGAATAGTCATAATAAAGCTCCAATCCTGAAATGATGTATTTTTTACCATTCTTTGGTGTTCTCTTTCTTTTAGAATGTTATGGGGAACTCTTCTGTATTTGATTTAGTCTTATTTGTTTACAATATTCTTTAAATGCATCGACGTTTATGTCTTCATGGCGTTCGCCCCTCTTTTTAGATTAAAAAAGGGCAATCTTTCGTTAAGAAAACCCTCAGGACTTCTTATGTGTGGAATTATACCTTTGCCTTCACTGTTTTTTTTACCTGGTACTATTTAATTTCTCGAAGATACCGTCTTCTCCAAGAAATTATTTCTGTACTAACGATTTTCAGTTGTTGGTTTCCCACAAAAAATATGGTTCATGAAGTATCTGATTCAAAGCAAATCTTCTGTTTACTAAGTGAAATCACTTTTTAAAATAGCCTTCAAATTTGATCAAAATCTGAGTAATTTGAGTATTGCGCATCATAGAAATTTGTAGAGTATCAAAGTTTTTTATTTTCCGCAAGCTGCCGTTGGAGTTATTAGAACAATAAACTGAAATCAGAATCAAAGGTTTTAAAGGTGTCAAAAATTGTGTGTATTTTTTGTATTCTCATCAAAAGAAATTTCTGAGTTTGCGATCAGTCTTTACAGTCTTTTTCATAGTTTTTGGAATCCAAGCAATTTCCAATTAAAATTCATGTCAAGGGAATCGAACTCAGAAGGTTTCCATTATATTTATTGCGTAAATGTAAAACAAAATAAGCTGCGTTTTCAGTACCTACCTGTTATTGAAACCATATTAAAATTTAAGACAGAGATGGCCTTATCTACCTAGGGAGTAATTACTCATGTCTGTGCTAGGTAGGAATTTCATGTTTAATCCATTACCTAAGAAATTACTGTAGTGTAAAGGATGCATACTTAACTATCCCAGCTCGGTTGGGGATCAAAGACGACATAATGGAGCAACAACATCAACAGCAAACGACTTAAATTTAATCGTTTAATCGTTTTAATGATCGACATAACACCGTGCTCTTCTGATTTATTAAATAAGTTCGCATTCATTTGAGATGTTGTAACGTCTCGTTGAATGCTCTCTTAGTGTGTTAGGAGGTAATCTAAAATCTTCCTTTTACTTATATCGAAATCCGAAACCCATTTATGATTGGTGTACGTAATTTTGAATTAATTGGATTTGGGTCTGAATTTGTCACTGTAGTTTTTGGATGTATGTATCATTCGTGTAATGAGCATTGAACCGTCTTATCGATGAAGTCTTCTGAAATGCTAAAACAAGTTAACCAACCAATGATTGATATGTCTGCTTATCTGGAAGGCAGGATCAAATCACTTTTCTATAATGTTAACTGCATTTTTCCAATAGTAGGAATGCCAATAAAGCCGATTGGGAACTATACTAATAACCTCGCTAATAACTAAACACAGAAACTTGATATTTAAAATTGCAACATGAAATCTAACCAAAATGAGCTCATAGTAAAGCCCCTTAAAACGCGGAAAGTTCAGAATATTATAATTTATTTTGATAATGCGGCATGCAGATTATAAACAAACAAAAAACAGAGATATTCTGAAATTGTTAGGAGGTAAATTAATATTTACTTATTATGTTTGTACACCCACCCACTCTTGGTACCACAACAACGCAAATCGAAATATGAAAATGTATATGTGGGTGATGAATTAAATTAGGTCTTGATAATATTGACGAGGAATGTTTGTACATTCCTAAAATTTCCTGAAATTCAGGTATGTTTTTTTAAACTGGCTTTTCGCATTTACATTTCAACCACAAAGGATTAATACGTTTGTTACTCACTCGGTAATTTCTGCATCCGATGCAATCCGGCACGAAACTCCCCTATCCATAGCGCATTTTCCAGTTACCGGATCCGGCGGCGATAGACTGATGTACGGCGGTTCTTCCAGAAACGTGATTTTAAGATGAAACTTCTCTGGAACTCCTTGTGGAGGCGTGTGACTGTTGCCAGGCCAAACGATATCCTTTATATCCAAACCCTCTTTCTGCCACGACTTCCATACCCCAATCTGTAAGGAAAATGTTTCAACTTTAAAGAAAGGTCTTACTAAATGTCATGGTGCAGGGAGACAACGAATCTTAGTATCACTTCAGTTTTAAAAATTTACTATTGTTCATGAATAATTTTATTGTTGTGTTATTACTTGCATGTATCACTGTATGTGGTGGAATGACAAAGAAAGCTTATTATTAATTAGTCTGCAAGACATACAAAATGAAGTCTCGAAAGGAAGGATTGCGGATTTAAATAAAAGCCATATCTACCTCCTCCCAAACGAGCTGTTTACTTATCCCCGGCCTCAAATTCATAATCTTAAGTTCCGCCGCACGAAGAACGCCGTCTTGCGTGAATTCGATGTTTGGTTTACCCGCCTCCGTTTCGACGCTTACGTTGCGGAGATATCGAAAGAAACGATCTCCCGTATCCCAGCGTGCCGCTCCAACGCCTTCGCAAGATAGCTGAGTATTAAGCGACCGATTTATGTTGCGTGGGTCGTTTATAAAATCTTCCACGCCGTATGCGTAGACCTTAATTGCCGTTGTAATTTCGTTGACCAAACTGGCGCTCGACGTGTCGAAGTGCACTCCTGAAACGAAACGATATATCAAACTTTACGTTACATACCAAACGTTGGAAACCGATAGCATTTTGCAGGTTAAATAGGCTTAGGGAAATTAAGTAATAAGCTTTTAAGCTCACGCAAAGTTGACCTAACACGAAAACGAACCCCGCAATCCGGTGACACGTTACCATACCGATAATTAATAACATTGTTTATATAAGAAACTTATGTCTAGAAGCAATTATTTATAGATGAGTAGTATATAGTAGTTTCAGATATAAAAAGGTCGGGAGTTAATGAAACTTCGGTGTGTAGGGATGGTTATTTAACATTTGCTCAAGTTTTCAACCTAGAGCACCTTGTGCGAGAAGAGGAGGGAGGGGGAGGGAGCTTCAAAATTTTTGACAGTCTTTTCCGGTTTTTTTAAATAACTTTTCTCTTACGTCCTACGGTAAAAGCATCTACAGTGTGTCCTTTGCTTTTTCTCTCAATACTTTGCGGTAAATAATATGCGTACGCTTTTGATGAGCCAAATCGCCTGAGGACTTCTTTCGATTTAGCTGCTCATTTGCAACTAACATTTTTTCGTTAATTTAGGGTACTTGTTTTCCATTGCAGAAATCGTATTTCTTAATTCATTCATGTATCTCTTTGATTATTTTTCTTTGGTCCTTCGAGGTTTCTTGGCTAAGGGTTTTGAAAAAGGTTGTTTCTGCAAACTTTTGGCGGTGTTCATACTGATTTGATTAATTTTTTTATTATTCCTGCATCAGAATCTCTGTTTAAAACACGCTTGAGCGTGCGAAAAAAGCGTTAAAGGTTCAAATGCAAAAGATATCTTTGACTCATATCTTTTGTTGGAAGCTTTCACAAACGCACGTGGTTCAAAGCAGGTATGCTGCAAAATCTGTTCCAGTTTTTAATCGCAGTATTGATTGAAGTTTTGATTGAAAGGGTAGAAGATTTAAATGTCTTTTTTTTCTTTTGCGTCTCCAACAAGCAACTGAATGAACGGTGTATTATCTCGTGTGCGGACAATTCGCCCCGGACAATTCGCACTCGGATAATTCGCTCCCAGGATATTTCGCACCCTGGACATTTCGCACCCGGACCATTCGCACTCGAAAAATTCGCTCCCGAATAATTCACACCCGGATAATTCTGTAAATCTTTGGTTTATTAAAATTAAATATTTTTAAGAGGCTACTAGACCATTGCCTTTACAGAATGTATGTAGTAGTGCACATCTTGGTAAACATCTACTTCATGGAAAAATGTTTCAAATAATAGTTATTTGGTCTTTCATTTTCAACACATCGCGATTCTTTAAGTATTTCCATTTCTTAAATATAATCACGCTGGTTTTTTTTTGAAGTTGTATGAAGAGTCTGATATAGTTAAATCCTGTAATTTAAGAACACATAATTTTTATCTACTGCGCTTTCGTTTTGAGAAAATAAGAATAGGTAACTGAAACGTCTTTTGTGGAGTAATTAAATACCAAATAGTTATACCTAGTTATAGTATACCTACAATATTATGTGTAATATTCCCTACTTTTGAGACGCTCTTAATATTAAAACAGAATCAACATATAATACCGTACACAAACAAAGTGATAAGTCTAAAGTTAAAAATATTTACATTATAAGATCAAGATGAAAATAGAAAAAGGAAGTAATTTTAACGCTCCCTTACATAAAGATTTCTTAATGAAGACACATAAAAAATTGTTCTTTATTTCTTTAGTTGAAAAGGGTGACAAAGGAAATGAATTAAATTTATTTTAGACAAAACGAGTATGTATAAATGACAATAGAACAATGCATTTCATAGATGGCACTAAATTTGGATAAGTAATTAAGATAATATTATAATTAAAGGTAAATTTGAAAAGACCCCGATAACACAAATTGCACTTCATAAAGAAACAATAAGAGAAATATCGTAATGACATCCTTTCTATTATTTCTGGAAGATGAATAGGGTTTATTACAAGGTAAAAGTAATTAGGTCCGAAAAATCAGGTTTAAGTACGTATGACCACAACTAACTAGAACTTTAACGCCTGTATAGTATCTTCATTCTTGAACGTTTGACAAAGTGGTATTTTAAAATTTATCTGAGCACGGGTTTTGATTTTGTGTATACTTTTTTTTTAATTTAAAAAAATTTTATTTCTGGTGGTAGTGTTGTGGTGGTGTTCAGAAAAGGTAAGTTTCCAGTTTTCTTAGAACCAGTTTTACGTTTCTTTGACCACATATGGCCATAAGTTGATTATTGGTGACTGAGTAAAATTACACTAACTGCTTATTTTTTTGCGTTATCTTTGCTACAACTATGGTAGTGAATGAACTTTAAAGTTTCTTTTTGATTTTCTTACTGTTATTTATTTTATAGTTTGAAGAGATACATGGAAAAATTCTGGCATTTTTTTAAGAGATTGTTAATAATCAAAACAGTACCTAAGGGTTTTGAAAATCTTGAAACGTTTTAGGAACAGGTCGATATTGATGATTTTTTCTTTTAAATGTTTGTAATTATTAAGTACCTATATACTTCCTTTTTAATTTTTGTATGGCATACCTAGTACTAAAGCAAAACCCTTAGCATTGGTAATTGCGCAACAAGGAAGATAGGACATCATTGGAAAAGCTTTCCTTCTCTGAATTTGGTGAGACTATAATTTTTTAGATTTGATATTTTCGAAATATTTTAAAAGTAAGTTGAGGGCGCGCTGTTGTTTATGTCATTGGAAGGATGTCGGGCCGATCACTATGTAATATAGAAGCTAACGCGATCGTGCGTCAAAATTATGCAGTTGCAAGTGGTATAAAAAAGAGAAAACTTGTACCTGCAACGTCGAATGCGCTGGAAATGAAACAACTAAACCAAAAAAATTACATATCCGAATTCAGAGATGGGCGACCTTACCAACGATTCATCATTTAAGATTTTAAGGGTTGCACTGTCAGCGATGCGAGACAAAGACATTAGTGAGCAAGTTTTATTTTAGACACTGTTTCCTTCCATGATCAATTTGACGTGCCAAAGCGTTTTTTGAAAATTATTTTAATTTACAGAAATAGCTATGTATCATTTCTAATGCACCACCATATATTATTTAGCTTTGGAGAAATAACACCAAAATCTCAATCTAAGGCTATTTGCGCTATATCAGTCGCACCTTGCTATGTGACAAACCCAGTTTACCAACCCAGTCTAGTTCGAATACACAACATTAGGTCATAGTCTCATGCGTGAGGGAAATTTGTTAGAACTTGGCCCACAAATTCGTCTCCTGAACATTCACGCCAGAAACCCACTCTCTAAGATTAACACTCAAATATTCTTGCTCAATCGCCTCTGGGAAATTCCCTTTCTCTATTAATATTCTCGATGTGAGATGATTGATCGCCGAGGTAAATTCGACCCTGGAAAGGTTACCCCCAGAATGTCCGCTTTCAGAAGAGCACCTCCCCTAGAATTCGACTAGTCGCGAATTTGAGACAATGCTCGTACATTTCGGAACCTGCAGATCGCGTTCTTTCCTGTGCACGTTTTCAAAAGGGTTAAAAGTGCTGAAAACTTTAAATGGGTTTTAGCGGAACAGCCCTTTACTAAAATCTGTCTGCCCATATATCTGTCTATTCGACTGTACGTGCGTGTAATCCGCACCCGATTTCAGGGATGCGCGGGGGGTCCTCTTCAAAGCTGTCAATAAACATTAGTTTTTAATATAATTTTAGAATCGGAATTCGATCCGGAATATTTGCCCACAGAAAAATTACCACCAGAGGAGTATAATGCCAAAAAAAAACCGTTCCCTTAGAATCCATGCCCAAAGAAAAATCCCCAAAGAGACTTACTACCGTTGCCATGGTTTGTTAATTAAAAACATTACTCTTTATTACGAGTGATGAAAACTAGAGTGGCCATTAAAATATGCCGTCCTTGATCATGCAGAAGCACGGCACTGGCTACAAATTTAACGTACGTAGAGTGGTAGTAACATTTTTATAATTTTGGATACCATTTCTTAAAAAAATGCTGTTCTGGAGATATTCAGTGTTTCAAGCAAAATTTTTACCCTGTATAAATGCTACCTGTCACGAAGATAGGGAGAATGACGTATTATTTAGTGAGTTTTTCTGTAATTCTTATTTAAAACCGTTCTTCTCATCAATTTGTCGAGAATATCACTTCATTCTGTTTCCCTGGATTCAGCACCATCTTATATTCTTAAATGTGGTTTGTCGCAAATTTGTAAATATGCCACCGTCGTCGGTGCTTACAAGAGAACCGGAGGATTCATCTTGAGCAGAGAGACATGAAGCTGCATGCAATATTAATGTGCTCAGAGTGGATTTTCATGCGTTTGCATACATCAGTGTCGAACATTTGCTAATGGATGAAGGGTTCGCTTAATAAAGGGACTGGTACGTATAAAATATGCGAAAACTCGCAATGTCCATTTGTTTTGAAACGAACAAATTCATAGGTATCACGCGACACATTAGGACGTTTTTTTTCGTGCAAATTTCACATCAAATGGAGCTCATTTTCATTGAAAGTTTGATGCCTTTTAAAGCTTGAACTTTGCTGATTAAGAGAACTTCACAAAGGTATCGGTTTAAAAAAATGTTTACGTTTCCCATCAGTGGGGATTCCAACCGTTTTAATGTTACTAATTGGAAAGTATTGCTTTAATTTAATCACGTTTTAATTAAATTCGGGATGATTGTTTGAAAATATGAAAGAAAATCAATGAAGCCCCCGCAACGAAGAAAAATCCAGTCTCAATACAACCCGTTGTAAAATGTTCTTTGTTCGCAATTACCTCTTCTCCTCGGTTCTCTCGTGAAAAACTTTCAACTTTATAAATCAATTAGTACTAAAGGACAAAACGTAATGTACAACCGTTTCGCAAATGTTTATAGTCTCAAGGGAAGGGGATTAAAATGTCATTTAAGTAAAAGTGCCGCCGTTACACAATAAGGTTAAAGTCATAACCCTTAGTTTTTTGTTTATCTAATTCCGCTAATTTCGAATTCCCATACATTTACTAAAGTGAAATGTATTGAAATTTCCCCTAAAAATCGATTGCCCTTTAAATGCCATTTATAAATTTAAATTGAAATTAAAAGGCTGACTTTTATTTCGTCATTAATATTTATTGACGTTCACTTTTAAATTACCACTTTTGCGCAATCGAATCGAAAATATCAAAAGTTCGCCAGTTTAGAAAATGCGAAAATTAATTTAATCCCTTACTAATTAGGCAAGTTTTTTTGGTGAACATAAATTAGAGTCGAACTTTTTTCTGTTCGAGTAACTAAATTTATCGCGTACCACTTTCAGGTGACCAGTTTAATTAGGAATCAGTTTTCAATATACCGATTCATTTAAGTGATCAATTTAAATTAACCAATAATTAAACCTTAGCGTGATACTGATGAAACGTAGACATTTTCAAACCTCTTAATTGCGCACTTTAATAAAGGTTTGGTGTGAGGTAAGGAATAATTTGAATTTTCTGTTTATAGGTGAGCTCTTGAAAATCAAATACAAAATTTACCAG